CAAATCATTCGTCAGAAATGTAAATTACCTTTCTGCATTGCACGTGATTCTTGTCAACACGATTGCTCAACAAATTTTTAAAACATCTAATCATGGCCTACAAAGTACATGTAGTTTTTCAGAAACTAAAAACATACTTTCCTTAAACACTCGCGGATAATAGAATATGAAATGAATTTGATCATGTATGTATGTTTCTTTCTGGTGTCCGCTACTGAACGAGAATTTCGGATCGCTTGGATGGCTCCGGAAAGGGAACATTACGGACTCAGTGCAGGATCTAGTGTAAGCATCTTAAGAGCCGCGTTGTCAGCACTACAGCTGCATCAACGGGAAAATGCAACGTTTTTAGCGGATCATAAAGTTTCGTAAGTGGGTTTTTTTGTCTTTAACATCCAAGTTGATAGATCAGAAACAAGTAATATTGATTTTCCTTATAATTCTTATGATAGTTATGTAATTCTTCTGTACACAAATTCAAATACAGCCATATGAATACTCGTATTGTAAAGAATAGTCATTCATTAAAAATACAGAAAGAATAACTGTTACAAATAAATGTATATCCTCTTTTTTATACATGTACTTTATAATCAGAACATATATTGAAGGAAATAACTAGCAATCCATGAAACACTATGGATACAACATTACATAATATCAAGTTATTTAGATTATGAATAAGATCTCATAAGATTTTTGATTTCGCAAGATTCAATTTATTGCCTTAAATTAATTTTTTTTCTAAAGGAAAAACATTAATGATTTCAAACGGTGGCAATGACGCTCTTACTTTTTTCAGTGGCTTTCTTGGCAACATAAGCTTACTGATTAAAATATGCTTATGACACATGTTTTATGTCCATGACTAGTGTTAATGAAATGTTCAAAAGAAATGAGAGAATCCCACTCTTGATGTAGCTTAAAATAAAATTACATTGCACTTGTGGAAAAAAAATATGTCCATTATATTACCTATGCAATGAACAAAAATGAGTGTATTTCGTATATTGATGCAATGTAACTCTCTCTCTCTCTCTCTCTCTCTCTCTCTCTTGTGTGTGTGTGTTTTACCAAGAGAGCATAACTTCTGTTGCAAAGCATTTGTAATAGGATCAATCAAAAGTTTTTTTAAGATATTGTATGAAAGCAAGAGAAACTGTTGATTTAAAAGGATTTCAGGTATTTCAAAAAACCTATCTGTCCTGTGCTTGAATATTTATTTATACTGAAATTAATTGTGTTTCGCCTTTTTTTTTTTGCACATATGCAGAGATTGCTTGTTACCTTGAAAGGTAAAGAAGACTACAAAATTGTTTACTTGTTAAGAAATTAAGCGCATCTGAGTCATTTGTACCGTTATCAATGTATGAATTTCAGTCACATGTTTCAAGGTGGTTTTGGTTAAATTGTCTTTGGGCTTGCAAGATCCCATTCTCTTGTACTAAAAAAAGGGAATCAGAAAAAGCTTGGCATGAAGTAATTTTAATTTCTTAAACAAAGTTGGTGTTGAATTGAAAAGAGACATGCAATAAATTTTTGGAAAGCAGAATTATGTATCATACAGCTATCTTCTTTTAATTTAGATATTTAGCGTGTACATATATTGATGCTCCAAGACATATGATAGACGCAACCCATCCTCCGTTATACCTTTTAAGGAATCTGATCGAGATACATAATGTAATGTGAAATAACGAACAATACAAATCTTTGAGCAGGACATAAAACACGGACCCTGGAAATTGCAGAGATGGGCTGTGGTGTCCTGTTAAAACAAGTATCCCCTGTCGAATGGATACACACGCCGTGAGCCTTTTGTATTGATCAGGTAGACGGAAAATCCATGGTCAAATTAAGGGTAAAAAATCAAAGGTCTAACAATTGATATGAAATATGTCAGTCAAAATACTACCCAATGATAAAATATGTCTGTCAAAATACGACCCAATGATACGATGTGATTGCTAACAAGGTCAATATAAAGAACATAGATTTTACGAAATTATGACTTTAAACAAGGTTACTGAAATCCATGTAACATCAACTTATTTGTCAGTAACTGCCATGGTTTAAAAATTGATCGTACTCAGAGCATGCTATTGAGTGTCGAATAAGTTTGGGAGACATAAACACAATATGCAGGTTGGAATGGAATATTACTACATAAACAGATTTGGCAGACTTTGTGGTGTCTTTTAATTCGAGCACATTTGGATATATCGATTTGACATATCAATGGTAGTAACTATTGTTGATTGATAAAACGTCGTCGATATATCTGAATGTAGAGTTGAAAGCCACAGCAAGTGTTTTCTTCTTTTCCTCTCAGAGTACTTATGTGTAGAATCAGAGTCATTTTTAACAATGTCACTTTGTAGATGTTCAATCACAAGATATGAAAAATTTCAGTGTACCATTTTTATTGAAGAAGCAGTTGTCTATGATATCAAAATATCTAGTTCTCTAAAAGTTCATTATAAGATTTTTATACAAATAAATGAATAATAAATCGACTTTAACAATAAGCATTAAAAATTGTCCGGTAGTTGTATACTGTAAGTAATATCCTATTGTTTTAAGCTAACCTGTACAAAACGCTAAAGAAAGCTTTTCTGATGAAAGATATTGATTGTTCGCCGTACGTCTGTCATTTGTCGTCTTACAGTGTGGTTGGCAAACTTTTTAACTTTTCAAATTCTTTTCAAGAACAAGAGAGACAAACTTAATATAAAACATCCTTGGGTGATAAGAATTTATTTTTGTAAATGAAGGGCCACATTCTATTTCAAGGGGTGGGGGGGGTAATATTAAACCATGACAAACAAAACTGAAGAAGTTATTTTTTTTTTTTAGATTTGAATATTGTTCAAATCCTGGACATCGAGATCTGGATGTGTCACGGGAGGGGATTAGACTATGCATTGGAGTAAATGGGAGGACATATTTATTATCTTTTCAAAAACAAACGTGTTGCTAAAATAACCACCCCGTCCCATGAACTGAAGATTCAAGTTTCTTCATTGGGTTGTCTATGAGTTTAACATATAGATACATATAAAATGGTTATAGTAGTTATTCATCAATGTTTTTTTTCCTTTTACATATATGAAAATGGAGAAGGGGAAATAATAATTTAAGCAAGAATCATTATATAAAAAGAAGATTCAGAATCAAATAAAAGTGTTAAGGAGGGATTATTGTAGGGGATAAAGTTAACATGGGAATAACATTCTTTTTAAAAAAAATCATTTTTAAAATATTCTCAAGAACAGCAGTGCAAAGCTGAGATTAGTCTTGTAACCCAAGTGTCTTGTTCTTCCTTTTATTTAGCATCATTACTTATAAGGACACTTAATTCTCGTAAATTAAACGCCTTATTTCTTCTTTTTTTACCTAATTTCTGTAAATTATAATCGTCAATGACATCTAATGAAAAAAAATCCTTATCTAATACTTTCTCATAGAGCATAATGAAGAGAAAAGAACAGAGACACCATTTGCCTCAAAGGGAAAATTCAATGTCCGAAGATTTACTTTCATGCCATTTAAAAAATAATTTAATCTCGGATTCTGAGAAGATAAATTGTTTTATTTTCGCTTTCATATAAACTAAACAATAATTAATTCTCAGGTGTGTAAGTCGTGATGACTGTCGTTCTAAATATATCATTTTACCTACTTCAAAGGTTTCTTGCCCTGTTGAAATTAAGCACATTTTTAAACATGAACACAATGTAGCAATTATGAATGGACAATGAATGTTAGTTATATATTACACTGATGAAGGACATGCGGTGGTGTACAGATACTGGAAAACTAAACTAAAAGAAAAGAAATTGACGTTTTACATCTCTCGCTATAAGATTATAGAAAGGCAGGGTAGCTGGTTCAGTTTCAACTTAGGTTTTCGCAGAAGTCTCTTGCAAAGTGATTTCATTTTCAATTAAATTGACAAATCAAAGATAGAAAAATGTTGAAATTTTAAATAGATTTCAACCTATAAATATAGGAAGACGAAAAGGTTATCTCCATTAAATGCTGATGAATATTCCCATAAACACTGTAACTTGCAAAGGAATTTACATACCTAAATCACAATGTTTTACTCTAGTTTTTTTTTTGTGGAATTATTTTTCCTTAGTTTCTATTATATTATTGAATAAACACTTTCATTTGCAGAGGAATTTACATTTACCTAACCTACTTTTTTTTCACTCTACTTTTTATAGAATTATTTTTACTTAATTTTATATCAAATCATCAGATTTAAAAAAATTGCATTAAATTATTAAATAAAAAATGGGTCTGTGTTAAATGCCCTAATTACAATTTTTTTATTTAATTTTTTTTTTTGGGGGGGGGGTGTATCGATCAATGTTTGTTGTCTTCACATTTTTAATTCTAACAATTTTTCAACGCAAAAAAGAACTTATTCAAATTTTATTTAATAAAGCATATTTAATGTAGTCAACATTATTAGAATATATCAAATGGGTTCAATTTTATTTCAGAGATTAATTTATCAGTTATTTTTCAATTCTTTATAGCAAATTGCTTTAAGATTTGATTAGGGAAATTACAAAAAAAATTATAAATCTCTTTGATATTCAGCATCCTTTTTTAAATGAACAGAGGTGTCCTTGCGAATTTGTTCCAGATGATCATAAATATTCTTTACATCTTGTATGAAATATGCTGTCCAAATGATGCATGCATAAGCACTAAGACAATGTTGTTAAACAATATTTCATTGGTGCCCTCGGGCATGACGTCACAAAAAGACAATATGGGCGAATGTTCGTAAGACTTTTAGGAAATGTCTCTTCTGGATTTTAAGTGACAATATTTTATACTTCAATATACATTTTTAATATATTGATGGTTATTTTGTGCAATTTGGATCTAGTATAAGATTTAATCCTGTTACTTTCATTTAGAACGGATATTATATATCACTCATGACCATTTCACTTTTGGGAGGTTTTTCTTCAAGATGACATAATCAACAAAATAAACCATGATAATATTAAGAAAGCGTATGCCTTGGGTGTTGTGGACGTTCATTTTTATATACGGAATCGGATTAATTTACGTCTCTTGCAACAAACGGAATGAATTTCGAATAGCTTGGATGGCTCCGAAGAAAGAATATTATAATTTGAGTGCTTCCTCTAGCGTTGGTGCACTAAAAGTGGCCTTAACGGCTATGAGTCAAAACAGTGATACAAAGCAAATACAGTCTCTCCACAATTCTACAATAAAGTAAGTATAGAAAAACATTATTCAATTTTTCCCTTAAAAAACTTATTTACAAAGGTATGCCTAAACTGAGAATATTCAAGTATGTTTTATCTATTTATAAATAGATTAATGCATATTTTACAAAAACAACATGGATATTCAGAAAAATGCTATACACTAGAAAATGAACATGAAATAGATAATCATTATATTAAATTTTATAAACATTAAGAAAATGTCTTAATGAGCTTTTAGAAATCTCCAATCAATCCTGTAATTCATTGCAAATTAAATTGAGCTTTGCCTTTGCATTTATTCAGTTGTTATTTTTACGAGATTGATCTCTCTTCGTTATCTTCACATTCAACATTTCAAAAATAATATATTAACATAACAAAATTTTTGTAATGTAAAAATTATAATAAAAAAGTGTATTTGTGCAGAGGTTGAGATGAAAGATTTTAAGCATTAACATGCACATCCATTTTTTTCTTGATTTTGATTTATGACAAGGATGAAGTTGTAGTGACAGAAAGCATTAAGGTTTGTTTAATATACACAGAATTTTTTCTGTTTATTTCATTGTTAGTGATAGTTTTTGCACTGGACATCCTAACTCTGCACGTTTCTTATTAATGGAAGAGCTGTAACAGAAAAATGAAATAATTAACACATTTCTCACGTAAGGTCATCCTGATTTGCAATTCATATGAATTGAATCTTGTCTCTAGGACGATTTTCAATATTTTTATTTTCACGGTTACAATTAATGCCGCTAAGATATAGATTATTATTTTTTTAAAAAAATGTAAAGAAATAGTAATTTTACATTGAAGGTCAATCTAATTTATATTTTGTATTTATGTATAGAGTATTATTTAGAATTAACTATATAGGCTTTCCTTTAATATTTCAAAGAGTGTTCTTTTAATTATCTTTATAACTTTTGTCATAGAAAGGACAAACGCACTGTTTTCCAATACAAGTTTAGACACACATTTTACACACGTTTTGACCATTGTTTGAGGTGTAGGCTCAATAATTTTACTTCCTATTTAATCAATTTTGAATATCTATAAGCAAATCATTTACGAATTCTGTGTAAAAAGGAAAGAAATGGTAAACAAAACATCCAATCATTTATACGTGTGTTCATTCTCAAATCATAAACTTTATTATTCCATGGTATTTATAATATGCGTAATATTCGTATATTTCCACTTGCATCAGCAATTATAATATTATATACATACAAATAACACTTCATGATATCCTCTCATATTTAGCTCGAAAACAGTCCCACACACTTTTGTTTCTGTACATCAGGCGTGCAGGTGACATGTTAATTAGTCGGACCTTGTCATGTTCCCGATTCCATTAATCAGACGGCGCGGACGCCTAGGGCCATGGAAAACACACTCTGTACACATCTCTGTATCGTCAATTACAACTAATCAGCTTATTACAGCGTTATCGAGTGAAAAAGAAAGACCTAGCGATCGCTATCTTGATTTACAATACACATCTTACATACTACTTGTAAATTAGCTATACAACAAAGAAATATTTGTACAATTTACCTAGATTTTTTTCTTATGAGGGAATGTTATTTGTGATATTAGCAGTTGTTTGCAGTAAAGCAAAAATCCTTTTAATAATACATAAATAAATCAAATAAAATGTATAATTTTTCTGTTACAGTTTTCAATGTGCATTGTGAAATAAGACTGCAAACTAAATAAATTTAATTGCACAAAATAATCTTCACAAAGATTGTATATGAATTATACATTTTTCTGTAGAAAAAGTTGCCTCTTAAGACATGCTTACTTTTTGTTCTCGTTTAAAATCAACATTTCGTAAATTCTATGCGTGTTCGATATTATGACCTTATTTGCAAATACAGTCTATCATTGGGTCGTATTTTGACTAACATGTTTCATACCAATTGTTAGTCCTTTGTTTTTTAAACTAAATTCGACAACGGATTATTCTGTGTATCTGACGGGCACACGGCGGTTGTGACCGGTCGACAGGGGATACTTTTTCACCTGGTTCAATATCTGGAACCTCTGGGTCCGTGTTTTATGCACCGTTCATATATTTGTTTTGTTTTATCTTTACCTTTTTGATTTTTCAATATCTCCTTAATATATACACAATTCAAAAGTGTTTGAAGAAAAATTCTGGTAATGAATCCTTTTCAAATTATCATATACTGAAAGCGTACTTTTTCACGGGGTTATAATTCCACGGAATCACAATTTCTGTTTAATCTGTAGGAAGAAAATTACGCATAATGTAGATTCCTTATTTTTCGCGATTACTTATTATCGCAAAATGTCTATTTGGCGTCAAATCGCGAGAACAATAATTCGCGAGTACACGGTTCATCAACAGATTTTACATTGATTTCAGCACCATAAAAATAAAAGCGAGTAATTTTATTTCGCGAGTGGTGCTTCTCGCGAAATTACGCGATAATTAATTCCTCGCGTATATTTAGGAATCTACTGTATTTCTAAGATTGCCACTATATGCCTTAATGTATTTTAAGTACGCTGGGACAAATTTCCGCGGGAAATTTGTGACCACGTACATAGCGTAAATTAATACCACGAGGAAAAAGTATTTCTACAGTAATAAATTTATCTCGTTATAGATACAACTGTAAATTTATATTTTACTAGAATAAGTTTATTCATATTTCAATCCCTCTACAGTTAATTGTCACAAAATGATTTTCGTCTTCTCTCTTCCTTTGCCATTTGAATTTTCTAATGAGAATATGGCCTTGAATCAAAATCCTATACCCCTGAAAATTTTAGGTCTTATATTAAAATGGAATAATCGCTGTATTATGGCTTGTTTTGACTTAATTATATAATTTTCCATTGAAGTTTTTGTACGCTAGTTCCCAGATAGGGCCTAACCATACATTTATTTGAAAAAAAAAGCGACAAGCTTCAAATTTCGATATATCGAAATGAAATATCAAAATACTGTGGGGAAAAATGAAACAATGGTAGAAAATTCAAGGTCATTTTGGAACAAAAATACAGAATTTCTAGAGTGAGAATTTCATGTTACACGCAAAGCTCTTCTCTGGAAAATAACTGAATACATGTATAGCTATTAGCCAGCTGCAATGTTCTTTCAAAGTAAAATGTAGTTTTAAAATTTAGTTTTTCTGTATATAATCATAATGTACATTGAAAACTTGAGAATAAAATATTTTAAGTCATCTAATTATATCAATTAATGCCGTTGAATACTCATTTCTAATTGCTACTGGTTCGAGTAGTTGCAGAATGTCATATTGTTATATTTACACAAGAGTAATAGAACGTTCAAATGTTGTTTACTTACTTACACTTGACTTAACCGAATGAGAAAAACAAGAATTTACATACTGCATATACTTTAAAGGATTATACCCCCCCCCCCCCCGATGGAGTGTCAGTCCGTCTATCCGTCCATCCGTCCGTCCGTTACGCTTTGCGGTACCAATCTCTTATCCGCAACTCTTCCTATGCCACTGAATAAAATTTAATTAAGACTTTCACAGAATCTTTATTACATGATGCCATTGTGACCTCCTATTTTATTTTATGATACATATATTTCAGGTTTAACATATTAAAATATGAACACTGCCAGCCTTTCTATATTATCGAGGGTACCCATTTCTTATCCACAACTCTTCCTCTAAAACTGAATAAAATTTAATGATACTTTCACAGAATCTTTATTACGTAGTGCCTTTGTGCATCTCCTTCTTTATGTTTTGATTGGACAGATATTTGGGCTCTTCATAGCAAAAAAAACAGACTTGCCATTATACTCCTGTGGGAGAGGAGGTATCATTTATGAGCTCAATACTCACAGTACTTCTAGTTTTCTATTCTTTTTTTGCGATCAGTTCATTTTCAGTCATTGATATGACAAAAGTGCTTTTAATGACAATTTGCATATGATATTGTTATTAAATTTCACTGTTGATTTATGTATAAATTTAGTCACTTCTTTCGTAAAAACCGTCACGGTAGCTCAGTCGCTTCGCCCTTCGCTTCGTGATCGGAAGGTCGTGAGTTCGAATCTAGGCCGCGACTGACCTAAGTTGATGAAAAATAGGTAGCAACTGTTCCTTCCCGCCATGCACTCGGCACTTTGAAGTGAAAGTTGCGGGTCCTTCGGATGAGACTTTAAAAACCGAGGCCACGCGTCACGGCAGGCGTTGGCACGATAAAGATCCCTCACTGCTCAATGGCCCTGAGTGCCGAGTAAGGTCTAAATTTGAAACCCTTTACCGGTATATGGTGACGTCTCTATATGAGTGAAAAATTCTCGAATGGGACGTAAAACAATATACAATCAATCAATCTTTCGTAAAATTTGAATGAAGGCTTTACGAATGATTGTACAGTGAAAAAATTGTATTTATTTTAATATTTATTCAATGACATGGAAATTCAAATATTATTAAGATATCATACTAAGAATATGGAAAATACATGCTTACATTAAAAGAAAAATAAATGAAACAAGAAGTCTGTGAGCCAATGCTCACTAGAAATACCCCCGCTTTGATGTGTATGTACACAAGTTCAGTTATGGACAGACACAAGGATGAACAAGAAGTTTACATCAGATTCGTAGAAAAATGAATCCCACCATATTGCAGGCCTAAACAAAGAGTTAAATTTCAAGCATCTGCAATTAGTAGTTGCTGAGAAAACTGCGACCAAAATTTGTTCTGTATGGTACAGACAAACGCATGGATAAACAGGAAGTTGGCATTGCATTTGTACAAAAATGATTCCCACCTTATGGCATGCCTAAACAAAGAATGTGCTAAAATTTCAAGCATCTGCAATCAGTAGTTGCTGAGAAAACTGCGACCAAAATTTGTTATATATGGTACGGACAGACGCACGGATAAACAGGAAGTTGACATCGGATTCGTACAAAAATGAATCCCACCATATGGCATGCCTCAACAAAGTGTGTGCTAAAATTTCAAGCATCTGCAATGAGTAGTTGCTGAGAAAACTGTGACGAAAATTTTGTTATGAACAGACAGACACACAGACAGACAGATAGACACACAAGGGTAAAACAGTATACCCCCTCTCCTTCGGAGCGGGGGTATAAAAACCATGTTTAACTTTTGATATGTTAATGAAAGGAAATATTAAATAACTCTAATTACAACCTGATGTTTTAAACATTAACATGTGTTGCAACTTGCAACACATGCAACATGTGTTGCTGAATTTGCATTACACGGTGAACAAACTTTGAGACTTGAAAAGAAAATGTTGATGTGCTCAGAAAAATTATCATAAAATTTAACTTCTTGCATACACCTTTCTTCATCTCTTCTAAATTAAATGAGTTGTTGCAACACTCAGAGCAGTTTCTTTTTAATTCCTTGACAAATAAAAAGCCATTTTTCTTCATATCAAAATTCAATATTTATTTATCTTTTCACCGATTTCAATTAATTGTTTTGGATAATTGTAACAAAGATTCTTATATACAGAAACAAAAAGCTCGTAAAGGAAAAGCTCACAAAGTAAAAACAGGGCTTTTTTCCACAGCAATAATTTCCAAGTTCTAGTGAACGCATGCTTGTGAAATTTTTTCATACTGTATTGAATTCCAAATTTGAAATTTGAATTAACTATTGAAATCAGAACAATGCAGAAAAATATCTTTTAAAGTAGTGTGCATTGAATTCATACTGTAAAAGTGGTTATTTTCTCGTCTTGTTAATTACTCGATTAAGTAGAAAGCACATTACAAACAGGAGTCATGTCCGCGATACCGGAAATGTGTACTGTTAAAACTGAATATAATATGTATAAATGCATTGGTATGCAGGAGGATATTTTCAAAAAATATATCCTATCGCATATTAGAGTAAATTATCCCCATGCATAGATTTCCAATTTTACAGTACTCCGTTTTTAAGAAATATCTTCATTCATGTTTCCTCATGCTGCACAATCTCACTGCAGCTCTGATTTTGCTGATTTATGATCTAAGAAATCAACACCAATGTAGACATGAAATATTTCATTTATTAAAAATGACGAAAATAAGAAAAATATATACATGTACGTAATATGATAGGGGATCAGACCAAAAGGTATTTGCATAATACATATATCAATATTCTGATCCCCTAAATTTACAAATAAACAATACATGTATATGCAAATATATAAAACATTGAGTATACAGCAAAAAGATGGCACATCAAAAATAAAAATGCTATCAAATGTTATTGCCGAACATAATTTGGCAATCACATTGTGCCATTCATGTTTTAAGAAATATCTTCATACTGTTTATGTTGATGAATAATGAACAATATCTTTTTTCTGATCTTAGGGTCCGATGGTACGATACAGACTGCAATGCAAAGAGTGCCTTGGCTGCTGCCGTAGACGCAAAATCAAAATTTGACCCGCATCTTTTCCTTGGACCACCATGCTCAGCCGGTAAGTTCATTTTTAACTTTGATTTATCCATAGTTTTCTTATAAAAAGAAAGCAAGGAAACAAAAATAAGAAATATGAAGAAAATTATGTTATTAAAAGCCATGATGTTTTAAAATAAAGTTTAAAAGGTATAATCGAGTATTTAAAAAAAAAATCCAAAGTTAATGATAAACATTATGTGTGTGTTGGATCTGTTTGATTGAATAGCGCAGCACAACTAAAGCTTATGTAATTTGAAAATTCGCGTATTCCAAATAAACAAATGCTCGCTTGAATGTCGGACGACCTGATATTGCACCAAAGTATTGCCCTCGGGCTCCATTCGTCAAAAAACCTGAGGTAAAGTTTTAAGTCAGTTGCTTAACAATTCTTTGACAACATGTAGAAAAGTATGCAAATAAGCTCTCAATAATGACCTAAATTGCCTATGTGTTATAAGGTGAATATTAGCAAAATTGTCTCTAGTCTTCTTATTGTTCTTGTAATTCCAAATACTAAACTGAATAAAAGATGGAAGGTAAAATGGCATAATTATACATGTTAATGTACTGCAACTGAAGTCACCATACGTTAATAAATCACTTACTTAAAGATAACAATTTTTTAATTGATACCTCTTTTAGTATATTTACCTAATCAAATTTTCCGAGTGCAATTTGAGATACATTGTTCAGAAATCTCTACTTAATACTTTTTTGATTAAAAGGGTTTACGAAAAATGTAGTGCGTACTTAAATCTTTAAATGTTAAAATTTAGATATTGTTCATAATATAATGGGGAGAAAAGTGTTTGTACAAATAATTCTGGAAGAACTACACTCCACCAGTATTTCAGTAATATACAAAGTTGATAACTGCAATTTAATAGGACAAATTCTAGTTAATAAGTGTTCCATTAAAAGTGTTTAAAACGTGTTGTTAAAAGTAATTTGATTTGTAAATTTGTAATATTTTTGACTAAATGGTAAAATGTGGTTAATGCATGTTTTAAACAAATTATTCCTTGGAGCAATATCCATTAATTTTGACACGTGCAATGATACCTTAAATTAGCATGTTGGTAAACAAATTTTCATGGAGACTTATTACTGACCTTGACTTAGCACCTGAGAAACTGTTCCAACGAGAGGGTGAAACTTGCTGAACAACCAAGATTTTTTGTCGCATGACACATGTAACTTCACATTAACACTCAGATGTATTTCAACAGACTGTCTTGCCTTCGTTTTGACTTTTGGGATACCGGAATCTTCGAAATCCATTCTAAATTACAAAATTGGGTTTTTTCACATAAAAGCTGGCTGGCATTTTAAGTTTTATAATAATAATAATTAAAAACACCATGAATGGCTTTGACTATATATTCGTAATCAAAATTGGTGACCCTACCGCTTAACTTTTCATTGATTTTTAGAAATCTACGAGATATTTATAGTTATTTTTAAAAATAACTAAGAAAATAAAAGAATTTTTAAAGATTTTTAATTTTGATATCTCAGCAATAATTTTTCAGACATCAATTTTGGAGGAAAAAATTATGGCATTTAATAAATGGATTAATCTAATTAATATAATAACTGACTGTCTGTAATGTTTCTTCCAGGTATGAGAGGAGTTGCCTTACTTGCCTCACACTGGAATACACCCATTTTTGGATGGGTGTCACAGGAAGAAGAATTTCAGGACAAAAAAATGTATTCCACCCTGGTACGATTTCTAGGACCCCTTAATCGGTTTCGTAAGTACAGAACTTCATTACATTTATGCTATCATTCCAATAGAATATTTATCCTTAATAGATAATAAAACATCAAACTTCACTTTTCCAACGCTTATGTATTCCTACATTGTAATGTGAATTACTGGGTGGTTAATCGATTAAGTCATTTAGTAATTATGATTTTCTTTTCTTTTCGTCTTTTCTATTTGTAAACTTATCACTTGTTCGTCATCTCCAGAACTACTGTTTGTTTTATGCACAACTCAGCTTTCAATTTCTTTTCATACAGATTTTTCACTATATAAGAGTAAATCGATATATTTTGCCGATTCCCCGAAAATCGCCTTAAAAGGCTGATTCTCTGCATAGAGGTGCGTCAGTTTGAACTGATACACACGATGTGGAACACCTAGCAATTTCTTTTAATCATAGGAAAGGTTACTGTATGTTCCAAAACAATGATGAATTCAGTTGAAGTTACATATAAGGAGACGGGGTCAGATATATACTGGAAATAAGTAACTTCTTACTGTTACGTCAACATGGTAAATGTGCAGTGAGAGTTGGATCACATAAAAATTGTGTATTTATAAAAAAAAAAACAAAAAAACAGAATAATGCTTGCAGATACCTGTATTCTACTGACTATTTATTCAAATGCAGCTCCCATCTAATGAATTTCCTTATATATTTTATCTGCATTCTGGGTAACTGATATTTCCATTGTGCACTTTATAACTGCACTAAATAAAAAATAGAATTGCAGTTACATGTTTTAAAACTGGTCTCATTTTTGTATCGATATATTAAAACAGTTAAAGTATATTATTGAGGAAGTCACCAAGATTCCAATTCCTCTAGAGCATGCTTCCCCTCGGGAAATAGGCTTGCTCTAGAGGAACTTGCATTTTGTTGACTCCTTCAATGATATGCATTAACTGTTTAATAACAGTAAGTATTTATAAAGAGAAACTGTAGTGATTCTTTCTCGTGATTAAAGTTCTATCTGTAAATATAGTACCAAAACTTTTCTTAATAAAATATATTGATGAAAAATGTAGATAACGAATAGTATTCAAGCTCAAAGGCCATTAAAACAATACAAATCGGGAGCAGAGCAAACACAGACCTCCAAAACATCAGAGGGGGGATCATGTGCCTTGGAGGAGTGAGCATTCCCTGCCGACCGTTCACACCCGCTGTGTTCTCCTTGTCATGATCGGCAAATATACGGAAAAATTCGTAGACAATTCAGTGTGCAAATAATGGCCTAACAATTAGTATGAAAAATGTCAGTCAGCATTTGACTTAATGATAGGTTGTATTTTCTGACAAGGTCATTGTATCGATCATAAAATTTACGAAATGATGACTTCAAATGAGACTGTTAATATCCTTGTTTCATGAACTTGGTTTTCAATAGCTTGCCTCCTTTTTAGAAATTGTTCATACTTAGAGCATGATCTTGTGTATCGAATCAACTGGGAGACAAAAACCCCATATGCAGGTGATACGGGTATGTTGCTACATAAGGAAGTTGACGATTGAAAAATTGAAGCCATCACGTTTTTCATAAAGCTTTGTTGTTAGGTTACCATTAATTTTTTTTTCTAGTAAAATATCCAAATATGAAACAGATGTATCAGACTCTGTGGTATCTTTTTATTTCAAGCTCATTGGGATATATCGTAAAAGACAAAGAAACTTAACCAAGGATCATTATTCTGTTTATTGCTGTTGTCATAGTTTCTACTCCAGGTGTTTTGTTATACGTACAATCCAACAGACCTCAAGTCTTGTTAGAGACTTCTAGTTGATTATATGAATCACATATCCATTGATTGATACATTAGTTAATTATGACTACAATTGTCAAAAAGCACAAGGTGTCACTTACTTAAAACGTGAAGGATGTGTCAAAATGTTGCCTCTTTGGTATTGTTTTTGCATTTGAAAGACTAAATAGAAGTGCAAGTTATTAAAAGGCTTTTTCATAGTTCATTCGAAAGACCTTCATTGTTAATTACATCGTTCTGGATTTCGTAGGAAATCTATGTTTTATTCTTTAATTAAAAGACATCTTGATCTTTAGCATTCGATATTCTATCAACGATCTAGGATAGTTACCTACAGCAAGGCAAAATGAACTCAGCATTACTGCTACATTATATGTTTCTCAGACAAGTATCTCTCTTCCTTTCATGAAAATAAAAACATTTAGTTACAAAAACAGTTTATGTGAAAATAGATTTTTGAAAAGAAAAGAAAGAAAGAAAACTCGAAATATTTAATTTTACAAAAAACAGTTTGTACATGCTTTATTATTGCTAGAACACATTTCTAAAAGAAGTTGGTATCTTTCTTGCATTTTCCGACGAATCTATTCTTTAACATTAAAATTAAAACTTAAAACAAAACATGAAAAACATGAACAAATTGATAATCTTAAAGATAGCAGTTCATATAGACTTTCTGGATTTTGGCGAATGTCATGTATTTTTTATTTGACTTTTGATTAATTGAATTGTGTGATCACATGCCACGTCATCTGATGCTACGAGTGGATGGAAAACTTCGTTATTAATATGTCTTAAGCAGTAATAAAGCCTTAAAAACTGTTTTACAAATCACAATAACGCAAAACTAAGACGTTTACATAGCTAATGACTGTGTCAAGCACCCGGCACTAGAAGTGAAAGTCTCGGGTCTTTTCCATGAGACTTTAAAAACGTTCTAGGCGTTAGTACGGTAAAAATCCTTCACTGTAACGGCCGTAAGCGCCATGCACAAAAAAAATGTGGCACTTCACCTAAAGCATGACGTCTCTGTATAAGGGAAAAATTCTCTTATTGGACGTTAAGTTCCATGTATTCAATTTATCAGTTAGTCGAAAAAGTAACCCGATGAAGAGTATAAATTGAAGGTCTTTTTGAAATAGTTTTGCCCTTTTTGTGCAAATTATATGCAGTTAAAACTAACGTTAGAATGGGACAAAAAACAAAAGGTTCATTTTTTTCTAGTCAACATGGAACTATTTATGAACATATGAAAAAATTACATTTTTTTATTCAGAGAATTTTATCCGTGAATTGCAGCCAAAGTTTGATACAGTACTCCGAGGCATTTTTTAAAAGTTTTAACATTTTTCATTTTTCTCCAGCTGGTGTTATGTTCCATATGACGTCCCTCTTTAAATGGAATCAATTCGCTGTGATGTATGATGAACGGGATCCATATCGAGCCGTGGCATCTGCAATTTCTGAGAAAAAATCCATCGAAAATGACGAAGATGAAACAAAAAATTGGTACAGCATCATACGGTCCTTCAAGGTTTCCAATGATATGGAAGAGAAAGAGATAGAAGACATGTTTATTCAATTAAAACGATATTCAAGAAGTACGATTTTCTAATATTATTGCTCATATCTTACAAAAGGGTAATTCTGGCTTTTCGATTATCAACACTTGAACTTATTGCTGTTTAAATCAAAACTTATTACTTTGAAATAGAAGTGTTTTAATACTACATTTTGTACGAAAAAATAAATTTTTAGACTATTTAAAAAGGATTATTGATTCTTTGGAATATGAGAAGGGAGGTGTTATAAAAATTGTATACTAGTATATTAAATGGATTAATCTTAAATATCTATTTTGTAGTTATCGTAATGGCGTTACCCTGGTTAGACATGCGGAGATACATGCTTGTTGCACATAGACTAGGGATGACAAATGGAGAGTATGCTTTTCTCTGCATTCACGGCGATGTAAGTTAAATTACCGACCTGTACATTTTCAAATTTGTGGATAAATTTCTTTCTTTAAATTTCTTTTGTCATAGTAATCTTTAAGAATCGACCAATTAATTAAAACAAATTTAGGATGGAAATGATGTATACATTTATAATTTTCTGTCGCATGATTCGTGAACAAAAGTTGATTTTAATAAATTTTAAAAGTAGGTACAATTGACCTGATTATGGTTGGCTAACGTTATCAATTGCAAGGAAAATCTTTCAGTACATCAAATTGTTCATCGGATTAGACATGGATAGCTTCCACTTTATATATGCGTATTAAATATGATTTTCGATTACTCTTTAGTTAAACTGTGTTCATAAAGCTATGATATGATATATTTCTAATTACAGCTCTACACGTATGATAGAATGGAAACTGATGTGTTTTCTGACAGGGTTTGGAGAAGAAATGACTCGTTTGACGAGATAGCTAAACAGGCGTTTGAACCAGTATTGCATGTAAACATGCATTTATTTTTACTTCACTTTTTTAAGCAATCGTCTTTGAATTCTAATAAAATCATATATTAAGTTTTGGAGACAATATTAATTTCTTTGATCATTTCAGCTAACACAAAATTAAGTACTGTAAAATCCCCAATTTTCGTGGAGGTTTAGTATTTGTTTTCGAGGTATGAAGAGATCCACATTTATATCCTCCGCGAAATTTAAAATTTCAAATATATAACAACTTAGTACTTCTTCAACAACGAGATCAAATCTGACGAACCAGTACTTTTCCCCAAATCATGAAAATTTGACCCAACGAGAATATGTGATTTTGCAGTATTCTATTCTTGTTATTTTGTTGTCTGAACAAGTTGTTTTCATGAAATGATATAATTTGGGATATTGAATAGATTATGATGAAACCCCTTGAGAAAAATAACTGGACACTTTTCAAAGCTGTTGCTGATGAGTATGGTGATAAAACGGATCCTAACTGGAATCTACCTATCGAGCACACTTCAGTAAGTACTATTATTCCAGGAAGTCGACAGAATCAGATTCATTTATTTAAACTAGGCAACAATACTGGGTAAATTTAGCTTTTCATATTCTCGATAACAATGATGTTAAAGTAACCAAAAGGAAAATTTAAATGCAGATATAAAGCACATCAGTATACCCATTAATTTTATTGCTCTCAAATTGTCCAAAATAAAATTTTATTTGTTACCTCATTTTATAGAAATTTCAAGAGTTGGGGGGATTCTTTACCATATGTTGTAGTGTATCAAACATAATTTCTAAGGATTAAATTGTAGATATGTTTAAGATACTTAAGATGTGCATACATATCTTACAAATATAATATACAAGTTAATGCAGAGTCCATATTTTCAGCCTGATGCCTATTCTCCTTATCTTTACGATGCAACTTTAATGTGGGCAATGTTAGCTGACAAAATCTTAAAACAGAATAAAAATCCAGATGATGGAGAATACATGTTTAAGATGGCAGCAACTTTAACAGAGGAAGGTATTCACATCTGTTTATTTTGAATCGCAATGGTAAATATTTTGTGTAAAGTAAACTTGCTGTTTGATATGGACTGAAGAAAGTAAATATTATGAATTCTTCCAGAGGAAATTGATGGACTTACCGGAAGAGTTAACTTAGATGACAAGGGAGATAGAAATCTTGACTTTCAAGTTCTCGACATGTCTGAAAATGGTACATTCACTAGAATTATCACCATTAATTACCTCGGGAAAGGAATAAGAGAGGTGAATTTCGAGGTATGTACATTTTTTATGGTTTTATTTTCTATGCACTGAAAATATATAATACACTTTGACAATGCTACTGCTAGCATTTCTTGTGAACCCAATATCATCAAATAAGAAAATAATTTGTTATTAATATATTATTCTGTAGTATAATTCCAAGTCTACAGAAAATCTTTGCAATGGAAGATGTATCTAATCACAAAAAAAGTAAAAAAAAAAAAATAAATAAATAAAAAATTCAATTTTAATTATTATTCAAAAAGTAATTGATGAATATTTATCATCTTACTGCCTCATCAAATTTTAAAAAGGACAATTTTTGGAAATTAAATGTGATATAAATTATAAATATCTATTTATATTATTAATTACTACAATGACAAAACCAGAAAAGAAACAAAAAAGAAAACAAAAACAATGAAACAAAATAAAAAATAATTTGTTCAGATAATATGTATCTGGGAAAAAGATATTCAAATATATTTCAAGGGCTGCCATGACTTACAAATTAATTATTATGATTATTAGTTTTCAAATGTTCTTAAGTGTCACAATAAAAAATTCTATTCAAAGGGCAATAAGACAACAGACCAAGTCAGTCGATGGCCAAATGATAAAATTGGTGTCCACAACGCCCCTCCAGATGAACCTGAGTGTGGGTTTGACGGGAAGAAGTGTCCAGAGGAAAATGAACAACCAGGTAATTCCTAAATTATGAGGAATTATGCTACAATTAATTAGTATTGGACAAATGATTCACCATTCTAATGAGGACTGACACATTACATTAATAAACTCTTTCCCTTTGGATATTTTCCGAAAGAAAAAAAGATATCGATAATTCATTGATTGGTTTGTACCGATGATAATATGGACTTAAGGGGATATGTCTAAATCTGGCGAAGAGCTGGATAATTTATCATTGTAGCATCCATCTGTATTAGAAAGGGATATTCAAATGAGATGATTTATCATTCACCATTATGCTTATAACCATTTTTATCAACTTTAGAAGAAATAGGATACATTTACTTACACTGTACTTTGTTTTTATTTATAATATGTGCATGGTAGAGAATATTACAAATCAACTGCACTGATTAGATGTGCTTTTTAATAACTATTTCATTATCATCTGATATTTATGTAGATTAGTTAAAATTTTAAAGAACTTTTTTATTTCCTTTGTGCAAAAAAAATATCGTTTGAAAGTACAGTATAATTTTTATTATGAATATCTGTTGACACCAATCTATATTCATGTTAACATACTTCAAACGCAGCTTCTCAAAATGTTGTGCTTCAAAAATAAAGTAAGGAAAAGTTATATAAAAGCCTATGGCTAGAAGGTTTGAATAAGTTGGAGGAGTCGGTTTTGTAGAAATACTTTACAAGAGCCTTCTCTGTGTATGTTAAGTCAAAGTTATATTAAATAAAATACATTTGTTTTATTTTCTATTATAATTAATTTTATTTGCAATTATTTCCCAAGTTTTATGTTATCTTTTTATGTCTTATTATATGATAGTTGCTAAACGTAGTGAAAAATTTTATTTAGCATAGAATGGCATTGCTAAAAGCAAGGATCTTATATTGCCGACTTTTTAAAATTCATTTTAGATAATACGTTCATCATTGTGTTCTCCTCTGCTGCATCCGGATTTGTTATTGTCGTTGCAATTATCGTACACTGTGTTCTCAAGTAAGAGAAATTATAAAAGAATTTTCCATTTTTTAGTTAGTGCAGATTAATTTATGGAAGACCTAAAGAATCAAATTTCTTTCATTCAAATATATATACATTCAAAATATTGAAATAAAATAGGACATATATATTTGTACCTTTGGTTAATTAAGTTCCAGACTTGTTCACAATACTTGTATTTTACTGTCAAGATTAGTTTCTACCATATATACTCTTTGAAAAGGCGTTACAGAAGAATCAAGACATTGAAGAGTATGATTTGGCAGGTGCGATTTGAGGAAATTGACTTTGTTACCGCTTTGTTGACTGGCAGCGTTAGGGTTAGTGTTTATTTAATTTTTCTTTAAATTTTCCATTAATTATATTATTTTTTCCATCGATCAAATATCTTAATTTTTCTGTTTTAGCAATTGTTTCAAATATTAGTATACCAAATTGCTTTTAAGTGGAAGATTTATTTAAGTCACATATTAGTTAATAAAGTTGTTCAATAACCGAAGATGTATGGTATAAAGTGTTAATTTTATGTCTAAATTGATTTTTTTGTTTTCTGAACAAAATATCGCATTATTAGGATTTGATCAGTTATCATATTTATTCACTTACATACCTTTCTTAATATTAAAAATTAAACTAGTAATTCCTGGTTTGAATTCTTCCTGCATTGTCTTATATTGTAATCAATGGATGTTGTTCTTACATAAGTCTAGCTTTAAGAACCTTGCAAGAAGAAAAGGAAGTGGGAACAAAAGGAAATCTCGTCCCAGCAGAACAGAGAGTCCGTTACAGAATGACTTAAAAGTTTCCCCTGATCATTCACCTGCTTTTCTTAGTAAACCGGAACAGGGTACAATGTTCGGTTCTGTAGCTTACATCAGAGGTGGGTAGTTTATATAAAAATTGGAAATAGGCATATTTTAAGCTATCAAAGTATATGAATAGTTTCACCCCCCTTCACCTCAGACAATGGTTGGGATGAAGATTTTGCGTAAAAGTATAAGTTTTATATCTATATTGTACTATTTTCTTTTAAAGACAGTTTTTCTTATTTATATAATAAATATTGACTGTATAATTATGTAGATTTCTTTTTCTTTTAAAGGAAGCCTGGTGTCCGTCAAGCGATTGACACGAAGTAATGTAAACTTGACTAACATGCCAAAGCAAATATTGCAAGAGTTGAACAGGGTGAAGCATTGTTATTCAGTTTGGCTAATAGAAAAAATGTTTAGATGCTATGTACAACAAGGTTTATTACTCAAACAATTGTATTCTCTCGTTTATGAACTTGAACTGTATTTATTTAATAATTTGACAAAGATGTTTAATGTAATGCCGAAAGTATTTTCTATCGTTCAATTACATGTGGATAAAAAAAAGGTCCAAGCTTCCTATTAGAAGTTATTTTAGGATTATACTGTGAAACTATAATAACATTTAAGTTTTTTCAAGAAATTTTGTCCTCGAACAAATGTGTATTTTTGGAAATAAAAATGTGCTCCCATGAGGTACTGATTTTACAGTATGTCTGAATTCGAGAAAATGCTATGCAACACAACAACATCATTTCTCGTCCCTTTCAACGATTACTTAGTTATTTAATTTCAGAGGTCACTTTCCTGTATAATTGTCATCTTTATTATTTTAAATGTTCTAAATGAATTATAGTCCTTAATTATTTCACTTCATACTTCGCCCTGAAGACAGAAAAGTTTTATAATAGTTGTCATCTTGGTTCAAAATAAATTTTTAAGAAATAATTTGTTTACTCTAAATTTTGGAAATGGAGACGGTTTGACATTTCACTATTTGTTTATGTTTCAATAGCTAATGGAGCTGAAGCACCAGAACTGCTGTGCATTTGTGGGGGCATGTATTGACCCAGGTCGGATCCTTCTTTTGTGGGAATACTGTGTCAAAGGAAGTCTACAGGTTAGTGAGGCGAAAGGCAATATGCTTTAAATAAATGGATTACAATTTAGCATACAATTTTGAATAGAAAAAATATCAAATCACTGACTGCATATAAAATTAAGCAATGTAATTTTCTTGGCCATCATGTATTATGATATCATGACGTCATTAATTATGTGATCAATTCCATGTTATGCTCTATTTTTCAAAATTTCGAATATAGTATAGAGAACAACCTCTGATTTTATTTTTTTTTTTTAAAAAACAAGTATCAATTGATTTTTTTTTTTCATAATAACTTAATTTTCCTTTTAATCTGTTTTTGGATCAAAGGCCCGGGTCATATTTTTAATTCTTTCTTGGGTGTACTCAAATACAAGAGTTTTGTGTTAGATTCAAGAATACTGAAGTTCTTTGATATATAAGTGTTTGAACTGGGACATTCGGTGATAATTGTTCCATAGACATGTTATTTTACGCATAGAGTTGAAACAAACTCTTAGACGTGGAAGTAACTGTATCCTATCCAAATGCCCTTTGCACCCTTGGTAAAAATGCTACAGATAAGGGACTTTTTCCCCTTAAATATTTGATATCATTGATGTTAACTTGGTAATTAACATATCAATACATTAGTAAGCTTGTTTAAGAGCAAATGTCACAGTTCAGAACTTAGGTCAAATGTAAAAAATTATATTTTGTTGTTAATCCCCTTGATTTGTAAAAAAATAATAAATAACTTTAAGAAAAACTTTTGATTTTTGATTAAGTATAGGGCTTTATGTATATTAATTGGGTTGTTCGCAAAATACGCAAAAATTTCCCCTCGCGAACATTTACACATTTAAAGTGTTAGCGTTAGGTAGCATTGATACATGGTGCTTTACCTACAATGATCGGGCCTTTTTCATTTTTCATTACGCGCGACCCATGAATACATAATTTTAATTATTTTACAGGATGTTATATGGAACCAGAATATCAAGCTGGACAGGATGTTTATGTTCGCATTGTCTCAAGATATTGCAAAGGTAACTTATGATTAACCTTGTGATGTAAAGTCTGCACTATTTTTCGAATCTCTAAAATCCTAGCAAAAAGATTTTTTCAATAATTCAAAGATTTTTTTATTTCAGGGATTAGACTTCATCCATAAGAGCTCCATACATTACCATGGGAATTTGAAAAGTTCAAATTGTGTTGTGGATAGCAGGTGGACTTGTAAACTTGGAGATTTTGGAGTGCCTAGTCTTCGTCATTGTGACAAATGTCAAAAGGAGGAAGAAAATCCAGACAGTAAGAGTTTAAAACTTTTAAATTACTGAAGAGCCACGGGGTCAAATGAAACTTTAAGAAATTAAAACATTATACTCAAGTTCTAATAATTGAAATTTACATTATTGTTTATTCCCAAAATAAATATTTACATACGCTATATTTACTTCATTAAAAACGTACTATTTTCACCAGAACTTCAATGGACAGCCCCAGAGATACTTCGATCAGAGAAATCAATTGACAAACAGAAGGCAGACATCTTTTCCCTTGGAGTGATCCTCAAAGAAATCTTTACTCGATCAGGGCCTTACACGGAGTATTCCTTTCTCAGAAGTAAAGGTACGTGTACTGTATAAAATACTTCTTTCAAACATTGATTATCTACATGTAAATACAATATTCAGTATTTACTGGTATAAAGGTTTATGAAATAATAACATATATAATTATATGATACAATTATCACTATGTACTTTACAGAGATTATCGATAAAGTGAGAAGTCCAGATTGTGGGTCGCCACCCTTTCGTCCGAAACTTTCCGTGGAAGTTCGACAGACGCAGGATTTGTTTGCATTAATTGAAGAGTGCTGGAATGAAAATATCATCATCAGACCCTCTGCTGGGCGAATTTTGAAAACACTAGCCAGAATAAATCCATCCAAGTAATGTTTTAAAATTCAGTTTTCTTTGGCTTTCCATGAGTTTTGAATTCTTAGATTTTCTAACTTTTCTTATTATTACTGTCATTTACATCACTGGTTAACAAAATAATGAAAATAAACTCCAAATCTAAGCAGCTATTTGAATTTCAATTCTATTCAAATTGACATTTTAAAGGAGCGTAAAAAATAGTAGACATTTCTTCTTTGATAATAAAAAAAAATAATTTCATGTCTGAACTCCTCAGCTTAAGTATTAATTATTTTCTATTTTATACATTACAATTTACAACTTCCTTTAAAGAAAACTTGGGCAAGGTTTTTTTTTTCATTTGAAATGTTACAAAATCATTTTAAAGAAAATGCTTTCATGACTGTTTATCTTGTACATTAGGCCTAGCTTTGTTTCTGTTTGTGGATAGGGAATGTTGTTGCTCCCAGTCCAGAGTCAGTCCTTCGCTATTTACGAAATATGCATAATTTTATTAAAATTTAAAATAAAATTGTTCTTCGTTCTAGGATGACGATGATAGACAATATGATAGCTATACTGGAGAAGCATGCAAACCATTTAGAAGAGTTGGTAGCGGAGAGAACGAGCGAACTGGATGCTGAGAAGAAAAAGACAGAAAATCTCCTGTATAGAATGCTACCACAGTAAGAACTAACAAGTTTACATGAAATATCAAAAAAATTATTTCTTCTTCTATTACTATTATATGATATATTGAGCATAATTGCTAAATATTCTTGTAATTAGATCAGTAGCCGACGATTTAAAGAAAGGAAAACCGATAGAAGCGGAACATTTTGACGAGACTACAATTTACTTCTCTGATATTGTTGGATTTACCACAATATGTGCTGGTAGTACACCAATACAGGTATATATCACCTTGTTTTCTTTTTTAACATTTCAGTTTTGAATGTGATATACATGTGTAAGTATCTAATGTTGTAATTTTATTTAAATTTCAGGTCGTAAATTTGCTTAACAGCTTGTACACACTTTTTGATGACATCATCACAAGATACGATGTCTACAAGGTGAGGTTTATGCACATACATAAAATATTGTGTATTATTCATGTTATTATGTGGTTAGTGAATTTTACTAATTTTAAACTATGATACTAGAATTCATATAAATTTTAATAAGTAAATTACCAAATTAAGTATCTTCTTTGATTTTATTTTTTTTAGACGACCTTTGAGTCTACTTCATTTTTTTAATAGAAGACGTAAAATTGTCTTAAAAACTAATGTTAAACAAGATGTGTTTGTGAAACACTGATGCCCCCGTATGGCAGCTTATGGCGAAGGTTAAAGTTTCTTCAAATGCAAGTCAAAATCAAGGCCAAAAGATAAGAAATGTTGATACCCAAAGAAAGGTCTTGTCTCGAGGAATACACCTATGAAATTTGAAAGACCTAGATACAACTCTTCAGAAGTTATGACGAAGGTTAAAGTTTTTTGAATAAAAGTCAAACGTCAAGGTCAAGGTCAAAGTGGTTGGTATCCAAAGGAAGAACTTGTCACAAGGATTACATATGTGAAGTATGAAATCCCTAGCACCAACCATTCAAAAGTTATGGCCAAGGTTAAAGTTTTTCAAAAGTAGGTCAAACTCCTAGGTCAAGGTCAAAGGGTCAAAGTGGTTGGTATCCAAAGGAAGGTCTTGTCACAAGGATTACATATGTGAAGTATGAAAGCCCTAGCATCAACCATTCAAAAGTTATGGCCAAGGTTAAAGTTTTTCAAAATTAGGTCAAACTCCTAGGTCAAGGTCAAAAGGTCAAAGTGGTGGTTGGTATCCAAAGGAAGGTCTTGTCGCAAGGATTACATATGTGAAGTATGAAAGCCCTAGCTCCAACCATTCAAAAGTTATGGCCAAGGTTAAAGTTTTTCAAAAATAGGTCAAACTCCTAGGTCAAGGTCAAAGGGTCAAAGTGGTTGATATCCAGAGGAAGGTCTTGTCACAAGGAATACACATGTGAAGTTTGAAACCCTAAGCACCAACTGTTCAAAAGTTATGGCCAAGGTTAAAGTTTTCCAAAAGTAGGTCAAACTCCAAGGTCAAGGTCAAAAGGTCAGAGTTGTTGATATCCAAAGGAAGGCCTTGTCACAAAGAATACACATGTGAAGTTTGAAACCCCAAGCACCAACTGTTCAGAAGTTATGGCTAAGGTTAAAGTCTCATAAAATTTTGCAAAAGTAGGTCAAACTCCAAGGTCAAGGTCAAAAGGTCAAATATGATGGTACCCAAAGAAAGGTCTTGTCACAAGGAATACACATGTGAAATATGAAAGTCATAGCTCCAACCAATCAAAAGTTATGGGCAAGGTTAAAGTTGACAACAGACAAACAGATAAACAGACAAACAGACAGACAGGACAAAAACAATATACCCCCGGGATCTTTCGATCCGGGGCATAAAAAACTTAATTTCAATTATTCCTATTTATTCATGTTAAGGCGTACATTATGAAGACTAAACTAAGCTATAATTTGTCTTAAGCTTAAATTTGTCAAACCATATCCAGGAATTTAGTATTTTCTTTCTCATAGGATTATACTGAGCATTAAAACATATATAAAATATAACTCTGGATAACAGACTTCACTGAGTCAACAAAAAAGAGAGAAATGTGATGGTCCATAGATAAATAAATATTTTTTCCAAATTATGTTCATTTTAATTATTTCTATTTTTCTAGGTGGAGACTATTGGAGATGCTTACATGCTTGTAAGTGGCCTACCGAAACGTAATGGAAATAGACACTCCAAAGAGATCGCAGACTGTGCCATGGATATAATGGCTTCAATCGGTTCTTTCAGTATCCCACATCAACCGAATAACAAACTGAAAATTAGAATAGGTAATGAACTTGTTCAAGTTTACATCTTATCATTTCTTCAGATAGATAATGGAAATTTTCTATTTTAATAAGTACTCTTTTTAATGCTTCGTTTCTGTATAGGAATCCACTCTGGTCCGGTTGTGGCAGGAGTTGTTGGCCTTGCTATGCCACGTTACTGTTTGTTTGGTGATACTGTTAACACTGCTTCCCGTATGGAGTCAACTGGTCTACGTAAGTAATATCTCTCAATTTCAGAGAAAACATCCATCAAGTAAATCGCAGAGTAACTCATTTTTTGTTTGTATTTGTAGCATTAAAAATTCACATGAGTGCAGTAACTTATGATCAACTTGAAACGTTCGGATGTTACCACATCATGTATAGGGGTGAAACAACTGTGAAAGGAAAAGGAGTCATGAAAACTTACTTTCTAGTTGGAAAGGATGGTTTCTCAAAAGAACTGCCATGTATTACTGAAGAGGAATTAACACTGAAATTTTCTCCATCTACCTCAAGTGATCTGCATTACATGGGAGTCGGTACAACTTCACCAGTGACACCCAAAACAAGTGTTACGACTATTAAAGAAAACGAGTTACAGATAAGTTGTGAAAAGGAAACTTGTCCATCGGAAGAGAGACGTCTTGCTCTTCCTCGGCGAGCCAGTATGATGGAGATTTCGGCTTTATGACGGTACGCCTCGGGCGCTGGGACTGTCTATGGTCCTAGTGCCCGAGCCTCGACCGTCGACGGGGTATCGTCGAATAACATATCAAATAATCCAGAAAGGTTTCGGAAGACTGGTTTATCTTGCGTATCGCACAACAACAAAGAGAAGGGAATGATAAACAAAAACAGCTGTAATGGAGAAACAAAGAGGAATATTTCTCTTTCACATCTTGATGCTGGTCAGATATGTGAAAATGACTCTAATGACTTTGATGCAAAGAAAAAACACAGCACTGGTAGCCAAACAGGGGATTCCGGAATAGGAAGCTTCCGAAGGACTACAAGCAATAGTAGCTCATTAACAGACGTAAATACGTCATTACAAAAACAAGCCAAGTGCAACAGACGTAAGGTTAGTGCAGGAGATGTTATGGATAATATCCATACATTTCAAAATCGGAACGGTGTAGGAAAGCTTAAAATAAGAAAACTCAGTGCTGAGAGCTTCTTTGAAGGATATTGTCAAAACAGAAAAGCTCCTGAGACCGAAGACATTCGATGCAGAAAATACAGTTTTGAAAACTTTTTCCGAGGATTACTGGGGAACAAAATTAAAGTTTCTAAGTCACAGTCAAACAATCTCTTACAAACTCATTCGGAAAAAAGTGAAGCAAATGAGACAAAAGAATTCTCTGCAAGCAATAATTGCTCTGTGCTCGAACAATGTCATGAAAACCTTGCGTTTGAAAGCAATGAAAATGATTTGCATAAACATGACGAAGCAGCAGTCCAAGAAATACTGAATGAACTTCATGAAATGGCTTCAGATCCGAAAAATCTTACGTCTGATGTCTCAAGGGCAGAAAAACTGACACTTCCTTTGAAAAATGGATTTCCTCGCCATAGGGTTTTGGCTAAGTCAGACTCGGGGTATGGGACAACGGAAAACCTGAGCATCACAAGTGCCACAACATTTCTGTGATAATATTTTTTATTACTGACGCTTATTGTCTCATGTCATTATAATATGGAAAGATATCATTGATATTCGTTTTTGTTGTCGATTTTAAAATCTTTTTTTGTATTAAATTGTGCCAAAAATATGCTCTGAAATGCAATCTCATGATTCAAGTTTTTAATGAAATAAAACATGCTAATCGTTGCTTATTTTCAGAGATTTCATAGAAATAGGAAATGAATAGTTTTTAAACAAAGATTTCTACTTGTTTTAAGTCAAGTAGGTATTAAGCATTAAAATTACCCTTACTTTGACTTTCATTTTTATGAAAATGTTTGATACTTTTTCTTTGGAATGAATAAGGCACATAACTCATATTCCGGTTATCGTTGAAAGTCTGAAGCGGACCTGAATTCATAAATCAATAATAATGTTCAATTTGCAGATGAAACAGCGAATACTTATCATTCAAAATTTAGATGTACATGTCCTCATTTTGAATTTTAAAAATATAGAATACCATCGTGATCAAAACATAGATTAATAACAAAAAAGGGTTATAAGTTATGCTGGTCAGGTCAACACTTGTCCATTATCTTTATCAGATTAACTAATGGATGTTTATTTTCAATGCATACTAAGTCTCTCTACCTTTAGAACTTTTATAAAATAACTTGCAGACGTTTGATTTATTCATGGTTAAAAAATTAATATCACAGTGAAGGATAGATGTTGAATATTCTTTTGCTTAAACATGTTAAATGCAAAGATGTTAGCTTATTTGTAACACGTTTTTTTTTATATAAAACATTTCTTAATTATCAAAATTATTCACCAATTGATGTTAAAATTTTCATGTGTTAAATTGAATAACTCCAATGCATTTGCCACCACTTAAAGTAAAAATTACTTCAGTAATTTATCCATTCACTGTTACATGTATGAGGCATCTTATTAAAGTATTACAGACCCCCCCCCCCCCCACAAGTTATTTATGACAAACACAAAACATACAACCTTCTGATTAACCCCATCCCACATCCCACCCTTCATAGAAGATATGAATAATCTATCTATTTATTTTAGATGTAATTTCGAAATTTGATTAAATCAGAGTATTCAACAAAACTTTATTATCTTTACATATTTCCTGGCTTAAGAGGTTTTTTTCTTCTCTCTCTCTTTCTCTCTCTCAATGATCTATTTTAGATTTTCACCACTCGAAAATTTGCACTTGAGTATTTCAGCATCTGTCCTTAACCGAACACTCCTTTAAATACACTTTTTCATACAAATCCTTCATAATTATATTTTTTTAATTAAGAATTATAAAAACATTATTCGGCTTTACCACATAATATATTCATATTAATATAAAGTAAATCATTTATTTTTAATATAAAAAGTCTCTCTGGACTTCATATCATACTAACGATGCTCTAACACTTACCATTTTAACTTTCAAGACTTCATGTTACATGTCCTTGTCGAAATTAATGAATTGTTGGCAAATGGCTGCTGTTGACTGTATTTTTTGTAAATACTTAACATCCTCTTTTTTGCACCGAAATATTTCAGCATGGAATCATGGTTGATGCTGGAGAGTGCTGCGCATACATATCATCCAGGAGATGTTCCGATGACTTTTCTTTGCAATACATGATAAAAACAGCGGCTTTGAAAAAACAAATCAAACAGTATTAATGTTTTGAAGAAAACAGTACCGTACCTGTAGTTTTTGCTTATGTTTCTTTCTGCCTAAAACTCCATTGAGCTTTATCTATTTGGGGTAAAATTTTACACACATCCTGCAATTTGAGATCAACACATAACTTTACACTTTATTCTTCTTCGTTAAATTTGTTTGTAATATACATGCTTATATTAAGATTAAGTAAAAAATTCAATATAATTAGCAGCTTTATTACAAATTTGTTTAATACTTACCTCCTGTTTCTAAAAGATACTGAACAGTCCTCCTCCTAAGCCCATTGTCATCAAGTTCCAGTATTATATTTCCTTCTTTGAAATCAACGTAAACAAAAAAAATCTGTATCAAATAAAATCCCAGAATAAGAACAAATATAGGTCATGGAATTTGTTTTATGAATGTCGATGTACACATCAATCAACAGAGTCAACTACATATATATGTAATACCTTTGGTGGTGGAATCAAATCCTTCAGACTGTATCTATGATTTATTTTATCAGTAACTTTCTTAATTTGTAGTTTAGCTGTTCATTCACTAGAATTTGTAATTTGTTTTGTCATTGGTAGATGGTATTCTCTGCTAGATTGTTCATTAAAGCTTATGATGCATAGAGAGTCTTCGAGATTTAGATACTTCTGACTTTTGAACTGCAATGGATGAAAATATAATTTTAGTATTGTTTGGGGTTTTTTTCGTCTTGTGAGTAAATAATATTTATTTTAAATTTGAATATTTCTATTCGGTGATATAGTTAGGGTTAATTGATATACAATTTTTTATCTAACGGCTCCAAACATGGGGAAAATGTTAAGGGAATAAAATTTTTGACCGCACCCCTATTACAAGGTCTTTGTTAAATTATTTTCTCTCCATGAAACTCCCCACAAGAGGCATTGGTTACAGACATATACAATTGCAAGTAAATGAATTAATACTGCAGTATATTAAATGATGTGCGAGCGTTTTAGTCACTACTTACTACTGTTTCCTGGATTCTGATTTTCGGCCTTGTGTCTTGTATATCAAGCTTTAGTAAAGAAGGATCCTGTAGACGTCCTTTACGATAGCAGAAACAGTACCAACAGCAAAAGCAACTGCAGATAAAACTAACAACAATAAAAAATGTTCATTGGAGATGACTGTAACACAGGTAAATTCAGGACAAATACAACTACAAATACATATAGTCAAAACGTTGATAAAATAGTATATAATACAACACATGCATCATTTGCTTGGATACATCTCGTACATTCATACATGAGTTTGGTTACGTACAGCACGTCCACAACTTCTCATTGTCTGCACATGTCTTCCACTTTTCTTCCTCTCTCCTCTTCAGACCAAGTTTCTGTGTTTTCTGTTCTAGTGTACTTAGACTGTGTTTCGTACGTTATTGTCTGACTCCTTTTCGTCTTCTAAAACACCAGGTTTTTCGTCCCGTAATTGTTGATAGGTCGTTGATTTTGCATCCTCCATATCTCCTAATTGTTGATCTCCCCGATCTGTCCTCTCTTGAACTACCTGTATTATCGATAGACTGTTTTCTACTTTTGTTGTCTTACGTCTTTCATGCAAAGGAGATGGGCGAACATAGCGTGCAGAAAGCCTATAGCTTCAGAAATATAAAAATCATGTTCAGTTTGTGAATTTAATATTTAGAGTAAAGTTCTCATTATTGAAGTTTATGAAATTGCGATAAACAAAACTTTTCTGAGGAAAATTTTCTCGGCAAAATTTATTCTTTTATTAAGAAAATTAATGTGGTATTCGTGGAATTCGAACCCTAGCAATAAAAATCCTAATTATCATTTTCTTTCGAGACTAGCACGCTAACCACTAGACTACACAAGTCCTGACGAACAGTGGCATTTAAATCATGTTTGTGATATGACCCTTGACTTAATGGACTTCAAGTATTACTCGAAAAGATGCGAATGTTATGTCATAAAAGTATATTTTTAAGGTATAGTGGGTCATTGCTCCATATTTTTGGTAACCAAAAACTGTATATTTTTATGCACACTTTGAGGATTAACTTTCAAAAAGGTGGAGCGAAGACCCACTCATATCGAAAAATAGTGTTATAGTATGAGAAAATGACTCTTTTTGCCCGCTTTAGTGTGTGTCTAATATTTCACATGCAAATAATTTTAATCTTTGAGGGATTTTTGCAAATTGTAGAGATTTTACATAAAGTATATTTTGATGTTAGACGAAATATCAAGGAAAATTTTGATATAATTGAAATTTAATTTTTCATCTTGATGTTTGTCACACTATAGGTTTATCGCTCGTCAAGTTCACCCATCTCCTTATTAAGCCATTGTTTTATACTGATTTCTCCGTTTACCCAATCATGACAAAGGGCACTCAGCGGGTGTGATCTGGAGACCAACACTTTTGATTCGTTATAAACATTAGTGAATTGAATGGTTAAAAACTATGTCAAAAAAAGAGAGGAAATTTTATCGACTTAATTTAGAAAAAAAAATGTTTTAAAACAATATCCGACTGATTTTAGGCCACTTAAATAACTAGAAATAATATAATTATGTATTGAGAAAATTGAAGATATTTGTTTCTATTCAATATTTTGAAAGTTACATTAACACATAATTTCTTTATCTTTGGCTGTTACAAAAAATCCGGGACCCTCAATTCAATAACATTTGAACAAAAATCTTATGACTGAAATTACACCCAACGTTCTAAACAAGAGGTCCAAGGGCCTTAACAATGGCCAGAGTATCGTTCAACACTGTAGAGGATCCATGACAGTAAAACTCAAAACAAATTAAACTGAAGGATTAAGCTTAAATGATCAAAAGCAAGAGAAATAGGATCATCAGGGATCAACAAAAGAAATCAGTCTAGAAGTGAACTCCGTTAGAGACCTTAAAGTACATCTAATTATTTGCCTGAGTTTGCCCCATTTTCACTTTCACAACATTAGATATTATAAAAATTATATAAAAATTATTGAATAAATCTCTTATTCTTATTCTTTTAATTACATTATTTACAGTGATTAATTATCATACGCAAACAGATTGATTGATTGTATATTGTTTTATGTCCCGTTCGAGAATTTTTCACTCATATAGTGACGTCACCATGTACCTGTGAAGGGCTTCAAATTTAGACCTCTTCTCGGCACTCAAGGCCATTGAGCAGTGAGGGTACCGTGACACGGGATCTCGGTTTTTCAGGTCTCATCCGAAAGATCCGCAACTTTCACTTCAAAGTGCCGAGCGCTTGGCGAAGGGACAATTGCTACCTATTTTTTATCAACTTAGGTCAGTCGCGGCCGTAATTCGAACACACGACCTTCGAATTCCGATCACGGAGCGAGCGCTCTCCCGACTGAGCTCTTTCTTGTAGAAATACTTTGAAATACTAAATGTATTTTTTCGGCTGGTTTGATGCTTTGCATCAATTTAACTTGTATTAGTTATTAGCTAATTTGGAGCTTCATAGACTTGTGGATAAGCATGGGGGGTGTTGTAGGTTTAGACTTTTTTTTTGTTTTTGGTCATATTGAGATAGAAGAATTAGTGGCTACTTACAAAGTTCTTACCTACATGTACATTTTAAGAAAAGAATAATTTAATTTCTAGTATTGTAACTAGAAATACATGTAGTATTACATGAGTTAAGGGTATACAACACGAAGGATGCGTCAACAGAAAAATTCTATTAAGCATATATCTCATATCTATATGGTCCATTAAGCTCGTGAGCATTTGGTCCATGGACCTCTTAGTTTATAATTTACATATCTTTATTTATTTTAAATCTTATTAAAAGTGATATTTATTATATTAACAGTATCATCAGTATTAACAGTAGATTTACATGACCATACATGTTCAAATTAGAACATTTATAGTTATCTCCCTTTAGTCAATATCAAAGAATACATCGTTAATACATGTAGAATCGAAAGGGAATCATTATTCCAAGGGGGTCATTTTTTATCCATGTAGGATATGCAGATTTTAAGGGTGGCGACACATTTCTACAGACCAGGCCCATTTTACCCTGAATCCTGCAGTGGTTTAATTTCATTATGAACAGATTCAATCCAAGAGTCCACTAAACTAGTGAAATGTAATCATTTGATATTTTATTCAGTTTGATTCATTAAATGATATTTCGTAACTGTATACATGTACAAGCACCAAAGACTTTTTTTTAAAAAAGTCACCATGAATAACAGCAAGAATTAACATAAATTATTTTTAACGAGTAAAATCAGACACAGAATATTCTTTTCCAGTTCAAATTTCATTATTAAACAAACAAAAATATGCTCAACATTTTTTTAGAAAAATTTTTTTCACAGTTCTACCAAAATTAGTCCTGCATTGTTTGGATGTATGAGTATCTACATATTTGTATAATATTCCCAAAATATGATTAAATCATTAGTAGTAAAAAGTTATTGCATGCAATATTTTGTCAATATGGATCAACATAAAAACTGTCACATATAAATAAAAATCTTACAGACACCTGCAATCTTAAATGTTTACTGGCACACTTTTTTTTATTCAAACAACAAATGTAATTATTTTGTACATCTATCAACATTCTTGATAACAACAGCAAGTTTTAAACAAGCAAATTTCAGAAGTATTTTTAAAATAAAATAAATTGTACAATTTTGGAACTTATTAGAATAGCTCCAATTCATTTCCAAATACCATTCTAATTTTAAACTAGGTAGGGAAATAAAAACATTTTTAAATATGGCACAAAAAAAATTTAGAACATTGAACAGAGAACTGAAATGACATGAAACTTTAAAAGCATGTAGTCTTTTTCCCTAATTAAAAAAAAAAAAATCATGTGATATTTTCCAATTTGAAATTAAAATAAAACAATGAAGTTTTAAATTCAGTAACAAGTTTTTATATTCCCAAACACAATCTTCAATGAATATGAAAAAATAAAAAAACATTTCAAATCACACATTTATAATGCTGATTGATTATAAGAAAATACTAGAGGTTTCATTGGTTATGTGATAATGTCATAAAGGGAATCATGCTTAGAGCGAAGTGCCAGAGACAAACAATTTTGATTCATCATAAATGTAGTTCTTTATATCCCATTAGTTTATAATTCAATTTAAAACTACAGGGAATAAAAAAAAATCATGTTGCTGTAAGCATAAATTCATTATTAGCATGTTCGCTGTACCCATGTTTACTATATACTGATTCTCCATGAATAAAATGATAAAGGAAACACAAAAATACAAATGTTAAATTTGCATAGTCTGTAGAGAGAAATAATCCTGATAACTTGGCTGCTTTAGAATTCAATGTTGAATGGATAGTACTTGTGTGTCAATGCTCTGTAAAATAAAGGTGCAGTTGGGTTTTTTTTTTCTTGTTAGTTTCATATGTTCATATGTGTTTTTGGCTATTTCTTACTGAATTATCCAAGGATCAGATAATCAACAAGAGGCCCATGGGCCACATCGCTCACCTGAGCACTGTGGCTAGGAAAAAAGCAAAACTCAGTTCAGTATTGAAAAGCTTACATGCATAAATGGTCCCGACCTACCCTTAAAAAGGGGGGGGGGGGGGGGTTGAGGGTATGATTTGAACAAAATTGAATCTACACTAACTAAGGATGCTTACATATTTCTTTGACTAACTGTGGCTTCTTTTCCTGCAAGTTTAAACTTTCATTGTTGTCCCACCCTACCCCCGGGGGTCATGATTTGAATAAATTTGAATCTACACTATCTGAGGATGCTTCCATATAAATATGACCAATCACGGCTTTGCTGTTCCTGAGAAGAAGATTTTTAAAGATTTTTCCTATATACTCCTATACAAAACTTGGATCGTCCATTGTGGCCCCCACCCAACCCCTGGGGGTCATGAATTGAACAAATTTGAATCTACACCACCTGTGGATGCTTCCATATAAATATGACCAATCATGGCTTTGCTGTTCTTGAGAAGAAGATTTTTGAAGATTTTTCCTATATATACCCCTATGAAAACTATGATTGTCCATTGTAGCCCCACCCAACCCCTGGGGGTCATGATTTGAACAAATTTGAATCTACACCACCCGTGGATGCTTCCATATAAATATGACCAATCATGGCTTTGCTGTTCTTGAGAAGAAGATTTTTGAAGATTTTTCCTATATACTCCTATGAAAACTATGATCGTCCATTGTAGCCCCACCCAACCCCTGGGGGTCATGAATTGAACAAATTTGAATCTACACCACCTGAGGATGCTTCCATATAAATATGACCTATCTTGGCTTTGCTGATCTTGAGAAGAAGATTTTTGAAGATTTTTCCTATATACTCTTTTGTTAAACTATGATTGTCCATTGTAGCCCCACCCTACCCCCGAGGGTCATGATTTGAACAAATTTGAATCTACACCACCTGAGGATGCTTTCAGATAAATATGACCAATCATGGCTTTGTTGTTCTTGAGAAAAAGATTTTTAAAGATTTTTCCTATATACTCCTATGAAAAATATGATCGTCCATTGTGGCCCCACCCTACCCCAGGGGTCATGATTTGAACAAACTTTAATCTACACTACCTGACGATGATTCCACATGAGTTTCATCTTTCCTGGTCCATTGCTTCTTGAGAAGAAGATTTTTAAAAGATGCCATTAATTTTTCACTATTTTGTAATTATCTCCCCTTGGAAGAGGGCATGGCCCTTCATTTGAACAAATTTGAATCCCCTCCACCCAAGAATACTCTGTGCCAAGTTTGGTTGAAATTGGCCCTGTGGTTCTGGAGAAGAAGATGAAATTGTGAAAAGCTAATGACAACGCCAACGACAACGACGACAGACAACAGACAAATTTTGATCAGAAAAGCTCACTTGAGCCTTTGGCTCAGGTGAGCTAAAAAAGAAAATGCATTAAAAAAAGTTTACATCTATGAAAGACAATGATTAAGTAGATTGAAATACATTGTCTCTCATGTGTGTTAACCTAGCAAATAAATAAATGAACACTTTGTAAACATACAAGAAGACTAAAATAGAAGTGGTTATACTTACATATCCTCAGTGTTAATTCTATGATTTTTATTCAAAGCAAGAATCTTTTTCATTTCTTCATCTGTCAATTCAAAATCAAACACCTGAAATATAAAATATTTTTTCATTGCAATGTCCAGAAATGATAACGAACAATCTTAAGAGAAATAAAACATTGAAGGAATTCATAGAGTACTCACGTCTGAAAGATGAGATCAACTTAAAAATTTATTTACTCATGATTTTATAAACTTTACAACCATTGCAAATTCAAAGACTTATAACATTAACATAAAAAGCAATTTCAAAAATATATTAAATTCAGATAAAGTTTAACATCAATCATAAACAAAATATCAAATTTACAGTTGTGGGGCCTTGTATTTAAGTTCATAATTAACAGGGTTCGGGCTAACCTACAGCTCAGGAAACAACTTCAAAGTAATAAACTTTGATATAGGATCAGTATTTTAAGAAGAACACATATGCCTTCAAGTATAGTTTAATTTGTATTCATGGAATGATTTTCAAAAGATTAAAAAAAATTGATTTTTTTTAAAAGAAAAATTTTTAACAAAAGAAATTAAATAATATACATTATTCTGTTTGGTTTGCCATTTATGTCTTTTGACCAGAGCAATTTCGGCACTCTTTTGTTCAGTGAAGATTCAATTCAGGCACTACCAACCTTTTGGTTGAGTTAAGGCCTCTAATGGACAGGGTTACATGACCCCATCTAATCAGTGACATATACACACTATAACAACAAGAAAAATTAAAATGATTTTCAATCAAATCATTAATCATACTCAATATTTTTGTTTGTAAGGCAGTCAGTGGCATATTAAAGTCAAGTAATTTATTTACTTAAAACTTCCAACAGGAACTATAGACACTATGAAAGGTATATATGCAGCTAAAGCCAAATTTTCTTTAAAAATCATTTAAGTTAAGGACCATTTGTAGCAAGATGCATGATGAAAATTTTAAACTAAAAAACAATTAACATTATGTCATCTGCATGGTGCAGTGGTTAGAGCGTCTGCTCTAGAGTCGCGGAGTAAGAAGTTGATCCTTACGTCGCGGGTTCAAATCCCACTGTGGGACTCGGAGACCGGTCCTTCGGATGAGACCGTATAAATCGAGGTTCCATGTCGCAGTAGGTGCTGGCATGAGAAAAGATCCCTCACTGCTCAATGGCCCTCAGTGCCGAGTTTAGGTAAAACCAGAAGTCTCTGATGAGACTGTAGCTCTACTGGTCTGTTTGTATAACAAAAGAAAAGTAGCACTTGGATTTGAAACATTGCAACATGCAACAATAAATAGAATTATGTATCTTAATGTAGTCTACTTTTGTGACAAGTTATATTGAAATCAAATGAAAACTAGGAGTAGTAGCGTTTTGAAAGTATTTCATGGAAATTTCTATTTCTAGTAACCATGACAACACCATTCACCCAAATAAAAAAAAACAGAAATACATATTATGTATCGTAGTGTATTCTAACTGTGTGCCAAATTAGATTGAAATCAGACCAAAATTGTAGGAGGAGTAACATTTTAAAGGAATTTCACAGAAATTTCTATTTTAAGTAACCATGGCAACACTGTTCATCGAATTCAAAAACCAATGCAATAAATTATGTATCTTAGTATAGTCTTCTTGTATGCCTAATTATATTAGAAGCAGACTAAAACTGTAGCAGGAGTAGCGTTTTAAAGGAATTTCACAGAAATTTCTATTTTTAGTAACCATGGAAACACCGTCCATCAAAATCAAAAACCAATGCACTAAATTATGTATCTTAGTGTAGTCTACTTGTGTGCCAAGTTATATTGAAATCGGACCAAAACTGTAGCAGGAGTAGCGTTTTAAAGGAATTTCACAGAAATTTCTATTTTTAGTAACCAAGGAAACACCGTCCATCGAAATCAAAAACCGATGCACTAAATTATGTATCTTAGTGTAGTCTACTTGTGTGCCAAATTATATTGAAATCGGACCAAAACTGTAGCAGGAGTAGCGTTTTAAAGGAATTTCACAGAAATTTCTATTTTTAGTAACCATGGCAACACCGTCCATCGAAATCAAAAACCGATGCACTAAATTATGTATCTTAGTGTAGTCTACTTGTGTGCCAAGTTATATTGAAATCGGACCAAAACTGTAGCAGGAGTAGCGTTTTAAAGAAATTTCACAGAAATTTCTATTTTTAGTAACCATGGAAACACCATCCATCGAAATCAAAAACCGATGCACTAAATTATGTATCTTAGTGTAGTCTACTTGTGTGCCAAGTTATATTGAAATCGGACCAAAACTGTAGCAGGAGTAGCGTTTTAAAGAAATTTCACAGAAATTTCTATTTTTAGTAACCATGGCAACATCGTCCATCGAAATCAAAAACCGATGCACTAAATAATGTATCTTAGTGTAGTCTACTTGTGTGCCAAGTTATATTGAAATTGGACCAAAACTGTAGGAGGAGTAGCGTTTTAAAGGAATTTCACAGAAATTTCTATTTTTAGTAACCATGGCAACACCGTCCATCGAAATCAAAAACCGATGCACTAAATTATGTATCTTAGTGTAACCTACTTGTGTGCCAAGTTATATTGAAATTGGACCAAAACTGTAGGAGGAGTAGCGTTTTAAAGGAATTTCACAGAAATTTCTATTTTTAGTAACCATGGAAACACCGTCCATCGAAATCAAAAACCGATGCACTAAATTATGTATCTTAGTGTAGTCTACTTGTGTGCCAAGTTATATTGAAATCGGACCAAAACTGTAGGAGGAGTAGCGTTTTGAAAAATTGTTTACAGACAGACGGACAGACAGACAGACAGACAGACAGACAGACAGACAGACGGACGGACGACGGACACCTTACTATCGCATAAGCTCTTCTGGTCTCTGACCAGTAGAGCTAAAAACTCAGCTCTCCACCGACAAGTGGTGGCATCTCCATATGAATGAAAATTTCTCAAGAGGGATGTGAAACAACAAACAAACAAATTAACATTATAGTTTAACTCACAAAATGTGGTTTGGAAAATCTGGTAAATGTCCATGTGTAATATCCGGAAATTTATTATATTTACTTTTTGGTTTTGTGTTTTAGATGTCGGTCACTTCCTAGATAGTTTTAGATAAAGATGTGTATTGAACACATGTGTTATTATTCTATTTGGATCTATTTGGATCGTTCACCAGTAATTACAAGAACATTACATTGGCGACGAGGACGAGGACGGAGACTTAAAAAAAAAAAAGCGCACCTGAGGATCGCCCAATACGCCATTCCAGGTCGGCAAGTGACTTAACAATAAACATTAACTTTCGATTTGCAATTTCGCTCCACGTGTGATCCACATGAGAAAAATGGCGGCACTACCCGAGTTTCCCCCATTTGTACTTCATGCAGAAGGAAGCACGGCGACGCGATGGAGAAAGTGGAAAGAACGTTTTGAAAATTTAATTGTTGCTATGAACGTTACAGACAAGAAGCGTCAAAAGGCTTTATTGTTGCATTATGCAGGTGAGGAGGTGCATGATGTTTTCACAACACTGACCCTCGCGGAAGGTGAGGAAGATGTTTATAAACAAGCTGTAGATGCTTTGAACACGTACTTCGTCCCAAAAAGAAACAAGGAATATGACATTTACAAATTCCGGCAAGCAAAACAAGAAACAGGTGAATCCATTGACACATTTCACACCCGCCTAAGGAAGCTGGCTGAAACGTGTGAGTTTACTAACGTCGAAAATGAAATCAAGAGTCAAATTATTCAATCATGCAGTTCCTCAAGGCTTCGTCGAAGAGCACTCCGTGAATCCGAAATTGATTTGAAACAACTGCTATTGCTTGCAAGATCATTTGAAATTAGTGATGCACAAGCTACAGGGATCGAAAATGAAGGTGCGGCACTCGTTAATGCAGTGACACGGCCCCCAGATAACTCACGTAGAAAGCAAACACACAAAGGAGGGACCAGAAATGGGAGAGGCAGAAGTATACAAAGAGGAACATGTAGAAACAGAGGAAACTCAGAACGACGAAAACATGAGAAAACATGCCATCATTGTGGAGGACCATATCCTCATACTGGACAGTGCCCTGCTAGAGGCCAAAAGTGTAGATCATGTGGTAAACTGAATCACTTCGCCAGGGTGTGCAAATCCAAAATGGTGAAACAACTCCAAACAGCAACAACTGAAGTGTCGAGCTCTGAGGATGAATATTCCTTTCATATCAACAAACCTAAGGGAAACAGTAAGCAACCAAAAACCAAAATAAGAATGTTTGGCACAGACGTGGAAATGCTAGTTGATACTGGAACAACAGTGAACATAATTGATGAAACTTGTTTTGCCAAACTCAAGGAACGTCCAAATATTGATCATACTGGTACAAGAGTCTACGCATATGGATCCAAAAAGCCAATAGACTTAGTTGGTAGTTTCAGAACTGAAATTTCATCTATCACTCACCGTACAAAGACAACTACAGAATTATATGTTGTGAAAGGAAGTTATGGATCACTTCTCAGCTACCAGACTGCAGTGGACTTGGACGTCATACCAGTTATTCGTTTAGTCACGCCGTCCAAAACTGAACAGATCATTGATGAATTCTCGGACAGATTTGAAGGCATTGGGAAAATAAAAGACCTACAGTTACAGATACATGTTGACGATACAAAAGCGCCAGTCGCACAGCCGCATAGGAGAATACCCTTTCACATGAGGAAAAAGGTGGAAGCTGAGCTAGAGAGACTTGAAAAACTTGATATTATAGAGAAAATTGAGGGACCCACTCCCTGGGTTTCCCCTATAGTGGTAGCCCCTAAGCCAAAGAAACCAGAGGAAATTAGGATCTGTGTTGACATGAGGCAGGTGAACACTGCAATCAAGAGAGAACGGCATATTACACCCACCATAGATGACATCATACTTGACCTAAATGGATCTCGTGTATTCTCAAAGTTGGACCTCAACTCAGGATATCATCAGGTGGAACTAGCACCCGAATCACGAAACATAACAACATTCACTACGCATGTTGGTCTACGGAGGTACAAACGCTTGATATTTGGAATCAGCTGTGCTGCAGAAAAATTTCAAACTATTATCAGAGACTGTTTGGAGGGACTAGAAGGCACTCGAAATATCAGTGATGATATTATTGTGTTCGCAAAAACACAGGAGGAGCATGATCAAAGGCTCAAGAAGGTACTACAGAGGTTACGTGAGAAGAACATAACCTTGAACAAGTCAAAGTGTGAATTTAACAAGAACTCTGTAGAATTCTTTGGATACCACTTCAGTGCAGAAGGGATGTCAGCAGACCCAAAGAAGATAGATGCCATTAAATCAGCTACAGCTCCACAAAATGCAGGTGAACTTCGTAGTCTTCTGGGATTAGCCAACTATGTCTCTCGCTTCATACCAAACTTTGCAACAATTGTGGCTCCACTACGTGTTCTCACTCACCAGAAAACTACTTGGCATTGGGGAAAAGAAGAACAATCAGCATTTGATGAACTGAAGGATAAACTAACTACTGATGTTATGGCCTACTTTGATTCTGCAAAGAAAACAAAGCTTCTGGTTGATGCAAGTCCAGTGAGACTCGGAGCAGTACTCACTCAAGAGGGAAGGATCATATCCTATGCAAGCAAAGCTCTCTCTGATGTGGAAACAAGATACTCCCAGACGGAAAAGGAGGCGTTAGCCATAGTGTGGGGAATTGAACACTTTCATCTCTACTTATTTGGTGCTGAATTCATACTTACTACAGATCACAAGCCCCTGGAGATAATCTTCAATAATCCAAGAAGCAAACCCCCAGCCAGGATCGAAAGGTGGAGGTTACGATTACAGCCATATGACTTTACTGTTGAATATCGTCCCGGGAAAGGAAATCCAGCTGATTATATCTCCAGGCATCCTCTGAAATCAGGGAACATACTCAGACACTCCAAGATAGCAGAGGAATACTTGAATTTTGTTCTGTCTTCAGCAAAGCCAAAAGCATATCACTTACCCAGATTACTGATGCATCCAACAAAGACCCTATCATTCAAGAAGTAATATCAAGAATGCTGAGAGGAGAGTGGAAGTCAACTCCAAAAGATGCTCGAGTCCAACCGTATTTTCGCATTCGTGACAAATTGACTATTGCACCAACAGAACATGGCAGCATACTACTATTTGAAAACAGAGTTGTCATACCAATCACCCTTCAACAGGATGTAGTAGCACTAGCACATGAAGGACACCAAGGATTAGTCAAAACCAAGCAGCTTCTACGTGACAAAGTCTGGTTTCCTGGAATTAACCAACAAGTTGAAGATGTCTGTAAACAGTGCGTACCCTGTTTAGCTTCTACTCCCACAAACCACCAGGAACCGCTTCATATGACAGAAATACCAAAATCACCATGGTCTCGGGTATCAGCTGATTTTTGTGGTCCGTTTCCGACAGGAGAATATGTACTAGTCATGATTGATGACCACTCCAGATATCCAGTGGTTGAGATACTAAGATCTACTTCAGCGAAATCTGTAATACCAGTAATGGACAAGGTCTTCTCGCTATTTGGAATACCGGAAGAGCTAAAGACAGACAATGGCCCACCATTTCAAAGTCAGGAGTTCAGCAAGTTCTCAGAATATCTTGGCTTCAAGCACAGGAGGATCACACCATTATGGCCAAAGGCGAACGGTGAGGCTGAAAGATTCATGCGCACTCTTGGTAAAGCTATTAAAACAGCCAACATAGAATGCAAAAACTGGAAACAGGAGATGTTTACATTTCTTAGAAATTATCGGGCAACACCCCATAGTACTACAGGTCAGTCTCCAGCAGAAGGACTACTAGGCCGTAAAATGAAGACAAAACTACCTGAAATGGTGGAAAGGAAGGACAAGCGAACCGATGTATACAAGAATGATAGACAAGCCAAGGAGAAAATGAAATACTATGCAGATACAAAGAGCAAAGCAAGAGAATCCTTGTTGAAAGAAGGTGACACAGTTCTAATAAAGGTTCCAAAGGAAAACAAGCTTTCGACTCCATTCAACACTACACCTTATGTAGTAGCACAGAAACATGGAACTCAGATCACGGCAGAAGGAGAAGGTCGCAGGGTAACACGAAACTCGTCCCACTTCAAGAAAGTTGATATCGATCAGGATGTTCTGAAAGATCCAAAAGAGCGTGAGGAGGAGCTTGAGGAAATTGAAATTCCTAACGTACCGAATGTCCGTCAGGAGAAGCCAGAAATCCAAACCCCGACAGTTCAAGAAAGTCCATTATCTTCCATCCCGACCGGTAACAAAAGGCCTTCGCGTGCAGTGAAAATGCCCGGATACTTGAAGAATTATGTGCTTTCTTAAAATATTCTTTGGATGTGTTGTGTGTGAAATAATCCAATATCTGTGACTTTATTTGGTTTAGCAAAATATGCTTTATTCTAGTCATGATTATTCTAGTCATTCAATGTGTATTGTGAATCTCAAATTCATGAGTCAAATAAGTACTTCTACGTCAATTATTGTGAAATGTAAAGACAGTTAAATTAGCCAAATCTATGTACTTAAATGTTTTAATTTTCTATTCAAAAAAAAAAAGAAAAGGAAATGTGATGTAATATCCGGAAATTTATTATCTTTACTTTTTGGTTTTGTGTTTTAGATGTCGGTCACTTCCTAGATAGTTTTAGATAAAGATGTGTATTGAACACATGTGTTATTATTCTATTTGGATCGTTCACCAGTAATTACAAGAACATTACACCATGTATATACCTGTACTTAAAAAAAGAAACACATTATTGGGTTGAAAAAAATCATATTAAGACATTGACAAAATGTTAATTTTGTGAAATGTATTCTTCGATCATCTTAACAGTTCCAATATATTATAATTAACAATATGGAATATGAATTCTTAAGGGTATCTATCGGTAGCTTTGCTGTGAGTTTGAATAACATATAATTCTGAAAGATTAATGTAGCAAAGGCAGGCCTTTAGTAAGGCCAAATAAAAAAATATGTGTAGTTACCCGACCTTCCCTATTTTATACCCCCGACCCTAAACTTTTTTTTGGCAATTTTCATATTTTTTCCGGAATTTCCCCCGATTTCCATCAATCTCTCCACTTTAAGTTTTAGTTTCGGCAATGACGGCTTCCTTGCAAAACATAGTGCAAGTGTTTAAAAGTGTTAAATCCAAAGCAAGCTAGCATGTAGGTGTCCCCTACCAATATTTACTAGTATATTATCATGCCACATCTAAATGCCATTTGCAAAGCAGTGATAGGTATTATTTAGAAAAATTAAGAAAATCATTTTGCTAAAAAAAAAATTAAAAAAAAAAAAAAAAATCCCTACCTACCTACCCTAATTTTTTTGGAAGTGTAACCGGAACCACACATATTTTTTTGTTTGGCCTAAGGTAAAAAAAAATAACTGAAAGCAGTTACTGGAAAAAATTAACTTGATAATAGTTATGCCCCTGACTATCTTTTTTTTTTACAAAATGATTACATGTACACATTTACGTTACAATTCCTACTGAAATTCATAGTCTTTCACTACTTTGTAATGATTTCAAAATACACATACAAGAAGCTAGTGAAAAACATATACATGTATGTACATATGTTTTGTCTTTGAGACTTTAGCTTGTATTTAAGAATATTTGATTTGTCTAGATCTTGCACACAATTAAATCAAATAAAATTGAAAACTAAGTGGGACTGACTGACAGACAGACAGATGGATAAGAAATCTATAGTCCCCTCCCGTTTCACTGGAAATAGACTAATAATATGAAAAAAAATTGCCCAACTACCTGAAAATTTTCAACAATTCTACCAGGACTGACTGATTTCGGAATCACCACTAGTCCTCTCTGAAGAAGAAACCTTAAAATGATCTGAAATAGAAAACAAGTGGCTAAAAATAGAGTGAATTTCCCTCAATCATCAAGTACATCTACTGTGATCTATATTTATCCATTTCAAAAGTTTATACATCTGGAATTACCTGAGAAGGAGTCTTTTGCTTGCTTTTAGCAATATCAACAATGACCGGCTCCTGCAGACATGGGGTGTAAGGAATACTGAAGAGAATAAGTAAAGAACGAATTGGTTAACAAAAACTAACCAAGTGACACTGATAGATGCATTGTGTTTAAAACTATTGAGACAATGATCCCTGGATATTAAGGTTCTTTGTGTGGAAAATAATAATACTATAGGAAAAATATCCTTTTGAAAGACTTTCACAGAAATTTCTATTTTAAGTAACCATGGAACCATCATTCATTCTAATCAAAAGTGATATACTGAATTGTATATCAAAATGCAGTCTATTTGTATAGCAAGGTTTCTTTGAACACATACTAAAAATGTAGGAAAAGTAGACTTTTGAAAACATTAACATTTTTTTTTTAGTATATTCATGCCAACATCATTTTTTAAAATCTTAATTAAACCACTAATATTAAATTATGAATCTTAGTGTAGTCTTATTGAAATCTGTGGCTTAAAATGTTGGAGGATTAATATAAGCAAATTGAAAAAATTTTAAAGAAATTTCTATTTTTAGTAACCATGGCAACACCATTAATTATTAAAAACCCAAAATATAAAATGATGTATCTTAGTTGGTCTTCCTTGTTTAGCAAGTTTAATTGAAATCAGATCAAAACAGACAGATGGATGGAAGACAGAAACCTTGCCATTGCTGCACAAGCAGTAGAGATAAAAATCAATGAAAAGTAGGAGGACTCTTAGGGTCAGAAAAAAGAAGTCCTGGATATTTCTTACGGACAACTTTGCCAGTAAGTACATAGTAACTAAGGTGGACATCATAGCAAACTAACCACTTTAAACAAACACCTCTGAGGCCCAAGGGCCTAAAATGACTTGATCTTTTTTAGGTCAACATATCTTAAGGTCCCAAGATAAATCAGCTGACTAGGTCTGATGATCCTAGGCCTCTATCTATCCAGGCTAGTAAGATTTGACAATGAAATTAAAAAAGTAGGTCACTGTGACTTACTTTTGAATTGAAATATCCTGGAATACAAAAAACATCAACTATTCAGGTTTGTTCAAATTATTTTGGTTACAATATTTTTTAGTGATAAGCTGTAAAATTCAGGAAGTATGTAACTGTGCATGACCTTTCTTTTTCAGTTGACAACACACAAGAGCCAAAGATGCATCAACTGACAATGTTTGATGATTCTGACACAATTTAAAGGCCCCATTTTGATGGTTCTAAGCCTCTTCCTACCCTAAACATTGAGATAGAAATGAAAAATTCCCAAAAATAGGACATCATGATCTAACTATTTGGATGACACATTCTGAGGACCCAAGATGCATAAACTGGAAAAGATTTATGGTTCTAAGCTTCTGATTTTCTGAAATATTTAAATATACATGTGGCCTAGAAATTCCTAAAGTAGGTCACCACGATCTACTTTTTAGTTAACACTCTTTGAGAACCCAATGAGAACTGATGAAGTTTGATGATTCTAAGCCTCTTATTATCTGAAATATTTAGATATAGCTGTAAAATCCCAAAAGTAGGCATACTGACTACTTTTTGACACACTTTGAGAACCCAAGACAGGGATTTATCAGTACCTTCTCAGGGGCCGAAATTCGGCCCCATTCCCAATTGAAAATGAGTTAAATTTTTCCCAATTTGGCAGTATTTTTTCCCAATTGGTGAACAATGCTTTTGTATTTAATTATCTTGGAAAAAGACAAGGAAAATTGTCAGATTGTCTGTAATATTCATCTATTTAAGTCATTAAGCAAAGCTACAGTCATAACACATGTTTAAAAACACTGTAAAAACATCGCCAACTTTTAATCCGAATTTCCTCCGTTTTTCTGAAAATGGTGATATTGTGTAATTATATAGATTTATTAAGTTATTTCTACCTACTCAATTGATCTACGAGTGTATGGTAAGGTCTGTAGGCATTATTTCAAATAGAAAAATATATTTTCAATGCATTAATACATATTAAAAGAGGACTTTGAGAAAATGTATACTTGCAGGAGATTTATATATTCTCCAGAAACAGATTCTGTAATGACCTAAATTGGAATCTCATACGCACATGTACTACCCTAAGTTGTATAAACACTTTATACTCATTGAAGTCAATTTTACTTTTATTAGTCTGTTATTCATAATTGATCTTGTATGAAGTTGGATCATATATATTGTCTGTTTGGTTGCCCAAATTAGAGTTCATGCTGAAATGTTAAATGAATTACACCTGAATACATGATTTAAGCAACATTTTTAATTTTTCCCAATTTCATCAAAAAGCCGATAATTTTTTCCCAATTCCCCAAAAATGGCATTTCCCAAAATAGGCTGATAAATCCCTGCAAGATGCATCAACTGACAAAGTTTGATGATTTTAAACCTCTTATTATCCAAAATTTTTAGATATAGCTGTGAAATTCCAAAAGTAGGGCATGGTGACCTATTCTTTGGTTGACTTTCTTTGATGACCAAGATAGTTTGATGATTCTAAACCTCTTAAAAATGAAATACAGGCAAACTTCGTTGTCTCGAACACTGATATCTTGAATACCATGGATATGTCAAAGTGATTTGGAAGTCCTATCCCCTGATTCTTTAAGTGTTTTACCCTGGATATCTCGAATCCTCAGATACTCTCAGTTTTTTCTTGGTCCCATTGAGTTTGAGATAATGAGGTTTGACTGTATTGGGAAAAAAAGCAAAGAAATCCCCAAAGTAGGTCATGGTGACATACTTTTAGACCGATATATTACGAGGCCTTTACATGCAACTACTTACAAGGACTAATGATCATCAGGGCTCTCGTACCACTTTTTGGGAATGGGGCTGGGGCCGTAAAGATTGGGAAAATTGCGACCTTTTGGGAAATTTTGGGATAACCATTATGCTTTAAAATCATGAAATACTGGATTTCTGGTCTTTGTTATCAACTAAATTTTTGTTTTGCAGTACAGAGGAATATGAATAGCAAGTTAAGTTACGACATATCAAACTATATTTTCATTAACTTTTTTGAGAAATGACTATTGGGAAAATTAACACATTCAATTGGGAAAAAAAGTACCTTTTTGATTGGGAATGGGGCCCTTGAAGGCCCCAATTATAGATAATTGAGAGCCCTGATCATACGCTTCAGCTTGCCCAAGATATGCATCTAAAACAATTTGAAAATGAATAGCTGCAAAATTTAAAAAGTAGATCATCATGACCTACTTTTGGATCAATCTAAGATGCATCAACTGACAAGATTTGATGATTCTTGTCCTAATTGTTGGCAAAATATCACAGTTATAACAAAATTTCATTTTACGTCAACTTTGAAGTGACCTTGAGACCATGCCCTTTGCCCTAGGGTGACGCCTTGAACAATTTTTAATGTACAATGTATCCTCATCCTCAAGTGTAAGTTTAGTAATTACCTTTCCAATGGTTTTTGAGAAGAATTTTTTTAGCAACCACTACTTTAGTTTTTATTTCCCTAATTATCTCGCCTTGTTTAAGGGTCAAATCTCTATTTTCAGCAAAAATGAAAACCCATGGGCCAAGGATACTCTGCAACAAATCTGACAAAAATTGGCTAAGGTGTTCTTGAGATAAATTCCACATTTCAAAATAGTTCATGCACTTACCACAAATGGCATTAGCTCTTTGAGTCTTGGCTAAAAAAAGCTAAAAAAGATAATGACATTCATAGTCAGACTTACGATTTGTGTCCAGGACTAGCAAATGGAGAATATGCTGTTACTGTAATGCCTCGTGCTTTGCAGAATTCTATCAGCTTTTCTTGACTAAGGTATATATGACATTCAACCTATGGAAAAATAATATGTATTTGCAAATATAATACTCTTTCTTGTTAAATGAGCAGTATTTTTACCCTACATACAATATGTCTAAATGTCATGTATATAATTACATATTAGAATTTCAATTAATTTTTTTATTGAAAATGTGTTAAAAAAAGGTTTTAAAAGTTAAACTTCATCACTTAGTACATGTACACTTATTAAAACATACACATCATAAATACAAATTTCTTTTGATCATCTAAATTCCTTTTATATCATAGCTTACAAATGTAGCTCAAATCATCTAAATTCCTTTTATATCATAGCTTACAAATGTAGCTCAAATTACTTCATTTTAGTTTTTTCTATAAATGTTCATATGTTCATGATGTTCATATCCAAGTGAAAAACAACTATTGAGCAAATCACACCTGATTCATGACAGGTTTAATTCTTGCTACATCCAGAATTCTTTGAATTTGTTCACTGTTAAAGTTGGACAATCCAATGTACTTTACAAGTCCTTCATCTACACAATCTTCCATAGCCTACAACAGAAATATCTCTGTTATCTATTAAGTTTTTTTATCTTTATTAGAAAGCTTAATTTTGCAACACAATAAAATACAAAGATACTTTATTTTCTTTTTTTTCTAAAACTTATCACTGTTAGAATTTACTAATATTTCCATTAATTCTATAGTATTTACCTTCCAAGTGTCTACATAGTCAACATCAGAGAATAAAACATTTCCTTTTTCATCCTTCGGAATAAATTCACCTCCTTCCTAGACGGGAATAAAGGATTTAATAAGTATATTATACATTTACACATACTAAATTCATATCTGGTCTGATGTGGTATTTGTATAATGTAACCAAATTTGTAGTTTTCTAGGATTTAAAAATAACTTTTCAATGTCTTATTAATATACCCAAAATCTGGAGAAAATGGTATTATAAATTATCAAAACATCTTGTATTTTGTTATTTTTTGATTCCAGTTAATTTTTTATGTGATAAAATTAGAATAATTTTTTATTTATTTGGGGGATGATTTTATTATCTTTTTTTTTTAATGTTTTTGCCAATGAACGAGATCTTACCCTTAGAGTGATTGGCCAGTGAATGAGATTTTACCCTTAGAACAATTGGCCAGTGAACGAGATCTTACCCTTAGAGTGATTGGTCAATGAATGAGATCTTACCCTTAGAGCAATTGGCCAGTGAACGAGATCTTACCCTTAGAGCAATTGGCCAGTGAATGAGATCTTACCCTTAGAGTGATTGGCCAATGAATGAGATCTTACCCTCAGAGTGATTGGCCAATGAATGAGATTTTACCCTTAGAACGATTGGCCAGTGAATGAGATTTTACCCTTAGAACGATTGGCCAGTGAATGAGATCTTACCCTTAGAGTGATTGGCCAATGAATGAGATCTTACCCTTAGAGTGATTGGCCAATGAATGAGATCTTACCTTTAGAGTGATTGGCCAATGAATCAGATCTTATCCTTAGAGTGGTTGGCCAGTAAACGAGATCCTACCCTTAGAGTGATTGGCCAATGAATGAGATCTTATCCTTAGAGTGATTGGCCAGTGAATGAGATTTTACCCTTAGAGTAATTGGCCAGTGAATGAGATCTTACCCTTAGAATGATTGGCCAATGAATGAGATCTTACCCTTAGAGTGATTGGCCATTGAATGAGATCTTACCCTAAGAGAGATTGGCCAATGAATGAGATCTTACCCTTAGAGTGATTGGCCATTGAATGAGATCTTACCCTTAGAGTGATTGGCCATTGAATGAGATCTTACCCTAAGAGCGATTGGCCAATGAATGAGATCTTACCCTTAGAGTGATTGGCCAATGAATGAGATCTTACCCTTAGAGTGATTGGCCATTGAATGAGATCTTACCCTTAGAGTGATTGGCTTGTGAATGAGATCTTACCCTAAGAGCAATTGGCCAGTGAATGAGGTACAGATCTAAATACTGCAGTCCTAGGTCCTCCATGCTCTTTTTGAGACTAGTTCTTACTAAATCTGGTCTGTGGCAGGAATTCCACAGCTGAAATAAAGTAAAAGATTCAGAAAAGATTTTCATACAATCAATATACATGAATACATACCTTGATATGCATGCAGAAGTCACTCAGTCCAAATTTTTCTAAATAATATACTTTCTCTGATGCCATGACAAAGTCATTGCAATTTAGCTTTGAAGTGGCAAATTATGTAAATAGTAAAAAAGGAAAAATAAAACAGTTGAACTTCGGTATCTGGAACACTGATATCTCAAACACCATGGATACGTCAAAGTTATTTGAAAATCTCAACCACATATTCCTTTAGTATTTTACCCTTGATATCTCGAATCCTCAGATATCTCAAATTTTTTTCTCAGTCCGATAGAGTTTGAGATAATGAGGTTTGACTGTAGTTGGAAATGTGTATTTACATCAATGAATTGGGGGGGGGGGGGGGGGGGGGAGGGGAGAAAAAGGACATTTCAGTCATTGTTTTATCTGACTCAGAGGTGATTTGTAGAAGTCAAGAGAAACCTTGCTTGTAATGAACAAGTCCTCCCTCCTGACTTTGTCTTCTACGATGGTTTGTTTTATGGCCTGACCCACGGCTCTCTCATTCCTGTAGATGGCAGCACAGTCTAGATGACGATACCCTGTTTTTATGGCCACACGAACCGCTTCATACACATCATCTTCACTCTGAATATTACAAGTTCTTAATGGCATTATAATGGTACTTTGGAAAACACATTTTGACAATTTCCAACAACAAATTTAGCTATAGACTTACAGTTAACAACTATATTGTTTATTTCTGTTTCATTGCCATGTTTATATAATTATATTACACCATTTTATAAAAATAGTGTTCAGTTAAGTATTTATTTCTATAATTAAGGGCATAATAAGTTATAACCTTGCTTAAATACTTTCTTGCATTTTTGTACTTGGGTTTGGCCAATGGGGGAGGAGGAAAAAAGATACCACTCATTGAGTTTGTAATGACTTGGTACAAATTTAATTTGAAGCCATTTTATTGTCATGAGTCTTTTTGAGAAATGTTTAACCTACTACTTGAACATGTCCAATACAAACACATGGGTATTCTTGATGATTTAGAGGTTATGAAATTGATTCTCAATAAAATTATCATGGATAAATCTAAATATCTTTTAACTATGAGATGAAGAAAAGTTGCTGTTAGCATGTAAACTACTGACTACGAGGGGTTATCAAAAAGTTCGTGGACTAGCATCATAAAATTAAAACCGCTTGAGATGCATCAATGAATTTTTAAACATTAAATAAGTATCTTCTTTTCTATCTGTAAAGTAAACTATGAATCATAAGTTTTATTTTTGAGTGAATCGTAAATGTTTTTGTAAGCAATGGTATGTCCAGGTGGCGCAACGTCGAACATGACGTATTTTCTACCCGAGTGTAACTTAGAAAAACTCTTCTTGTATGAGCATTTGTCATTCAATAATCCCATCAAGTCACTCATGTGATATGACATATATTTTCCATAAAAGTTGCAATTTTTGCCTCATTCTGTATATTCTATGTAATTTTATCATTAATTTTATATGCAATGTCCAAACAATAAAGGGGTTAAAAATGACAACGAAAGGGGGTAGGGTGACATTTTAAAACATTCTTTAAAGTTTCAACCCCTCGAAAACCTGGCATAGACCTAGTAAATGTTTAAATAGGCTAGAGAAATAAAATACATCCTGAGTACTTGTTTTTAAATACCAAAAACAATTCAGCAAGAAAAGAGACACACGGTTAATGTCTATTTGTTGTCAGGGTGTCCAAAGTCAGTCACGTCGAAAAGTGATGTTGATCATTGGTTGACATTGAACTCCGCCAAGAAAATTATGCTGGCAAAACCAAGCGAGGATCTTGTCCTTTGTATAGATTTAATATTTACAATATTAATGCATTGAAATCAGGTGTTCATGACATTGTAAAGTCATATAAACAAGACGGGTTTAGGTCTTAACTTTACTCTAGAGAATCTCATCAAGATAAGTATATTGAGGCAGAGAGTATGGGCATTGAGGATAATGACGTTGTCGGACTTCATGAAACTAAACGACGACAGCGCCGGGTGATCATATAATGTCCTTTTTATTTGTTAATGATAATTTGGCAAATTATAAACATATCAAGCTGAACTTTTCAATACTTCTTAAACTTTTGTTGATTTATGTTCCCTATAAATTTTGTAATCAACGACTACATAGTATTAATTTTATCGCATCAGTCCACGAACTTTTTCATAAACCCTCATATAATTGCAAAAAGTGTCAAGATCTAGTAAATGACTCTTAATTGTCTTCTTGGTGCTAGATCCATTATGACGTCATAATCAACTTTTTTCCCCCATACTTTACGGATTTAATACAAAAATACTGAAAACCAGAAGTCTCTGATGAGACTGTAGCTCTACTGGTTGTACTTATAAAGGAAGATAAAAGTAGCACTTGGATTTGAAACTTTGCAACAGCAATAAATAGAATAATGATCCTTGGTTTAGTCTGTTTTTGTGGCAAGATTTATTTCAATCAGAATAAAACTGTGGGAGGAGTAGCCTTTTAAAATAATTTTATATAAATTTTGATTTAAGTAACCATGGCAACATCATTAAACAAAATCAAAAAGCAATAAAGACAATTATGTATCTCAGTGTAGTCTACTTGTATGCCAAGTTATACTGAAATCAGACAAAACATGTACTAGGAGGAGTAGCATTTTGAAAGTATTTCAAAAAATTTCTATTTTTAGTAACCATGGCAACACCATTCATCGAAATCAAAAACTGGTACAGAAAACTTTGTACCTTTGTGTAGTCTACTTGTGTGCCAAGTTATATTGAAATGAGATCAAAACTATAAGAGGAGTAGCATTTTGAAAGTATTTCAAGGAAATTTCTATTTTTAGTAACCATGGAAACACTGTTCATCGAAATCAAAAACCGATAAACAGGATTATGTATCTTAGTGTAGCCTACTTGTGTGCCAAGTTATATTGAAATCAGACCAAAACTGTAGGAGGAGTAGCCTTTTGAAAAATTGTTTACAGACGGACGGACAGACAGACAGACAGCTAGACAGACGGACGAACGATGGACACCTTACTATCACATAAGCTCTTCTGGTCTCTGACTAGTAGAGCTAATGAAGAATTTTCATGGAATTCAATTTGAAATTATATGAAAAGTAGTCTTATATCCAATTTAGTGTTTTAATGTAGAGGCCAAGAACATACACATTACCGTTTTCTGGGGGACTGTTGACAATATGGAAACATTTCATTTGTCTGATATGGAAAAAAACTCCCATATTCATGAATGGTTTTCTTTGTTTTTCATTGAAAATGACAGTTTAAAACACTGGGATTTTTTGGCCTTATTTGCCTAAAAATCATGCCCGATACACATTATGTTAAAAAGCTTTAGCGATGAAGCATCATTAAAGGAACTTATTTCTCAAATTTTAGAAATCTGTAGGCACCTTTCATTTCCTAGATCTTGACCTTAAGTCTTAATTTGAATTACTAGTTAACTTATCATTTGACCTTGAAGTTGACCTTTGACCTCTTTAAAAGGAGATATAGTGTCTAATTCCTAAAACATGTATTATACAGTTTTCGAACTCTTTCAAAAGTACAAGGGACTGATGTGTCTATGTTGTATTGAAACTGACCTTTGATCTACTTTTGAAAAATCAATATTATATTGTCCTACATCTTTTGAGAAATATAGCAAGTCATAAGACATTACACAATATAAGGATCACTTGTTCAAGCACTTCATTTAGACGCAAACTTATTTTCCTCAGAATCCTTTGAAAAAATATAATTTATTCCAATTTCTCCGGGTCACATTTCCTTCTAGATTCAAGGAGTAATAAGTTGATCCTTATATCATGGGTTTGAATCCCACTAAGGAACCTAGACAGGGCTCGATCAAAATAATTGATGGCCCACTGGTCTTGGGCCAGTGAATTTTCAATCTGGGCTAGTACATTGCAGAGGGCATGTGCCCTTTAGTTCAGCATTTTTTTATTCATAATAAAATTCATTCACAGTCGGGCTAGTTAACTTGACAGGGTTGTGTGTCCCAACTTCTGCTGTTTCTTGTTTTGTTAAGTTGTACTTCTAAGTATCACAATATAAAAAAAAATATTACTATTATTATTATGGCTTTGGGCCAGTCTTTTTTTAATCTACTGGCCCAGTGGGACAGTGAAAGTACTTAGCTGACCAGTAAAAATTTAAGGCACTAGCCCGAGTGACCAGTAAACAAAAGTAATTAGTTCTAGCCCTGCTAGAGACTAGTCCTTCAGTTGAGACCATATAACCCTGATAAACCAGGATCTCATGTCAGAGTAAATGTTGTCACTGCTCAAAAGCCATAAGTACAGTCTTAATGCAGTCTTCCACCAGCAAGTATATGTAATGGCATCCCAGTATGCATGGTACGAGTCAAAAATTCTTACCTAAAGCAAATATTTATCTCATAATATTTAGCAAAGGGGGGAGGGGGCTTCTATTTGGGAAGTAACATCAGTTACCAAAAAGGTGTATTGACAGCCAGTCAATTGCATTTACACACTTATTTTTATCTACATGTACAGTCTATTCATGTAGAACAGGCATGAGATAAGCATGATAAGTATATGTACATATGTATAACCTGATAACAGCCTAGTCTAGACTATCATCTGAGGACACCTGACCTTAATCAATTTTTTGTCTGATTTACATGGGTGTGGGTAGTAATTTAGTGTAGGTCATTTTAATTCAGATAATGTAAACTTTGTACACACTAACAGACATAACACTGTTGAAAGCTTTATTTAATATCTCTAATTTAATGTTTAAAATATTAAACAATTGCAGTGAAAAGTAGCTGATTGTTACTACAAAATTCCCCCATTCTTCTTTATTCCAAGTCAAAAATAGCAGCACTTGAATGGGGTCATACATTTGTTTACATTAATCAATTTAATTTGTGCACACCATGACATGCCTTACCTCCCTGGGGGCATATGTTCCAAATCCTAAAGCTGGCACGCGTCCTTTATTGCCCAATTTCAATATTACTTGATTGTCACTCGTGATTGACATTGCTTCTTTAAAAGCATACACGTCTTAAGCTTGATGCTTAAATTTTAGACCTATACAGTCTGGTCGAACCCCCGAATGGGGGTAAACGGAAATGGGAAATCCATACCCCCAAACGGGGGTACGAGCATGCGCAGATGCTTAAAAATGTGCGTATTTCACGCAGAAAGTAGGGCTTTACAAAAATCGCCGGTGCAAAGTAACGGATTATTTGGCAAATGTAAAACCACTCGGAAATGATAGATTAAAGGTGTTTTTAGAGTTTGTATTTTACAAAAATACAACTTTATTGTACAAATCGGGATTTATTCACTGGCAAAGTTGGCGATCTTTTGCTCCTTGACATGCAGGTATTCAAGATAAAATATTCGATAAACAGACAAAAGCAACTAATATTAAATTGAAATTATAAAAAAAATGTATTATTCTACCTTATATCTTTTATTTTCATAATAAAATACTAGAAAAAACGGTGCTAATATCGATTTATTTATGATCGTGGGTTTCAGTCCGCGTTTCCTCTGACTAGCAATCGACGGTCTTTATTATCGATAATCATGACCAGAAAGTGTTACAAAAATACACATAATAATAAAATTCAAATGAAATCTATCGTATGTATTGTCTTTTATATCTTATAAGAATTAAATAAAATGTTTGGCAACTTGTCGTTGTAGTTTTTTTTAATAAATGCGATTGTTTGGGGAAAACACGATTATATTTAATTTTATTTAAATCTAGATTCTAAATTAACATTTTCTACATTCTTAGAATATTTTTCCTTGTGTTTTAAATTCCATAATCCTAATTGAGACGTTCCTACAAAATAATAAATAATTTCATGAAATGACGGAAAATATTCTGTTATTCCTACATTATGAATTCAAACTATGGAAAACTTAACCTGTTAATTTTTTTCTGTTGACATTTTACCAAGTTCATAGCAGAAATAACATTATTATCGATCTTTTTCCTAAGATAGATGATATAGGCAAGTTTGTTTATATTGGATACGGCAAGAGTTACTGTTCTTGTGCATTGCATGACGGGACGGAAAACCCTCGTTTGGGGGTATACCCCCGTTCGGGGGTTCGACCAGACTGCTATATCCGAGTAAATTCGGTCAAATATTGCGTTACCGTTGACAGTGGTTGACGATATGCTGCACGTGTCTATCTCAATAAGTCAATTTTTTTTCAAGTGCACCGCCTTCTTTGCTTTTGCAGATGAGCTTGTCTTGATTTTTTTTGTCTTTGCAACTTGAAGGTGCACGTGCGTGTTGTGTGATACTCACGGCTGCTCAGAGTTGGACGTCTCCGTCCCAATTTATCAAGAATATCCTTGACCCTGACATATATTTTCGTCCTCAGTTTCGCATTGCGCGAAATTTTAAAATTTAGAGACTTAACGTTAGACCAATACCATATCACAGGTACTTGGGTGCATACCTATTGATTTTAAATATTCAATAGGTAGGCCTATACATATTTATAAACCAAGACCCAAGTACCTGTGCACTATATCCTTTTTTTATTCATGCACATACTCAATATATTGACATTAACTTCAAGTGCCCGTACGCGTCGGAAAAGAGTAGTGTTGAATCCTATATATATTATCCTAGTATCGTGCAGGATACTAATTTCGTATATAGGGCAAAATATTTAACAAGTCAAATGCTGAATAAATTTTCTTACATCTTAAAGTTCACATCTTCACAAAAATAGTAGGGTAGACTGGGGTAATTTCGACCACTTTTGCTGATATATGGCTTTCAATCCCCAAAACACGATTGTTTTCAAATGTACTAGTTTAAAATAAGTTCAAAGTACAAAAGAATGATTTTTCCTCATATTTTTCTGCTTTACGAGTTAAAAATGCATAAAATATAATAAATTGGTCTAAAAATTAGTAAGCCTGTTGTATGGGTTAATTTCGACCAGCCTCGGGGTAATTTCGACCACAACAAACATAAACAAGAAAGATAACTCTTGCAATGTTTTGTTTGTATGTTGTTTAACGTCCCTCTCGAGAATTTTTCACTCATATGGAGACGCCACCACTTGCCGGTGGAGAGCTGCAAATTTTGTCCTATACTCGGCACTTACGGCCATTTAGCAGTGAGGGATCTTTTTCGTGCCAGCACCTACAGCGACACGGGACCTCGGTTTATACGGTCTCATCCGAAGGACCGGTCTCCACGTCCCACAGTGGGATTCGAACCCGCGACATAAGGATCAACTCCTTACTCCGCGACTCTAGAGCAGACGCTCTAACCACTGCGCCACGCGGGCGACCTCTTGCAATGTAAATAAGCTCAATCTGTCGCATTTTCTTTGAAATTTATGGTCGAAGAAACTATTTTTCCTCATTAAGAAAATACTACATTGGATAATGCTTGTTGATTCAGTAAAGAATTGGCTTGGGTTACATAAGTTTTTCAATGCTGCCAAAGACATCTATATGTAATTGTTATTCTTTATTCTCAATTCTGCATCTTTCACCAACTCTATATTTTCAATAGTTATTCAAATAAATCATATTTCTCAGACTCCACAATCTTTAATAATTAATATTATTAAACTGTCCAACCCGAAATGTATTTTATTCAATATCGTCTTTTAACAACAGGTTGGTTTAAAGTGTGCACGGCATAGGAATTGCGCTTCTTTTTTTTTAATACATTTTCAGTACTGTACAAATTAATTTGAAATGTGTAGTATTTCGTACAGTATTGTTTTAAAAATAAACAAAAAATGTGTTTTGTTAAAAGACTGAGATAAATCTCGAGGAATTCAACTGTCATTAAAGAAGAGATTTACGCAAGCAATGTCCTCTGATCGACCCCCCCCCCCCCCTTCGTCGGAACCCACAGGTTTTCTCTCCGTTACACTACATACAACCCAGTTGAATGTAGTATAACGGAGAGAAAACCCGTGGGTTCCGACGATCCCCCCCCAACCCCCCAACCCCCCAAATATAATAATAAACAAACAAATCAATTATTTCGTAACATCATAGGTTTTTGTTTTAAAAGTAAAGATTACAGCTCTTTTGGTGTGTTGTTCTGATAGTTTGCATACTATTTGGATTTGTTCATACTTGTACCTTGTGATATACGATCTGAATACTGATAGTTCCTGGTTTTCGAAAGCCTCGAAGTCTTGTCCGTCAAACGCATTCGTAATAATTAGAAAAAAAATACAAAAATTTGATTTTTTAAAAATATTTAATATTGCCTGCATCCTCTCTTCCCTTTTATTAATTTGACAGTTTTGGAATATTTTGGATTGCTCTCGTCATGTTTTTTTTCATAGCAGTTCTCTCGCATCTTGATCAGTGATGTACCCTCACGACCCAGACAATATAGCGCTCGATATATAGCTAGGCATGCATATATTAATTAATCCAATTTAAAAAAAAAAAAATGAAAGTTTTATGTAGATTATATTGTTCATATACAGTATATTAAATTTCATTTTGAGGATCTGACGCAATTGTTAAAGATAACCGACACATATTACAGGATCATGAGAATGAGTGGTCGAATTTACCCCGCGTCCCTAATTACAGTGGGGGTAATTTCGACCAAACTCAAACAGGAGTTTCTTGTCCTTTTTGAGGGAAATCCAAGATAATCTTGTAAAACTTTGCAACTTAAGATATCCCAAGAAAAAATAAAACAATTTCAATTAAATTCGTACTGTTAAATGTTGAACAAGGTTACACTTTAAAAAGAGATTATATGAGTTGCTCTCTTGCATTTCCTCGATCAACTCAAGCGCACTGATCAGACGGTCTTCGAACATCAAACTGGAGACATAAATAATAGTAAAAATGTTATTTAAATCTCTGATCAAACCATATTTGCGATGAATAATTATACTAGAAAACCAATTTGTGTAATAGTTTCCTTTTATTCCAAATATTAATGAAACTTGTTTCATCACTTCCGTAAATCATTGTGTGGTGTTGTATTTCTGTGGTCGAAATTAAACGGTGGTCGAAATTACCCCGACTTACCCTACTTTTTACATATTCAGTAGGAATACATATTTATAAATCAAAACCCAAGTATAACCAGTGGCCTATATATACATGCAACTCTCCACTTGGGTCTTTCCGAGTGTAGCCTGGTCCCCTGGCTCATCCTTGCGGAGTACACGAAGCAAAACAGGGACAAGGAACCAGGCTATTCCGAGTGTTCACTCGGCACACCTCGGCCTTTCGATGATTGATGAAGGCGACGGAATCAGCTGAGGTTTGCCGAATGTTTTTTCCGCTTGTTGGAAAGGCCCGAGAAGTTGCGATCATTGTAATATTGACTTGGCTAGCCTGTTTCCAAGGCTAGGACTTGGCTCACATCCACACCGACCGCTATTTGACCTAGCCTGGTTCCCTGTCTCTATAATGAGCTTTCGGGTCTTTCGGACAAGCGGAATTCCGAGCCTGACGGAAAGGCCCGAAAATATGCGATTGCGTTCGAATATCATTAAAAACTTAAAAAATTCCACTCGGCACACCTCGGCCGATTCGTACCTCATCTAGTTTGATGAAGGTGACGGAATCAGCCGAGGTTTGCCGAATGTAAAAAATTAAAGCGTGTTAGCAACCCTGATTTTTTTTAAGTTGAACGTTGCCAAAATTTGTTTTGAAAAGTTACAGCATTAAGGTTGCAGTTTTCCATTCATTGGTAACTTAACAAACTAGGTTTTTGTTGAATTATTGTCCAGGGTCAATGAAATCTAGGACAAGTCTTCCTACTTTGCATTGCATTGTAAAGTGAAAATGTTTTCTGACAGTTATAAATATTGAGTACACAGGTACTTGGGTCTTGGTTTATAAATATGTATGTACCTTATTGATATGTACTTTTTTTACATATCAATAAGGTACATACATATAGATAGTTTTCATATGACATATTTTCTCTCCGAGTTATTTCCCTTGGTCGCCATCTTGGTGGTCAACCTGGTAATTTTTCCTCTTTGTCTTACCAAATCTAAGAGGATTGTAGCAGAAATATTTGGGGAAAAATCTTTATAGAATAAAAATTATGAAATTAAGGAGGCTTTAACAAATATATATTTTTCTGAAAAACAATGCTTCCTACCTCACAATGGCCAGTATAAAAAGTTAAAGTTGGTTGAATAATGAAGGAATATGAGTATGTTGACCTCCAATATGGCGGCCAACGGGAAATAACTTGCTAACTTGGGCCTACTGAAAACTATCTATTTATAAACCAAGACCCAAGTACCTGTGATTGAGTATCGCAATTTAAAACAGTAACTTTAGTCTTGAATATTCCTACATGTGAACGATGTCCTAATTTCATTGAAGTGGCTCCAAAATGAATTCAGGTTTGAATACTTGCAGGTTTGAAGGCACTACATTTCAAACATGGCTTCCATGTCACTTGTGAAATATGTGGTGGTTATTTTCAATTTTCTTTTTCTGGTAAGTACTCTTTTTTTCCAAAAAATTTAATCAATATCACCCAATAATGCTCAATCAGAGAAAACTCTACTCAACTATATATGGCTGGCAATTTTGATAGTTTATATTTTTCAGCAAATAAGAGAAAATGTCCTATATATACATGTAATTATAGACTAGATGATAAGATCTATTCACAGGCACCTGAATTTTTATCAATCAGTAGCTCAATAAGCCAAACATCGAAAATACCGCAGAGTGAGATATTGGACCTGTCGAAGAGGTATTGGACTGCTTACGTCACACCGTGGGCGGGATCAGCTAAATCTTGCATGTATTTGCATTCGTTGGTATTCGACAGTAACAGGATCATCGTCGCAAATCACGGCCAAAATGTACGATCCTCTCCAATTCTGGTAGGAGAGAGCTATGTGCGGACTCCGGGCCGTGGCTTGAGACGATGTGACAGGTTTGACTCAATTTTATCGCAGTGCGGATAAAGGAAATTTACATCATGGAAGCCAGCACAAAATAATTTTATCGCAGTGCGGATAAAGGAAATTTACATCATGAAACCCAGCACAAAATACTTGTATGTTAATAAATAAATAAATAAATAAATAAATAAATAAATAAATGAATAAATAAATAAATAAATAAATAAAAGATATAACAAAACATTTATGTATTTTCATTCGTTGGTATTCGACAGTGACACAATTAGCTCAATTTTATCGCAGTGCGGATAAAGGAAATTTACATCTAGCTTGGAAGCCAGCACAAAATTCTTGTATGTCAAAAAATAAATAAAGAAATAGATAAAAGATATAACAAAACATTTATTGACTGTGTTCTGGGGTAAAATGCAATTTTCTGACCCCTCGAACCAAACTGTTTGACTTACGGCCTCAGGCAAACAGTTTGGTTTTTTGGTCCGACAAAATGCATGTCAGAAGGATGGGTGCGTTAAACGTAAAAATGAAAAAAAAAAACAGTTATAATTTTTTTTACCAGAAAGGAGGGGGGAGGGGCATAGGAGGTCCACTTTTCCTAGGAGTTGTCAGAAATCAATTTTAAATTAGATGTTGTATTTCCAAGGTCGTCAGAAGGATGGATGCGCTAGTTGCGTTAGGCACAATCACAACCTACCTCCTCCCTTTTTAATAAAAATCTAGGGAAAAAAATAGCTTTGAAACTACATAAATTAATTATTCATCTGTTTAAAGTAGGGATGGCAATCGACTACAGAATACAGAGTTACCCGCATCACGTTCCGACCGATTAACCGGTTAATCGTATCAAAATACACATTTTCTTGACATTTTTTTCACAAACCTCTATTCATATAAACGCAAGAAGACTAAAAAGACTTAAGAATGTCGAAGCATTCTGTTTACCTTTATCTCGAAACTACATGTACATATGTTTTATAAACAAGAAAATGTTAAGGAAACCCATGAAACTTGCCTGAGAAATCAGACATTGTTAATTTTCCAGAGCAGATATCACACAAGTCTATACTGCATTGTTACCATAATCAAAACTAAGACGGAACTTACACTTAATTTACAATGTTTGTCTTATAATATAATTTGATAAATAACTGCGAAAGATAGACATATACCAATTCACAATGTTCAACGGTGATTTATTTAATTAGGATATCATTGAAGAATTACAGGACAGTCAGGATAACAACGTGGTGTTTAAACAGCAATTGACACTAAACAATTCAATTCAATTCAATTGAAATTGAATTGACACTAAACACACTGACCAGTTACCCTGTGATCTCAATAATTACCACCCAATCAACTTAAATAGATAGATCTCTATACGAAAAAGCTAAATTATCAATGTGTATGCAGAGGTTTCATTTATAAACGTGAATTTTAAGAAAGTCCCTTTCAAATTTACATATATTTTATTTTTCCGACTAACCGATTACAGATTTTCTAACCGATTACCATCGTTCCGACCGAATAATCGGTTAACCGGTTACAAACTGCCATCCCTAGTTTAAAGTAATGCTACTAGAATTTGTCCACGTAATTTTCAGGGGGGGGGGGGATTTCCATAATATCCGGATCCCAGAACCCTTATGTTTATGTATATATAAATAAAAATCTGACTGAAGAGTGTAAGTACCCCCCCCCCAATCTTTTTTACCGAAAAGCTGATATGATTTGGGTCCCACCTCTAGATTGTTTTGTTTGTTTGAGGATCTGATTTTTGTCTTCCCTTACAGTTGTGTGGCATGGGAGTCGCTGCAATGGGTGCTTACACTATCGCCAATGGTGAGAAGGTTGGAGCCCTGATTGGAGAGAATTTAATGGAGAATGGAGCTTACCTGTTACTAGCAGCTGGGGGAGTCGTCATCTTGGTGTCTATGGCGGGGTGTTTTGGCGCGCTCGCCGAGAACAAATGCCTTCTGGTTTTAGTAAGATCAACGTTTGCATTATAATAACGAATATTGAAACACAATTGATCCTACATTCATTTGTAAAGAATATTTCATTTATTGAGTCTTTTAAATGAGCATATTATCCCAGAGAAAAAAGTCATCTCTATATTGTTGTTCTGTGAATATTATGTACCTGATATATAATACTACTGTAATTTTTTTTAGTATTTTACGGTCCTGTTGGTAACTTTCATAGTAGAGGCTGCAGCAGGCGTGATAGGGTTTCTCTTCTATGGACAGGTATCCGATTCATTTTTTTCGTGTCAGAATGACACTGAAAAAGGAACCATATCTTCGTTCATTCTGTTGTATGATAACTTTACATACGAATGTAACTTAATTATTAAATTATGTGTTTTGTAGCTCGAGCCATTTTTGACAAGTAAAGTCAAAGATGCACTAAGTAGTAAATATGGACGCAGCGAATACAACCTGATCACTTTAGCAGTGGATGAATTGCAAATGGAGGTATGGGCCTTGCAAAAGTTTGAGTATTGGGGTATTTTAATTCATATTTTCAAAAGCAGGGTTCTTACAAATGTTGTTTAAATGTTTCTCTGTATAAATTTAGAAGACTATAGTATTATCGCTGAAATCGTCTTTACTTTCATTGAAATCATCTACAGTTTCAGTGCTGCGGTTTCCATTCACCGAGTGACTGGAATAACGCCACTTACTTCAACTCTAGTGCTGCTGTACCCGTGTCCTGTTGTGTGGACAGGAACGTGAATGGTTGCAATTCGGTCATTAACAACAGCACCATCTACTCACAGGTATGAGTGATTTTTAAAATTAGTACAAATATCGTCACTGTGTATATGGAAATATAGATTTCACCAATTCCGATCACGCAGACGACAGTTTAATGACTTCAGTTAATAGGACTCACATCCTGATGTATTGGACATATTCGATAAATTAATTTTAAACCAACTCTGGTGAGAAATCAGAACTGTCTTCGTTATTTAGCATTGGAAAGCTTTTTCAGAAACAATAAATGATTGTTGTAGGGATGTTATACGAAGATGCTAACTTGGATCCAAGCAAACGTCGATTTGTTGGGAGGTGTTGGCATTAGTGTGGCTCTCTTCCAGGTGTGTAAAAAAAAAAAAAAAAAAAAAAAAAACAAGAACCCAAAGCGCACACACACGCACACAACTATATTATCACCGAATTTCAGGGTGTCGCTTCTTTACTTTATGAAGGTTACAAGAAGTTCAAAATTTAGCTTTTTTACTTTTTTATTTCATTTATAAAATTGATCATTTTTATTTTATTTTGCAAGTTACTTGGACTTGGTTTTACATTTTGTCTATGTGTTCGTGCTGGAAAAGACAAAAAAGGCGGAAGCGACTCTCCACGTTTCCGCGAACCTCCCCGCTCCCGGCGATAAGCAACATGGACTTTTTGTGCCACCAAAGTGTTCTCTGTGTAAATTTTAGTTTTTGGATTGAAAATAAATTATCTTAATTCTATGTTGAAAATATGTTGTGATGTTTTGTTTCCTATTTGTCAAAAAAGTACAAAACACAAGTAAAAGCAAACAAATAAAGGGGGGGGGGGTCAAAAATAACCAGTGCAAACATGATATCGAAAAATAGATTACTATTCACAAATTATCTGACGGGTGTTTCTAAGGTTTTAAATATTAATGAGTATCATTCCAGGTATATACTTGTAAAAAGATTACGTCTTTACAATTTCTTTGTTTGGATAGATATGTATAAATCGTTAGCAGCATTTAGATTTTATTATTGCAAATCTAAAAATGGTTCATTGGTTTTATGACCATACGTTATGTTTTTAAGCATGAACTTGTAAAGCATAAATACATTGTACATATATGTATGTCAAAGATTACAACTTTTGTGGCATTGTATGAAAAGAGGTTATTGATTATATTCTTGTGTACCTGAAAATTGTTACTACGGTAACGATTTTCTCGTATATATATAAGCCTACTACTTAGCAAATTTTGATCAATATTTTTACATGTAACAATGGATGGATGTTTAGATATCACGCCTATAAAGATCCCTCGCCCGTCTTACCTTTCATTCGTGGATTTAGCTATCATTGAAGCAAAAGAAAAGGTGGGTTAAATGATAGTTCTAATTTTTTTTTATTTATTTATTTTTTTTTTTTTTGTTTAAGAGAGATGGAACGTAAAAAAATTCACTTCATTATACAAATTGATGGTACTGTATTTAATTTGTGAAGAATTCAGATTAGTTTGCATTTAAACGGTAGTTTAGGCATTTGTAACGTCAACGTACAGGATGAAGTGTATTAAGATCTTTGAGTGTATGAAAATATGGAGAGTGAATGGGGAGCAGGGGGTACATGTAGGAGGACAGAGAAGGATATACCCGGTAGTCACCTCACGAAAATGTCCTTGTTGTATCTCTGTCAAATGACTGAGTATATATCTGTTAGAGTTACCATGAAATAAAAGTTAAATAGCAAAATAAATGGCGTTCACAACTTTTTAAAAAGGACCGATGGAAATTCTAGCACCATATGTGCTTTAGAAAAATAAAACCTTTCAACAAGATTTCGATAGTATAAACCACAAAATTTATATAATATAAATTATAAGTTTAACGGGGAGGTCAGGCGCGTATATAGGAATTTTTTCCGGGAGTGGAGTTGGGGTGTTCCACATAAACTCTACCAAAAAAAAAAGAAAGAAAGAAAAGAAGAGAACAACAAAGCAAAACAAAACAACTGCCCAAACCTGAAAACCTATTTCGTTGGGGACGGGGTGTTAGTGGTAATGTAGACACTTTTCTTGGTCAATCTTTTTCAAATGCATCGATCTTTCCATTTTAAGAGGGATACGTGTTTCCTTGGGGGAAGGGGGGTAAGGTTATTTTTTCGTTATTTTTACATAGAAACTTAATAACTATTGAATCCCGTCAGGATTCGGAACACCCCTCCCCCTCCACGCTTTCTAGATTCGCGCATTTAGGTACAATATTTTATTATTATTTTTAGGGACAGGTCCAGGATTTTCATGAGTTAGAAAAGGATTATACATATGAGACAGATTAAAAAATTGAACAAAGTTAGGGTTTCATCTATACCACCAACCCCAACCCCCAATAAATCCGCCGATGTAAGCGCTAGATTTTTCCCCTTTCCAAATAAGTCGTGGTATTTCAATACATACAGTGACAAAGAAAAAAAAAATAAATATTATAAGATCCAGTCGAAGGCTTACAAACAAGATTAAAGTTATCAATTTAAAAAAAGTAAATAAAAGAGGGTATATAATTATATGTGTTATCCATAAATATGTGTTACACTGGTTGAAAATTTGTTTTGCAGAGGTATTTATATTGGTCGGATGGTCCGGAATTAATTTCACATTTGCTTAGTATATACACATGTAGTAATTATTGTAAAAAAAAAAACAAACAAACAAACAAACAAAACCAAAAAAAAACCCTCGCAATTACCTTGTTCTCTCTCTTCTTCCTCCTGTCCTTCCTGAAATACTTTATTTCTTAAATAAAATCCGCAAGATAGCTAGTAGGTTATCATATCAAAATATGATTCCTTTAGTCCATTTATTTTCTTAAACTGAGTTCAAGTTTATATCAAAATTTTTCCAGAAATCGAGAAGCTTTGTGGTCTAAGAACTAATTAAGCGTTCCAAAACAATAAAGACTCGACCTAAGGAAAATATTTGATAAAAATTAAACTCAGTTTAAGAAAACAAAATAATTAATAAAGGGTTTTTTTGTACATAATAAACCCCCCACTATATATTAGTACATGTACATTTACATTCTTTATTGAGATGTTGGCTGGTTTTTATTACCAAGAGGATCAGAGATAACGAGCTGTCAACTTCTCAATACAGAATAGTACATCTACAGTTTTTCTTTTATGCCCTCAAATTTTTACTCAAATTTGCGATAGGCAACAATCAAAATTTGCCTATTTATACCAGCACCTTCTAAAGAAAGTTCGGGTATATTGTTTTTATCCTGATCTGTCCGTCCGTCTGTCACTCTTTCTTCTTCCTCAAACTCGCCTTTATTTTCAGCTGTACGTTATCTTTTGGAATATGATAGGTGGTGTCATTTAGATATGCAATAAAGTTTCAGAGTTTTCATTTTCATCCTTACGACCAAATGAGGGTCGAAAAATGACGTTTTTTCCTCAAAACCCAGGCTCCGGGGCCATAACGCTTAGACGAGCTCACTTATCTCAGTCTCACTTTTACAAAAGTTCTCAGAACTCCTCTTGCAATTTACGCAGTTAACAAATCATCGTTTTGAAGATGATAGGTGTACAATGTACGTGGTGTCCTGTAGATGTGCAATATAGTAAACGGGGGTCGAAAAACGACTTTTTTCCTTCAAAGACCTGATTTCCAGAACTCCTCTTACATTTTACACAAAAGACATCTCAATTTTTGTAAGATGATTGGGGGTATCCTGCAGATGGTGTCAATAAGGTTACGGAATTTTCATTTTCATCCTGGGGGTTAATTGGGAGTCAAAAAATGACCTTCCTAGAACTCCACATACATTTTACACAGTGTAGACATCTCATCTTTTGCAAGATGATTAGAGGTGTCCAGCAGATTTGCAATAAGGTTACAGAATTTTCATATTCACCCTCGGGGCCAATGGGAGTCAATAAATGACGTTTTCAAGTTCTTGGGCCGATTTTCTTTTCTTTCTTTTTTTTTTTTTTTTTTTAACAGAAAAAAAACCCAATTTTCTGAAACTCCCTCTTTTAAAATTAGAATTTATTTCATCACAATCTTTAATTTTAGACCGGTAATGAATTTATTTTTTGAAATAGTAACATAAGAGGCCTATACAAAAGAAATACATGTCATTTTTAGCATAGCTTAAAATAAGAGGGCGAAATCGTATACAGTAAATTAAAATGGTGATTCTGACATTTTTATGAAGACAGCAAATTGAGCATAAATAAAAGGGATAAACAAATTTCTAGCTTAGGGCTTGATGAGATGGTCATTTTCAGTGCTTATCAACCTTAAAACTTTAAAAACTTGAAACGTAAAAAAAAAAAATCTCTTCACCTACAGGTGCTTGGAGACGGGACCCCCCCCCCCTCCCGGTTCCGTACCCCAAGGGTTCTTCGACTTTTTAAAATATATAATAGTTTTCTTTGACACATTCACGAACTTGTTCTCTTTTAAATCAGAGAGTGTGAATTTTTATAAAAGACGGTTAGTTTTAAGTTAAATTCTGGATTTTTCAGTTGTAAACTTCGTGAATGTGTCAAAGAAAACAATTTTATATTGTAAAAAAAGTCGAAGAACCCTTGGGGTACGGAACGCGGGGAGGGGGTCCGTCCCCAAGCACCTGTGTCTTCACTGAGGTAAAATATACTGCAAAATTCATTTTGTAACGAGCATTGTTATCAGAATTGTTCATTTTTAGGAGGAAACACTGTTGGCCAGTGCAAAAAAGAAATATGGAGACATTTCTATGAATATTGTCATTATTTACAAGACAAAGCCTACACTTGGTGTTGCTATAGAAGGAGGACTTAACACTAGGCAACCAATTCCAAAAGTCATAAGTATTCAGGTACCAAGTTTATTTGGAAATTATATAATGAACATAAAGACATATTCAGACAATGTTTTAACTAATTAAGTGAAATGCATGTATTTTACAATAAACCCAATAGTTTATGTCATATTATTTTCTGAAGGTTAAGAGGTTGTGATTGCGTCCTTCAAATAAACGCAATTTCTTGACTTTTGAGATGAATTATGTCAGAATTGCATTTCCAAAACATTTCTGAATTTTGTAAAGCCATGTGAGACGTGGGAGGGGCATTAAAAGTAACTGCAAATTCTGGATTTTTTTTCTAGATGCAAAATCTAAAACATACTCTTTGCTTTTAGCACGGAGGATCAGCGTTTGAGTCGGGAGGTCTGAAATGTGGACACACGATTTTAGAAGTGAATGATCAGACTCTCTGTGGTGTGGACCACCGTGAGGCAGTGAGGATTATTGCTGACGCCTTCCAAGACCCCTCCACAAACTGTCTAAATCTTCTTGTAACCATGGGCTCAAAGAAAACATAGATCTCAAACTCCTATTTCCCGCTAAGAAGCTTATATATAAGGTTAAATTTCGTAGTGAACTTCATAAGTTTAGCATTTCAAAGGGATGGAGAATTTATTATTAATAAAAAATCAAAACTTATTCACACTGACATAAGTTTGAATATTTTGTATGTATTTTTCCAGCCGGGGGGGGGGCTGGAAAAATACAGCCCCCCCCCCCCCCAAAAAAAAAAACCAAACAAACAAACACAATACAAATCCTGTAATTTTTCAATTTTTAATAATTTAATATTCACATCAATATTTTACAATTATTTTATATGATGAGAGAAATAGGTTTTGTCTCCCCTTTTGGTGACTGTCATTTTGGTAACAAATAAATGGTTAAAAACAGTAAATGCCTCAACTTTCTGGTTCTTCCTTGGTGTAGCAAGACAAGTGTACATTTTAAATCCTGATCTGTAAAAATATCCTAACAGTATGTACATATAAATTGAAGATTGGTTTTGGGACAGAATCCATATCTGTATTGCAACGAAAGAAAGATTCCACAGTCACATATCACAGTAATAGGGTTAATTAACAGTTATCTCTTCATGAACTTTCTACAAATCGCCTGAAGTCTTCTAAGCTGATTTTTCCTTCAGGATCAGATGTGCACTGTGCGATAAGCTAAGAAAGAGAATAAAAATTTCAGTAAGTTGATATAATCACAGTTAGAAATTAAAAAAAATATATATATATTCTTAAGCATTTTTGGCAAAAATTGATTACTTACAGCTCCTATGACATCATCATCAACTGGTAATTGTAAACTACGACATAGATTTCTCATATTGTCTGCATCAATGTACCCGCTACGGTCCTTGTTGTATCTGAGGAACATTTCATCAACACGCGTTTTGTCTGTGATGGCAATTTTCTTCAGTTGAGCTCGAACTTGTTTTACTAAGATATCCAGATCTCCTGCGCTGTAAAACACAAAAATATTTCAAATTATATTTTAAATCTCAACATTTCAAATATTTGTTAATGGAGTCAACTTTATCAGGATGCATATTCAATAATGCATTTTGAACATACCTTCTCCTAACTTTCATGGGCCCTCCTTTGATCATTTCTTTTTGAGCTCTGGACTGACCCAGGTAATCCCTTAGGGTTTGGATGGTGCTCTCTGCCAAAAAAACATATAAATCATATAAATTACAGAATGTAAAATAAAAATTTCAATTATTAATTAAATTATAGCAATAGTTGTTACAGCATGGAAAAAGTATCTATGAAGTGTGTGTTCTTTGAATTTTCAATATATTAAATAGTTCAGCATTGTTACCTGGGAACTGAGATTTGTGGTCCTCCATGTATTTCAGCACATATTCATCAGCGCCTGTGATAACAAAGCGATGTTTGAAAACATCAATTACAGCACCAATGTAGAAGTCCTGAGGACCATAGAAAGTGGGCTGATCGGGGGCAGAGTTGGGCTTAGCCACTCTGGTTCTCTCCAGGAATTTTCCTCCGATGATTCCTGAGTTCCTGACGGGAGGCTCATAAATTGTCATCATGTCATCAGCCAATCTGTAGGAAATGATGAACCTTCTTCCATTATCCTCTGGTCTGACAGAATCCTAAAAACATTCGTGTATTGTTAGTCATTCACTGTCATTTTGTAGCGGTTGGAAATGTCCACATTTAAAAACATGCAAGAGGGAGTCAATCTTATTTTAGTAAAGAGCATGATGAGAAAGGTCAAAACAGTGGTACAGTAAAACCCGTTTAGTACGATCATGGATATAGCGAATTCACGGATATAGCGAAGTTTTCTTGGATCCCCAGGTATATAAGTTTTATGAATTCCTTATACTGATATAACGAATTGCGGATATAACGAAGTACTTTCACAGGTCCCAATGACTTCGTTATAACCGAGTTTTATTGTATACATACCATGACAGCTTCAAATCTAAGAACTTTGTGGTCATTCTCTAACATCTTGATGAAGTCCTTCTTGGGAGGCTGTGGTATCAGTGACAAACAGGATTGTAGGGAGTCTTCCAGGGAGCCAAAGTGATTGTAGGGAGGAATTTCCTGTACAGAATTAAAAGATTATCCATTTAAAACTTTAAATTATATATGAAGATTGACAATGATGTAAGAAACTCTCAAAAATAAAATTATTTATGCTGTCATGTGTTTTAGAAAATTTTCAAATTAAAGAATTGTCCCTTCTAAAAACTATATATGGAGTGAAGTTAAAACCATGCAACAAATTTTAACTATTTTAAATACCATTTTTTTCTCTAGAGAGAGAATTTTGATATATAAACTTACCATTTTGGGCAAATCCTTTAATTTCTCTTTGACATCTAGGGAATTGAATTCTGTCTGTCCAAAGTGATGGTAGTAGAAGGCTTTTGTAAAGTTATCACAATCATAAATGAGGAATTTTCGCCCATAGATAGGAACAGTTGCTCCTATTTTAAAGTCTTTAGGTGTGTAATATTCTTTGATTTCATTATCTGATAACTCCATCACTACTGCGGGGAAGGAGGATTCTACTTCATATCTATTTTTGGGAACCTTGTGTCTCCCAATAAGGACTGGGAATGGATCTCTTCCGTCATTGGCTGTGTGGACTTCCCGGACTTCCAGAGTGTCATCCACCAAATAATACTGAAAATATAACATGTATAAGGATCAGAAATATAGAAATTCTCACCCCTAATGTCATCACCAAAAACCATACTGACATTGACACCATACATGTGTCGGCAATATTTCATCCCTTGGGGGCTAACATAATCAATGTTGCTCTCAACCCCAGTCAATATTTGTATCATGTTGCTGTATTGTGGTACAATCTAAATGAAAAAAAAATTGACTAATGTACATGTGAAACTTACATGAATGACATATGGACGCATTTCACCAAACATGTTATCTCTATCATCCCAAACACAATAGAATCGGAGCACTTTTCGGTCCATTTCCAAGAACTGCTTTGTCTTATCAAAAGCAGATGGAGTTTGGTATGTTCGAAGAGCAGCTGCATCCTTTCTCTTCTCAATGTAGGGGTCTGATGGCATATCCTCAGAGGGGTTCACAACCAATCCTTCACTCTCAAGGAAATCCTGTGAATTAAAGTTTAGCAGTAAATATTTAATTATTGATAGGTTTTATGCATATACATGTATTGTAAAACAATTACCGTGGTATGTATTGTTACATTTATCATTATGCCTTCATAAAGGTAACATTAATTAAATGACCATGAAATAACAAAATTTGTTTGTTAAAACACATTAGGAATTTAAAAAAAGGTATGTATACCTGTGTGAATTTGTCACAATTTACAATGTGGAAAACCTTTCCATAGAAGGTGGCATTGGTGCCATTGTTAAGATCTTTCCAGTGCCAGTTGTCTCCCTGGTCATTCTTTGGAAGTCTCTGTCTCTTGATGAGTTTTCCTGAATAAGAACATCAAATAATCATTAAGTTCCCATTGTAATATTTCCAATACTGCATAAATTTTGAGAACAGCTTTAGCATTCATATAACTCCTCATTTTCATGAAGCTAAGCAAGAATTAATTAAACAGTCTACCTTGTGGCATCCCACTGTTTTCAACATGAGGCTCCACAACAGAGATGCTGTCATCTTCCAGATAATAATAAATATCTACTGGTCTCACTCTGTAATATTCTGCTGGTGATTCATGTACAGTTTGCTTAAAGTAAGCATTAAACCTCAGAACCTGTGGTGAAAATACAAAAAAAAAATGTTTATTATGTATTATGTACATGCAAAAATTAATCCAAATAATAATCAGCCAGTTTCAGAAAAAAAAAATCTTATATCATATTGATACACATGTATTAGATCCATTACCTTTTTGTCCCAAGCTTTATGTGCTGGCACAAAATCCTCAGGTGGAGCTTGTTTGGCCTGTCCATAGGTAAGAGTTGGATTGAAGTTGGCTAATTCATCAAGTTCTTGATCATTCAGTTGGTTGTACATGATGGGTTGACCACCAATACCTGAGGTTGGCAGTGTGGGGATGGAATAGCCATTTTTATAGTTCAAAGAATGGCTCCTATGAAACTTATTTTGCTGCAAGTATATCAAAGTATTTTTTTTAAATCTTTTTAATAGATGAATAAATGTTAAGAATTTGTATTAAAGAAAAATGTAATTAGTATATGAAAGCAATTGTTGCATATGTGTACGTCTGTTATAGACTCCAATAAAAAAAAATACAGCGAATTCGAATACGATGAATATACTGTGCTAAGACTGGAATGCAGAAGAAAAGATTATAATATGTACTTCATTTCCTAAAAGTCTGCTCACTAGGATATGTCGGATGTATATACATGTAATTAATATATGCTGTACTTCAATGATTTTTAACCTGGCTAATGTATCTTTGCATTAAAAATTATTATATATTATTTTACAAATAAAATCACTCATTTGTAAAGTTACTTACAGTTGGATCTCTGAAGGAATTCCCTGGAAGAAACGGCAGGCCCTCCATTGTGTGTTTCTATCCCTTCAGTTTATCTGTCGTGTGTATCCCAACAACACAGTCACCCATACAATAGTTACAGCGTGGTTGCTAACCAAACAGAACCAACGCGTGAAATCCCGAGATCTCTAAATGACGTCCAAATTTACCTTCAATAGAGAAGAGTTTCTAATTGTAAAATTTTTATCGACTCGATATTATTGATTATATTTAGACATTTTAAAAGTAAATGAATGAAGGGATTGCTTCACAATGAACGAAGTAAGTATAGCTTAAGTATATGCTTGTGACTAATGTGAAAAAACAACAATAAGAAATAATTTCGAAGGATGCAATGGTTGAGTAGCTCGAATTTCCTCGTAAATAAAATATTTTTTTTCCAAACACTACAATTTGTCCCTTGTCCAGTTAAGATCTAGGGGTGGGGCAAAAGCACATGATGCATTCTCAAAAAGGTGTTTTAATATGTTGACGGTGCGACCGTTGGGGCGAGCGCATTGTTCACTTCATTCGTTAAAATCCGCCTCTTCAAACTGCACCAGAGATTTGGAACGTCTAGACTGTGACGTCACATGACGTCGTATGTTAGCCTGGTTCCCTGTCCCTGTTTTGCTTCGTATACTTCGCATCACTAGGGCCAGGTGGACTACAATGGATTCGGGGCAAATCTGCCCTGAATCTGAGCCCATTGTGACGTCGTATTTAGCTGCGCTTCCATTGTAGAAGTTCATTGTGACGTCTATTTTTCTACGCCATCGATGCAATGTATCACTGTGACGTTAATATTTATTTAGGTGGTTAATGGCAACAGCTCAAAAATCCAACGATTTAGCGTGAATTGTTCAGACCAATCAGGTGACAGCATCGATTGTAATCCACCTGGCTCTCCTGCCTTGGCAAGGATGAGCCAGGGGACCAGGCTAGTCTTATGTTAGCTGCATTCATCCGGAACACCTCTGGCCTTTCACAGAAACGTGTGAAAGGCCCGAGGTGTTCCGGATGAGCTGCATTTTCATAAACAAAGTTTAAAAAGTGCAATGATTTTAACAAAGAACGTTTAATCTACTATCTGTATGCAATATCCATTAAATTAAGGTGAGTTTATTTTGTCTGAAATTTTAGTTGTTGTTACCGCGCGAACGAAGTTAGCAACGAGAACAAGAAGCAATTCATTGTGGGTCCAGAATTACTGCGGAAAAAAATTCTATTGAATGAATGTGCAGTAGTCCAAATTTTCTCTTCGCCTAGGCGTTGTCATTAGAGCTCGCAGTGATGAGCGGCGCTTCACGCCGCTCGCTGCGCTCGCTATAATTAACCGAGCAGTAATTTTCAGGGCAATGTTGTTTATATCCCCTTAAATTGGTGTAGACTGGTCCGACAGTTCTTTTTTCCAAGAACAATCTACTACTGGAACGCTCTACCAGAATCAACCATCCCTACATCATCGTCGGAGCAGTTTAAAACATCTATTCCAGTGCCTGGGAAGGTCGAGCAACAGATTGGGCCAATGGCCCCACTATTCATAAAATGATGAGGTCATTTCGAAATATATTGGGGCCATTTCTAAAATTCTAAAATTCTAAAATTATTATATTAGTATCATGATATGAGAATGCATATATCTCTGACAACAAAATTTAAGAAAATATAAAAAAAAGAAAGAAAGAAAAAGGCAATAGGAATTGACAAATCTTATGACACTGATAAATGGAAAAGATTTTTCTGTTTCTAAGATCTTCATAAATCATTTGTCATTGACAACTAGATTCTAACACAGCAAGTATTTAGAAAAATTATATTCCTGTAAACCAAAAGCACGCATTTTTTTTTTAAAATGCTGATTTAGAGATCAAGGGACAGGCCTAGATATGTAAACTTTGTTGATAAGGCATTTCATTGTAAGGTAGTACAATGTAATATTTTCGATGTGCGTGACTTTCGTAAAGCTGTGGTCAGCCGTCGAAAATGACTTGACACTTACGAACCACATGGGAGGAAAAGTTTGTTTCTTTGCCAGTGTATGTCAATTTGCCGAATGATGTACTATATGATACTGATACATCACAGATTCCATTTAACTTCGATGAAGAATACTGATAGTGCTGACTGCGATGAGCTTACAAACTAATAAAACATGCGTGCCCGCATTTTGCGAGGCGCGCCGCATGGCACAGCGCACCATTATTTCATTGCGCCATTTTTCAACAGTATGCGCATATGGCGCATGGTGCAGCCCCTTCCCAGGCCCTGCTATTCAGAACCTCCAACCCTGGAATACTTACCCTATTTGCTAAAATACCAACAGTGACCTGTACAGTGTATATGTTAAGTCCCTGCTAGTAAATGTCCTTATTAGATTTTTGCGAGTATTCACGTTGAAGTTGAAGTTGATACAATATACATTTAATTACATCGCTTAATGGAATTACATACATGCACATACAGCTTTATTTAGCTACTCGAAGTAGCTTAATTTAGCTACTAAATCATACCCATACCTTAAGTTTTCAAATTGAACTTTGAAAAGGTGTTGTACAATCAGCACATTTAGCTACAGCTGTACATAGCTTGAATTACCAACATAGCTTTATTCAGCTACTTGAAGTAGCTTGACTTAGCTATGTTAATGCAAGTTTTCACAATTTGCTTTTTATTTCAAACAGACAAAAAAGCACAAGTAAGCTAACTAAGCAACCCAAATCAAAGATAGTTAAAATACTGCTACTTTTGAAACTAGGAGAAACATCTTGAAAAGTGATTTTTTTTAATAAATTATCTTTATATCATTTCAAAGTTGAAAACTCACTGTATCAAAGTGTGATTTTTTATACACAGTGATTTTTCTACACCAAATTTAGGTCCGAATATCGGCCCTTTCCCCTGTCAAAAATTACCAAGTTTTTCCCAATTTAAATTGTTTTTTTCCCAAAATAAAACCATAATGAAGAATAAAGACAATCATTGACAAATTTCAAAGATTTAAAAAAAATAAGAAAGTTATAAAATTTAATGTACATGTAGAACTGTGTCTAATTTGTTATTTTATCAGCAATAAATTGAATAAATGATGTTTAAATTACTTATATATGTCATTTTACCTGTAAATTAAAGTTAACTACAATCTTATTGATTTTTCCCAAGTTGGCACAGATGTCAATGATTTTTCCCAATTGTAAAGGCCCAGGCCCCTTTTAAAAAATGTAGAAAAATCACTGATACATGCTGAAAAAAACGCTCATTTTTTGATTGATTATATGTTGTTTTACATCCCATTTTTCACTCATATAGAGACATCACCATATACTGGTGAAGGGCTTCAAATTTTGACCTTTACTCTGCACTCAGGGCCATTGAGCAGTGAGGGATCTTTATCGTGCCAAAGCCTGCCGTGACGCGGGACCTTGGTTTTTAAGGTCTCATCCGAATGACCCGCAACTTTCACTTCAAAGTGCTGACCTGTTGAACTCTTCTGAAGGTCAGACTCTAAGGTCAAGAGTTCAAAAATGTTGGTAACCCAAAGAAAGGTCACAAAGAATACAGTGAAATATGAAAGCCCTAGCACCAACCATTCAGAAAATATTACAAAGTTTAAAGTTTTTCAAAAGTAGGTCATACTCCAAGGTCAAGGTCTTGAGATTAAAAATTATTGGTATCAAAGGAAAGGTCACAAGAATTGCATAATTGAAATATGAAAGCCCTAGCACCAACCATTCAAAAGTTATTGCCTAGGTTAAAGTTTTTCATACCTGTTAACCCTTCTTTCCATAAGCTTAGATAATAAAATACAAAAACAAACAAACAAGAAAGAAAAATGAATTTAAAAAAAAAAACCCAAAAACAGAAAAAAATAGATAAAAAAAATCACATTAGAGTGAGTTCTGAATCTGCTTGAAACTAAAACTCTTCTAATTAAATGATTTCTTGAATAGGAGAAGACTGGTTTGGTAACCATCATTGATTCCATAGGAAAACCCAGAACAGCAAAGCTAGTCTTAACAACAGACACACTGAGTGTCCTGAGAGAGGAAATAGTATCAACTGATAGCAATGGAAATGATGAGATGCTAAATCAGGTAAATGTTTAGAACACAACACATATTAGAACAATTTTAATTATCTCTTGTATGAGGTAATGTGTATATAAGTGTCCCCAACACTATTTTGCTATTTGCACTATATCATTAATCATCCTAAAGCATTTTTTTTCTCAGTTTACTCCTATCTTGAACTTGACTAAGTACAATTCCATGATTATGTCATCTATAGCTACCATATATATTTGCATGTAAGTCAATTTATACCTATAAGTAGTTTTTTTTGTTCTGATTAAATTGGAGGAATTTAATCTGACATAGGCAAGTATATATGGTACACTTATTTCAATGTACTGAATGATGAGAATTTCAACAGATCCGTGATGTGTGCCTGGTTAGAGATGACTCTGGAGGGTTAGGACTTGGACTTAAGGGAGGTGCAGATTGTGGCCTTCCTGTTTTCATATCAAAAATGCCCCCCAATCTTCCAGCTTCAAATTCTGGCAAACTACTGATTGGAGATGCTATTCTAAAGGTATACTTTTATAGAAATTTATTATCAAAAGTAAAAAAATTTTTTTTTACAAATTTGATAACCAGGATTCCTGATTACTGCATCTTGAGTGTGTAGTTACCAACTAAAAGTGCACAGGGACAATTGTTTTTGGTTTTCTGTCTTAAGTTATAAGTTCATTGTTAAAAGATTTTAATCAAGCATCACATGTTTTAGATAAATGATATTGAATGTGATAAAATGGAACATGATGCAGTCATCGAGACACTGAAATCTGCCGGACAAACTGTTCTTTTGACCGTCAGGTACTTCAAACCAGCCGCTCTTTTCCTGAAAAGGGGTAAGTACAGCAGTTTGTATTTTTAGGTCACCTGAGTCACTCAGGTGACCTTTTGCTATCTGTTTTTGTCTGTCGTCGTTCGTCGTCAATCGGTCGTAAACTTTTGAACATTTCTAGCTTCTTCTCTGGAACGACTGAACCAATTTCAACCAATTTTGGCATATAGCATCTATGGGTGAAGGGGAACAAAAATTGTGAATTTCATGGTCCCTGCCCCCCTGGGGCCTGAGGGGTGGGGCTAAAACCACCAAAAATAATGCAATCTTTAAAAATCTTCTTCTTTACTCCTGGACATCAAGCAGTCAAACTGTTGGCATCATTGTAATAAGCATGGAGCCCTCTATCAAAATTGTGAAATTCATGGCCCCAGGGTCAGGGGTTCTGGCCCCAGGGTGGGGCTATATAGATCATATAGTGAAAGTGCATTATTTCTTCGAAAATCTTCTTCTCTGCTCCTGGGTATTAAATAAAGTTACTAAGTACATAGTTATGATGAGCAAGAGTGCCTCTTCCAAAATTGTGAAATTCATGGCCCCAGAGTCAGGGGTTCTGGTGTTAGGGCGGGGCTCTATTGATTATATAGTGAAAATGCATTATTTCTTTGAAAATCTTCTTCTCTGCTCCTGGGTATTAAATAAAGGAACTAAGTACATAGTTATGATGAGCAAGAGTGCCTCTTCCAAAATTGTGAAATTCATGACCCCAGGGTCAGGGGTTCTGGTGTTAGGGCAGGGCTCTATAGATTATATAGTGAAAAAGCATTAATTCTTTGAAAATCTTATTCTTTGCTCCTGGATATTAAATAAAGTAACTAAGTACATAGTTATGATGAGCAAAAGTGCCTGGCCCCAGGGTCAGGGGTTCTGGTGTTAGGGCAGGGCTCTATAGATTATATAGTGAAAAAGCATTAATTCTTTGAAAATCTTCTTCTCTGCTACTGGATATTAAATAAACAAACTAAGTGCATGATTATGATAAACAAGGATGCCTCTTCCAAAATTTTTAAATATATGGCCTCAGTTTTTGGGGTTCTTGAGGAGGGGGGGGGGGATCTATTGATTATATAGTGAAAAAGCATTAATTCTATTAATCATTAATTAATCCTGTCTGCTCCTTTGTGTTGAGCTGATAAATAAATTGCTTAGCTATGATGAAAATGGGAGCTTCGAACAGAATTTTTAAATCTAGTGGTTCTAGGGTCAGGGGTTCTGGCATAACGGGGGGGGGGGGGGGGGGGGGCTTTTGATAATATAGTGGAACAGTGTTAATTCTTTGAAGTCCATAGTTATGATGATGAGGGTAACTCTTCCAAATTTGTAAATTTCTTGACCCTTGGTCTTGGGTTCTGGTGTTAGGGTAAGGCTTTGTTGAATCTGTAGTGAAAATGCATTGTACCTGTGAAATTCTTCTCTGCTTCTGGACATGTTGGAAGCAAACTGAGTAAAAGTTTAAATGATATGAGTAAGCGTATTTCTACCAGATTTTTAAACATCTGGACCATTGGTCTAAGCATTCTGGTCCTGGGCAGGGCTCTATTAATTTGTATTCTACTGAGAGAAGTTATTCCCCTTTTCCATTCACCTTTGATAATTAATCACTGTAAATAATGTATTTGAAAGGTTAATAGAATAAGATAATTATGTAAGAATGTTTATCATATAATTAAAAAAGTACTTTCTTAGTTTTAATAAACAGGTAGACCTGTAAGTAATAGATAAATAAAAATGAGACAAAAATAACTTATCTTATTAAAAGTTCTTCAAAGACCATAAGAGAGGTCAATGCTAGAGGTCTTAATATGGGTTATAAATAGTACAGAAGCACTAATAGTTTGTTAATAGTCTGCATAGTGTTAAGTAGGGGACAGATTAGAACTTAATTTATGAGTTGATACTGAATACTAGACTAATTATTTTGTTGATCCTGATCTTCCTACTTCTCTTGCTTTAGGGCAACAATGCTTCAACTATCAGTGTATTTAACTTCTAAATTGTTGTATTATACTCAGGTGACCGTTAAGGCCTTTGGGCCTCTTGTTTCTGAGCTACTGTACCATAATATTTGCTATATAAAATGCAAAAAATTGTTATCTGTGTTACTTTTGTGCAGTATGCTTGTTAACATTTGAAACTTACATTCTATATGTATGTATTTCCAGCTGTACCATATATAATTCAAACTTGTCATAATTTTTATTGTACATGTTTTCATAATCAAAATTTTTTTCCTTTTTTATATTTAGAGTCACAAAGCAGTGCAAGCTCTCCAGGAGTAAGTATTTAACATACAGAACTCCTGTTGTGTGGAAAGGTTGTATAATTCATAATCACAGGTACTTAATGTTATACATGTATACAGTCAAACCTCATTATCTCGAACTTCATGGAACCAAGAAAATACTTTGAAATATCTGAGGATTCAAGATATCCAGGGTAAAATACTTAAGATATAAGTGCTTGGGACTTCAAAATCACTTTGACATATCCATGGAAATCGAGATATCCATGTTCGAGATACCGAAGTTCAACTGTATTCTTATTAAAAGTAAGATATAACCCCATAGAATTATTAGGTATGGGGTTATATTTGTTTTTAATAAGAAAAATATGTAACATCAAGTGCCTGTGTACTTAATTGACTAGCTCTCTTGCATACCTGTATGCATCACTGTTATAACCATGTGTGTAAATTCTCTCCATTAAAATTAGCATTAATTATTGGCAAAAATTTCTTTATCAACAGATTTTTTTTTTAATTTGCATAATTTAATTATTATGTTAGATTTTTATTTACATGTATATTTTTACTTGAAATGTCACCATTTTACTTACGGTCTTTGTATTCAGAGTTCTCAGTCTCCGTCCATCCCTGAACTTGAGCGACAGTGGGTAGTCTACGTCACTATCCCCTTGCTGTTTGCATACCTGTCCAGATTCATCCCAGGAACAGATAAACTCAGGTGTGATATGCATGAAGTACTGTAATTATGTTATTGGGGTGTCTTGGCTGAAAAGAATTCTGCATACAATAATGAATAATTGTTACAAGTTAAGAGTGGGAAAAAAAATATATTTCGACTTGATTTTTGATCCCAGCACTTGACACCACAGAACAAGAATATTAATTAAGATAAGATACAGCCTACATTTTGATAGTTATATTTATTGATTAATTGTTCTGATATGAATTCTGCAATAGTTGTATTTGACTGCACTCTGCAACATGTTAATTATTTCAGAACTAATGCCTTTGAGGTGGTTGGTGTGAATTCTGCTTCAACGGGAGTTGTACAATGTGAAGACAGTAGATCATTGGCTGATTGGATAAGAGCAATAACCAATAATATTTCAGCATTGCTGACTCATATGGTATGGGGACAATGTATCAATGTTTTCTTGTAACAGAATAAAATTCTAATGCTCTGAGATGTATGAAGATATTTAGCATGTGTCTCAAGTTACAGTTCAGGTTTTCACTCTTTGAATACCAAAGAGCCATTAATTGATGGGAAATACTGTATGTGTACATAAATTGGCATATTCAAAATTTAGCGCAATCACTGGTTATGGAGTTGTTGGTGAAATAACGAATTAGCACTATACATGTTCATGCCGTATATTGTATTTATAAATGATTTCTTAGCAGTATTCATGAATTCGTGCATCGTGTCTGCGCCAAAGCCGCTAAAATATGAAGCCCACTTTTTAAAGTACAGATACAGTATGAATTTAATATTCATTTCAGATAAAAATGAGCAATAGACTATTGATCCCAGAAGATCAAGTAAGTTTTTCAAATATCAGTTACAAAATTGTTATATCCATAAACATAAAACATGGATTAAAAAAAAAAACTTACATGAGATTGTCATCTGTTTTGTATCAGGTTGTTCACATGACATGGACTCAGGAAAGGGTCTCTCCCATGCGACACTTTCAAGCCTGGAAACCAAAATTTCTCTGTCTGAAAGGTGCAGAAATCTGTTTGTTTGATGTTCCTCCAGTAAGTTCTTTCAGTATATTATATGATGAGTTTTTGATGATAGTTATGTTATTAATTATTAAATATTTAATGACAACTTGAGAATAAATGAATTAAAAGCACACCATTGCTAAGGTCTTACATAGCACAAAGACATTGATCTTCTGTTAAAGAGGTAAATTGAAACCTTTGTTTTATTTAAGATGCAGACAAGAGACTGGGTTCGCTGTGACACTGTGTTCAAAGTGTATGAGTGCATGTTTAAGGTTCTCAAGGTACTGAATTAAAAAAAAAAAAGATTCTTTTGTTAATTAAAAAAAAACACGCATAAATTTTTTTTGGCTTGCTGTATATTGTGTGTGTACTTTTGCAAACCATGAATATCATAAAATGGATGTGTTTGAGGCTAAAGTACAGTCAAACCTTGTTATGTCGAACTCGATAGGGCAAAGAAAAAAAACCCAGAAAGATGTCTGAGAATTTGAGATATCAAAGTTATCAAGGTTTTTATATACATGCATATAAAAAAATATAGTTTGAGATACCAAAGTTCAACTGTATGTGTGAGTGATATTCTCTTTACAGCTGTATTAACATAAAAATGTATCTTGTGTCATTTGCCAGGATGTTGAACTTTTGGATGATCGCCAACATTGTTGTACCATACACTGTGGGACAGGTGAAAAGTTTTACCTGAGCACAGAGAGTCGCTCTGATCTCCTCCAGCTGGAGAAAGCCTGGTACAAAACCAACCACACCAGTATATCTAGCATAAAGGTAAACGCAATCACACCAGTATAACTAGCATAAAGGTAAACACTACCACACCAGTATAACTAGCAGCTAATCACAATCACACCAGTATAACTAGCATAAAGGTAAACACTAAAACCCCAGTATAACTAGCATAAAGGTAAACACAACCACACCAGTATAACTAGCATAAAAGTAAACACAATAGGGCTGCCACGATTAACTGAAATATCGGTTAACTGCAAATCAAAATCTTTCGGTTCCATTTGGTACGTTTTTCTCAGATTTCGATTCGATTCAGGTTTGATTTTTTCAGACTAACATCTGCTGTTGTTAGGTGCATTCTGATTGGTTAATCGGCAAAAATGATGGCAAATCATGTAAACAAAAAAACCAACAAAACCACGAAAATGGACGCGAAGAAGTCAGCGGGGGACTACTAGATAGAATGTTCTATCGTTAAAATGGTAAATGTCCTACGGACCCGGTTGTCCCGAGACACAGTTAGATTATTCTTACATGTAACTAGGGGACTACTTCCATTTTCTACAGAAAGATGGCACAGAAGATTAGTGCATTTAGGCCACACTTATCAGCCACACAATTCTGAATTTAGAGGACCAGTGCTACGAAAATTCGTATTTCTTTTTAATGTTGACATTGTTTTGAATGTGAAATTAATTATTGACTGTATTGTTACAACAGCAATGTGTTTCGGCGGTTTGATATCGTATTTGTGAATTAAAAATTTAAATCACATCAGATCCAAACGTAATTTCTATTGTGGCAAAATAGCTTTTGTATGCAAATCACCAATAATTTTATGTTTAGCATATGCAATCATGGAAGTTTTGATTGAAAGATTTGTATGCATGTTTTCTCTTTTAAAACTAATGACCAGTATTTTAATAATTTGATTTCAGACATTTGATTCTTGGTTCATACTTTGTAATTAGAACATTAGGTATTTCCTTTGTTTTTTTGGTTTTACATTCCATATTATCTTAATAAATCTAATAAAAGTGTGTTTCATTATTTATTTTGAATTATCAAACATTACAAATTTTATACAAAAATATAAAAAAGGTTTTATTTCTTGTATTACTAGCATAAAGGTAAACACAACCACACCAGTATTACTATCATAAATGTAAACACAACCACACCAGTATAACTAGCATAAAGATAAACACAACCACACCAGTATAACTTGCATAAAGGTAAACACAACCACACCAGTATAACTAGCAGCTAAACACAACCACACCAGTATAACTAGCATAAATGTAAACACTACCACACCAGTATAATTAGCATAAAGATAAACCACACCAGTATAACAAGCATAAAGGTACATGTAAACACAACCACACAAGTATATCTAGCATAAAGGTAAACACAACCACACCAGTATTACTAGCATAAAGGTAAACCACACCAGTATAACTAGCAGCTAATCACAACCACTTCAGTATAACTATCATAAAGCTAAACACTACCACACCAGTATAACTAGCAGCTAGACACAAACACACCAGTATAACAAGCAGCTAGACACAAACACACCAGTATAACAAGCAGCTAGACACGAACACACCAGTGTAACTAGCAGCTAATCACAACCACACCAGTATAACTAGCATAAAGGTAAACACAAGCAAACCAGTATGACTAGCTTTAAGGAATTATTAAGGAAGATCTAAACACTGCACACTAAAGAGTTCTAATTTTAGGGTAGTTTTATACAGTTAGAGTGATCTGCCCTTAGAAGTAAGATAGAAAAAATGGTTATTTATAGTTAATTACACAATTTGTAATAGATTAAAATATTTGTAGCATTATATTAGACCAAGAATAAGTAATTGAATTCATTATTTCCATTAATTTTCCCAATGTTTGTAAACAACAGTGATTTCTGTTCACGCAAAGTGTGTTGTCTTTGAACATTTTTCTTTCAGAAATAAGGCAGGTACCCTATGTTGAAAATGGATTAAATAGTCTCAATATGCACACCTTTATATGATGTATTTTTCTCCAAGTCCAAAAAGCACTTTTTTTTAGTGTTTAGAGCTTCCTTAAAACAATCATATAAGTGTAATCAACCAGCAGAAACGTGAACACAGTCACATTAGAATAACCATCACATAAGGAGAAATTTGTCCAGGATAAAGTTATAAAGAATCACGTCAGAATAACCAGATAAAGGTTAAAAAATATTACATATCATATAACTTTTATAAACAAAATCACACCAGAATTACAGAGAGCTGAAAAGTTAACCAGGCAATACCAGTATAACCAGCATAATAGAATATTTAATTGATGAAAATAAAATAAATTGTAATGTTTTTTACAGAGATTTTCTTATATATACATTTGTGGTATCTCTCTATTATATAAACATGCAGAGAGCAAATATCTTCATACCTGTATGAAGTTTTTCGAAGGTCATAGGTCATTACGTGACCTAATCACACAGCGCAGTAATATCTCTATTAAAAAGACTTACTCCACTAAGCAATATAGCATGTTTTTCATGCATAAAAATGTACAAAATACGCAAGTAAAATAATAATCATTTTATTTACAATGTAAACGAGTATTTAATACAGTTCTTGATCGATTTTACATAGAGAAAAGAAAACTACGTGTTATAAGTTTCATGTCTGAGCTGCATAGTCTCAACATTTACCCTTATTTTTCTCGCAGACCTCTGAATGCTATAATTTTTTTTCATTAAACTTTACTCACAATAAATTTGAAAATCTGTTGAAAAATATCAATGTAATGCAATCACGCCACAAACAGCTGACAAACACTGCACTTTGGAAGTTCGGTAGGCACACCTCCATCATCGAGATCGTTGTGACGTTGTCTTAACAATGTAAGCTGTCGCCAGTGTCTCCATGTCAACATCATAAATTAATAAATATGCCTTACTGAAATCGTAGAATTTATGTTTTTGATCAAATTTTGTACTTGATTTCAAGTTATCTGGTCCGGACAAGTGTCTCCATCCATCCCTTTCCGATCGAAATTCCTCCAACTTTTTAGTATCAAACATCGGACGTGTTTCTTGTGTTTTTTTAACATCGAATATGGGTTCTCATGAATACAAAAATTTCCAGACACCAATATGCTCACTATAATTGATCACAAGTAGCCTTTCACAGAATATTCCCTTCAAAACAATCCTTTGCCAGATGAATTTGAAGCGTAACCGCTTTTCAAGCCGATTTACACCTAGCGTAATTTGTCAAATTCTACGACGTACAGTTAGTGCAATATTTATATTCGATTACATTCGATTGTCCGTCTCAAATGTATATATAAGTAATAAATAACAAGTTTAAAAACTTCAATGGGAATTGAAGTGGGTCGGTACGTGATCAAATCTTCTGAGAAGGCCTTCGGCCTTCACAGGATTTGATCACGTGACCGACCCACTTCAATTCCCATTGAAGTTTTTAAACTTGTTATTTATTTCTTAAATAACGTCTGAATTTGTCATTGTAGAGTAAAACCTTTGGTTGCACCTGGAGGGGACAGCTGTCTGGATTGACACTAGATCTGGAGTCTGGATTTTCTCTGTATGACAATACTTTAAAGGTAAAAAGAGACTGACAAAACCTTATCCACACAATTTAGAAGTGTAACTTGCTTTTTCATTTTTTTTTTCATAGTGAAATGTCAAGAAAACAAAAAAAGTTTTAATGATATATGTATATATATTTACACAGAGCTACATGTGGACTTATAAATTCTCCCAACTCAAAGGCTCCTCCGATGACAACAGATCCAAACTGAGGCTTCACTTCCATAGTGCAGAGAATTCCAACAATGTGGAAACCAGGGTAAGGACAAAATTGATTATAACAGTGTTTAATCATTGATTTTCATAATAATAATTTTTGATATCCAAATATTTTTCCGAAGATTTTAAAAGTACCGTATTTGGCTGAATATAATACGCACTTTTTTCCCAAAATAATTTTCTATGAGAAAGGGGTGCGTATTTTACACCACAATGGGATTTTGATAGGTTTTTCTTTCATGTGAAACACTGCTATCATACGCACATACCGAAGTATTACCTAGAGACTTATGCAATTTCTTGCTGTTTATCGCTGTATTTAAAACTTCGGAAAGTTATTGTTCCAATGTAGGCTTGATAAAAATGTTATATTTATAACCTTTTGATAGTTAAATTAAATATAAAAGCAAGTTAAAATTAATTTGAGCTGCATGTTCATCGTCTCCGTGTAGACCGCCATTAACGATGTTATTTATAGATGTTGACACATTCCTTTGCCACGTGCTGCCCTAATCAAGGTACACATGTACCTAATCAGTCGGACACTCGGTCAAAAAAGTAATGTCATTTTTTAGCTCACCTGAGCTGAAAGCTCAAGTGAGCTTTTCTGATCACCTGTTGTCCATCGTCCGTCCGTCTGTCCGTCCGTCCGTCTGTAAACTTTTCACATTTTCAACTTCTTCTCAAGAACCACTGGGCCAATTTTAACCAAATTTGGTACAAAGCATCCTTGAGTAAAGGGGAGTTTAAATTGTTAAAATAAAGGGCCAAACCCCCTTACAAGGGGAGATAATCAAGAAAAGACAAAAATAGGGTGGGGTCATTAAAAAATCTTCTTCTCAAGAACCACTGGGCCAGAAAAGCTGAAACTTACGTGGAAGCATGCTGGGGTAGTGTAAATTCTAAATTGTTAAAATCATGACCCCCGGGGGAAGGGCGGGGCCACAATAAGGAATCCAAGTTTTACATTGAAATATATAGAAAAAATCTTTAAAAATCTTCTTCTCAAGAACCACTGGGCCAGAAAAGCTGAAACTTATGTGAAAGCATGCTGGGGTAGTGTAGATTCTAAATTGTTAAAATCATGACCCCCCGGGAAAGGGCGGGGCCACAAAAGGGAATCCAAGTTTTACATTGAAATATATAGAAAAAATCTTTAAAAATCTTCTTCTCAAGAACCACTGGGCCAGAAAAGCTGAAACTTATGTGAAAGCATGCTGGGGTAGTGTAGATTCTAAATTGTTAAAATCATGACCCCCGGGGGAAGGGCGGGGCCACAGTAGTAAAACTAAGTTTAACATTGAAATATATAGAAAAAATCTTTAAAAATCTTCTTCTCAAGAACCACCAGGCCAGAAAAGCTGAAACTTTTGTGGAAGCATGCTGGGGTAGTGTAGATTTTAAATTGTTAAAATCATGACCCCCGGGGGAAGGCTGGGGCCACAATAGGGAATCCAAGTTTTACATTGAAATACATAGAAAAAATTTTAAAAAATCTTCTTCTCAAGAACCATTAGGCCAGAAAAGCTGAAACTTATGTGGAAGCATCCTTGGGTAGTGTAGATTCTAAATTTTTAAAATCATGACCCCCGGGGGAAGGGCGGGGCCACAGTAGTAAAACTAAGTTTTACATTGAAATACTAAGAAAAAATCTTTAAAAATCTTCTTCTCAAGAACCACCTGGCCAGAAAAGCTTAAACTTTTGTGGAAGCATGCTGGGGTAGTGTAGATTTTAAATTGTTAAAATCATGACCCCTAGGGGAAGGGCGGGGCCACAATAAGGAATCCAAGTTTTACATAGAAATATATAGAAAAAATCTTAAAAAATCTTCTCAAGAACCATTGGGCCAGAAAAGCTGAAACTTATGTGGAAGCATCCTTGGGTAGTGTAGATTCTAAATTGTTAAAATCATGACCCCTGGGGGCAGGGCACGGCCACAATAGGGAATCCAATTTTTATATCGAAATATATAGAAAAAAAATCTTTTTCTCAAGAACCACTTGGTCAGGAAAGCTAAGACTTTTGTAGAACCATCCTGGGGCAGTGTAAATTCTAAACTATTCAAATCTTGATCCCTGGGGGTAGGGCGGGGCCACAATAGGGAATCCAAGTTTTACATTGAAATATATAGAAAAAATCTTTAAAAATCTTCTTCTCAAGAACCACTGGGCCAGAAAAGCTGAAACTTATGTGAAAGCATGCTGGGGTAGTGTAGATTCTAAATTGTTAAAATCATGACCCCCGGGGGAAGGGCGGGGCCACAGTAGTAAAACTAAGTTTTACATTGAAATACTAAGAAAAAATCTTTAAAAATCTTCTTCTCAAGAACCACCTGGCCAGAAAAGCTTAAACTTTTGTGGAAGTATGCTGGGGTAGTGTAGATTTTAAATTGTTAAAATCATGACCCCTAGGGGAAGGGCGGGGCCACAATAAGGAATCCAAGTTTTACATTGAAATATATAGAAAAAATCTTAAAAAATCTTCTTCTCAAGAACCATTGGGCCAGAAAAGCTGAAACTTATGTGGAAGCATCCTTGGGTAGTGTAGATTCTAAATTGTTAAAATCATGACCCCTGGGGGCAGGGCGCGGCCACAATAGGGAATCCAATTTTTATATCGAAATATATAGAAACAAAAATCTTTTTCTCAAGAACCACTTGGTCAGGAAAGCTAAGACTTTTGTAGAAGCATCCTGGGGCAGCGTAAATTCTAAACTATTCAAATCTTGATCCCTGGGGGTAGGGCGGGGCCACAATAGGGAATCCAAGTTTTACATTGAAATATATAGGAAAAATCTTTAAAAATTTTCTCCTCAAGAACCTCTTGGCCAGTAAAGCTGAAACTTATATGGAAACATCCTGGGGTAGTATAGATTTTAAATTGTTAAAATCATGACCCCCATGGGTAGGGCGGGGCCACAATAGGTATTACAAAAAGATCGTCTGGTGAAGAACAGCAGGGCCAGTTATTCAGGTGAGCGTTGTGGCCCATGGGCCTCTTGTTAATGAAATACAATAAAATAAAATTAAATAATTTAAATAACTCAGTGAAAATTCATTTCAACATAAACACCCCTCTATACGTCCCAATGAATGGAAGCCAATGTTGTGAACACGTGCGCTTGTCCCTTGATAATTACCCCTCAACACCTCTCCAGGCAATTAAATTGTTTACCGACTCCAAAGCACTGTTTTTACAGTTAGAGCACTGATTATTTACTGCCCTTATTAATGGCTTTGATTATTTTCTTTGTTAAAAATCGGGGGTTGGTTTATGATCTTTCGTATGTATAAGCGTGTGTTGATTACGACACATTAAACAGTTAAACGCTTGTTAAATGTAATTTTACTTTATCTTAGATCGGCCTCGTGTTTAAAAGACTGTTAGTTAAAAAAGAAAATATGAAGTATGTTGAAACTTAAGTGTTATCATTTACTCGTGCTCTGTAGAAAATAAGATATCCACGGAGATTACCTTGATGTATGAAGACATATATCCCACCTTTGAATTAATTAAATAAATAGCTGATGTTATAAAAATAAAATCAAAATTTAACAAGCATGTAAAGTGTAGTTATCAAGACACCTCCAAAGCTGTGAAAAATGATGTACAAACTTTGTACATCATTTTTCACAGCTTTGGAGGTGTCTTGATAACTACACTTTACATGCTTGTTAAATTTTGATTTTATTTTTATAACATCAGCTATTTATTTAATTAAATAATTTCAAGTTCAAAAGAGGAAAATCGTAGTCTATGAATACTTTGATGTTGCAATATCGCTTGCCCTGTTAAATTTACATAATTTTCAACATGATCATCTTAAACTAAAAATCAAAGTACTGTGAGTACTGATAGACGGTGGTATGAATGATTTTGTTTGATTGTTTGTTTGTTTTAATTAAAACGTCCCTCTCGGGAATTTTTCACTCATATTGAGACGCCACCATTGCCATTGGTGGGCTGCAAATTTTATATCTATACTCAACACTCAGGGCCATTGTGCAGTGAGGGATCTTTTTTCTGGCCAGCACTAACTGCGCCACGGGACCCCAGTTTAACGGTCTCATCTGAAGGACCGGTCTCCACGTCCCGCAGTGGGATTCGAACCCGCGACCTAAGGATCGACTCCTTACTCCTTGACATCTAGAGCAAACGCTGTAATTACCGGCCACTGGCATGAATGAATTAAATTAAATAAATTAATATGAGAATCTGTAAAATGATATGGAAATTATGAACGTTTGTTGCAATTTTTTACAATACATGTATTTAATGAGTTATTTTATATTTGCGTCAGTATGATGAGGACATGTATTAATTGAAGTTGTTAAACAGAAATTGTGATTTTATAATTCAAATTCTTATACTCAGTGGTTAATTATCAAATTTTGCTAATCTGGAGTTAAATTGAACTCACAATATTTACAAAAAAAAAACTAAAAAACTAACTTTTCTTAAAATATATGGTAAAAAGGGAAATGATGAATCACTTTTGGCGATGTACTGTAGATTGTGCGACATAAATCATATGCTGAAAGATAATGAAATAGACTTTATCTTTGGATCCCCATTTTTGCCAAATTTCCAGTAATTTACTTACATGTATTTCTATAAGGTTGAAAGACTTCAAGAATTGTACAGTAGTTTTACCTTTTTGTTTGAGATATATATATATATTTACTGTTCGAAAAGAAAAGAAAAAAGAACAGAATAACAAAATATCTTTCACCCTCTATTTCTCTTAGTATCTTTATATGCACTGACCCCGATAGTCATTGCGTAATACGAAGTTTTGAAAACACATGTAGGAGAAGACTGACCTAAATTAAATCAACTGAATTTGCAAGAAAATCCTAATATTTCATGTACATGTACATGCATTTGTGTAGTTTTTTTTTCTTACACTTTTTAAAGGGTAAATTTTATTCGAGTCACAATAGAATTTTCAAATACAAATGAAATATATGGGTAACTTTTGTTCGTCACAGTCTTATAATTATAGCTTTGATAAATTAGCATCCTTTCAGTAGTTTTTGTGTCCGAGATAATTAGGCAATGACTTTTGTTTTTAGATAGAACCGAAATTAACTTTGCAAAATGGCATCGTATCTGCCTTCAACAACTCTCTTTTATGTAAACTTTAAGAGGACGTGATTTTTTTCCATTCCGAAAATATATCTTTTTTCTAATATAGTATCGTCAACAGATACTAGAAATTCCATTCATCAAAAGACACCGCAAAATTTCAATAAACTGTATAAGTATTATTGAATAAAAATTTCACAAAACGTCTCAAATAAAACATGCAGTTCTGCAACAAGGAATACGCAGTCCTCGAATCATGTTAACTGAATTTTCGGAAATGGAGAAATTTGGGGATTGACGCTTTCCAAGCATGGAGTATTTCGTAATTAGGGAATACCAAATTGGGAACATCTCGTATAATAAGTGTTTGTCACACATCCAAGAGCGAAGAAACCGCCGAGAATGTGTTGGTTTAACAATAATTATTTTATTTCCTAAGATGGTAAGGTGTAATGTGAAACCATTATCCATAAATATTTTTCCCCCAGATTTTTTTTTTTTTTTTACTTTTAACAGGGATGGGCACGATTACTGAAAAATGTAATAGATTAATAATCGATTACTTAGAGGAATTTTGTGTAATCGATTATTAATCGATTACACTCATTTTTGTCCTGTAATCGATTGTAATCGATTACTTTGGAAGATGTAATCGATTAATAATCGATTACTCCCAAGTTTTTATCCAAATATCAAAGCAATATTTAAATGGTAATGTTGATGATATCCACTGAAGTTTGAATGTGTTCCTGCAGTTTCAGTGCAGATCATTCTTTTAAGGTTTTATTCTGGCTAACATTCTCACTAAATGCCCAAATGAGGGATTCTGTACCATGAAAAGTGGAGACATGATTCCTACAATAAAATATGTCAAGGAATTAATTATTCCTTTCAACCTTGGATCTGAACCTCCATATTCAGATTTGACTTGTTGCAAAAATTATTATTATAAAATAATTTTATTGTGAATAACTTCATTAGAAGTATTTGGGCTGCCTGTATGTTGACAGTACACATTAAACATTCTTGTGTCTTCTTTTAAAAAAAATAAGTATATTAGAACTCTTAGTAATAAACATGTAAATCAAATGTGTCTTTAAAGTAATTAAACTAATAGCACAATTTCATTCTGTATTGAAATAAGTGTTTTGAGAGCTATTAATTGTTTAAATAATATTGTTTGTCTTCAATAGAACTATGAATAATAAAAGTTAAAACTAGGTAGTTCACAGTTTACACCTCATTATCTGCAAGTCGGGGATGTCTCAGTCAATTAATTAGCCAAGATAAGCAAACACAGTGACACTTACTCCCTCTCTTACAGACACTTATAACCCCTCACTGATACAAAAGAAACCTTACAATTTTGAATGAAAACATGAGAATGATTTTGCAAATTTTAAAGTTAATAAAACAACAAGTTTGAAGTTGTTTAAACATTTTCAGATATGAATAAGTATTTCCATCTTCTTTTTTTCGAGTACAATGTAGTTTATTTACCAAATCATTTATATTTACTACAGCACTTAAATCTGTTTTTGCTATTTATAATTTTCTATTACAACCACAAAGTTTTTCAATATTTGAAATATGAAAAAGGACATGCAGCAAGAGGACTATGGGTCAAATGTAAAATGCATACAAAAAATCTATATATTTTATTAATAAATAGTTGAAATACACTTCTGAATTTATTAATACTAGACCAGAAGGTCTATAATGCAAATTTTATTGAGAACATTATTAAACTTATGATAATAAAAGTTAGGTAATCCAAACATTACACTAGGTTGTTTATATTTGATATTTGTGTGTGAATGACAGGAAATAATTCTCCAAAATAACATCCATTTATGCATAAAATAATCAAAAATAATCGAAAAAGTAATTATAATTACATTGAAAATTTTAGCTGTAATCGATTAAATTACGATTACAAGTAATCGAAAATCTCTTCGATTACAGATTACTGTCGATTACTTGAAAAAAAGTAATCATTACAATCGATTACGATTACTCGATTACGATTACCCCATCCCTGACTTTTAATAAATTTTATTGAAATTTTACATTTACACAACGTAAAAAAGGATGTGTATATGAACTAACTTTTTGCATTTGTTTCATACTCAACAAACTTTATGTATGAATTGACTTTTGTGGTTTGCATTCGAATTGACTCCTTATATACGAATCAGTTTTTGTACGAATTAACATTAAGTCGGTGTAGTTTAATGAATATTCATGAGGCGAGAAATATTAAAACGGGAAATATCAGGAATTAAACTTTGCGCCCATCAACGAAATGTCATTGAAATAACTTGAGAACCATGTACATTTTATTTTCGAACATCGAAACGACTCCACTTTCATTATTTTGTCTCTGCAAAAATTGCCGCTAGGGTCCCCGTGTTTTTACACTGTTGTTTATTCATAGCCCAGACCAGCAGCAGTAGCCTGTGGCTATAAATAGCCACCGTCTAATAAATATGACAACTGTTAAACTTGCAACAATATCTCGTGCTTTGTTGAAATAAAATTATTTCCACAAAGAATAGTTAGAATACGGCGACGTATAATTTCAATATCACCATATGCTAAAAAAATAATTAATAAACTCTGTTAATACTTTAATGCAACATTATCTCGTGCTTTGTTAAAATCAATAATCTCCTCCAGATTGCCGCGATATGGAAAGCCAAGATTAAGAAATAAAAACGCATTTGAATAAAATATAAATTTTCAGCACTTTATCTCCGCGCCGATTTTCATAGCAAATTACTGCGATTTTCACAAGTTCAGAACACCGCTTGGTAAAATTTTCTGCTGCGTATAATACAACCGAACTGCTTTTTTCCCTCAGTTTCAGGCTCAAAAAGGGGGGTGCGTATTTTACACCAATGCGTATTATATTCGGCCAAATACGGTAGATGATTGCACAGTAAAACACACTTTTAACAAAGTGCCAGTGACAAACTATTTTGCTTCCTTATAAACCTAATTTGTTATATCCATGAAGTTCATAATACTTTTTAAAAGCCACAAGGAATAAAAATCTTTTCACTGTAAGCATCAGTTCATTATAAGCGTGTTTTACTTTTTTTTTTTTACTTCTACTGCATGTTTATAAGAGTCAGGGGCTTGAAACACTTATTATTCCCTGTGTATTTTTGTAAGGCACAAGTTTTCAATTTTGACGGAGATATAATCTTTTGGGGACTATAGCCAAAATGGAGGTTTTGACTAACACTAATCCCTACAGAAACTGAATACATCATATTATGTTAAATGTCTGGTTTGGATTGTGTTTGTAGGAGATCCAATGCTCCAGCCTTCACACTCTGCTTTACTGCATCCATTTCATATTCTGTTAAATGTCTGGTTTGGATTGTGTTTGTAGGAAATCCAGTGTTCCAGCCTTCACACTCTGCTTTACTGCATCCATGCCTTTCTGTCTGCTAAGCTGGCATCAGTAGATCCCTTGTTTCTAGGGAGCCATTAAATCAAAAGAGACATCGACGAAGAACCGCAAATTGTTTACGCAGCTATTCTGCTCTTTTTTATTTACAAATTACGGAACTGTAATATTTTTCTGAGGATCATCTACATTGTAGTTACTTTTAAGTAGAGGAGTTTGTTTTGTTGCAGTTCTCTATTTTATGTGACTGTATAATGCCAGAAATTAAGTCCCCTTTCAAAAAATCTCACATGTCACAGTAACTGCTTGTTATCAAATCATTTAGTAGTTAGTTTGAAATGACATTTGTCATAGTTATTAAAGCGTGCATGTATATGTATTTTCTTAATTCTGTAGTAACAATTTTAACTTTCATGTAACGATGAAATAACTGTATTAATATTTTATATAAATTATATTTTACAATTTTTACATTTGTATATTTTATTTTATCTAAGATTTTGTATTTAGCTGGAAAAGTGCAACAATACATATTCTTTTCTAATATATTAATTTATTTAAAGGCCAGTTGCAGCTTCCATTCTTTTTTTAGTATATTTTTTTTCCAGATGTGTTCATTTTTAATGAGATTAACTTCGAACTCATTTTCATTTTGTTAATTTTTACTGAGAGTCTTACACTGAATTATTTATCCTGCTGTACAATGTTTTAAACCTAGATGTCATAGATAGAAAAATCAGACTTCATGACATTTTTATATGTTGGTTTCAAAAGCGATATATTGCATACTACTGGTATCACACCAAACTTACAATGTATCTGTACATGTATGTGCTATATCATGCCTAAAATTTAGTACTTTCATTAGGCAACAATAGATACATACTTATATCTCCCATACAAGCTGAGAGGTGGTCATTTTATGACACCACAATGTAGATTGTGTAATTCATATTGTATAGCCAATCAGGAGTGTGCATTTTATTCCAATGTTTTTATTACAGTTTGCCACAATGCTAGTTTCTCCAAACTTTATTTCTTTATTTAATATTCTATTTGCCATTATGTTAGGTTTTTTTTCAAAGGTTCATTAATATTATTGTGTTTGCCATAATGCTAGTTTCTTTAAAGGTTGTTATGTTTTGTGTCTTTATCCCATTGGTGCTATGTCTTGTGTTATTGAGTGGTTGCTAATAGTGATAATCTTGGAGTATTTTATTTTTGTGGATATCAATCATTTGTGTTGTATCGTTTTCCAAATCAAGTTTTAATCTTCAGTGGAATTTCCCTCTGAGTACTGTAGTTCCTTATAACTCTCTCAAGCAATGAAGATAGCTGTAGTACATTTTATAGAGGTTGTATATGGACTTCGAGATACAACATTAAATTTTTTATTCTTGTACATGTATTTCATTTCAGGTAGGTTAGTAAATACATGTAGCTGTCTATATATTGTAGATTTAAATACTGGTTTAGGTTATTTTGGTCCATTGATCACCATGAAAAAAAAAAAAGTATGAAACATATGAAAATTTATTTATTGCTATATGATGCATTGATGTAGTTATGTACCTTTGTATGGCCATACGTAATTGAAGAAGTTGCTTCACCATCTGTAGTGTTAGTAGAATGGTAGAGAGCATGCTTTGTTGAGTTTTACATCGTCTTCCCACCATTTTGCTATTGTTACTGCTGTTATAGTGGATAGTTATATTGTTACCAATGATGACAAATCTTTGATCCGCCCCTTGCACTGTTTGTTAGATCTTCTAGATCAAAATTTTATGCTAAATCTCATGCACAATCACTGAAATGGTATAGAGTTTGTATAACTGTTTTGATTACTGGTGTAAATGTGTATAATCTTTCAAATTGTAGGAATGTGTTGAATTGTTCATTCAGTATCTGTACTTGATGTCCATCAATTACAATTTCACTGATCTGATTTGTGGCAAATCTTTGTTAGATTTTTAACTAGTTTTTGATAATGTCTGTTGTAGTTCTAATGGTTTAGGCAATCACCATGTCCAAGAATCTGAAATGATTGTTGCATAAGGTAAATTTTGCTGATGTTGAATAATGCTCTAAAAGGATGCAAAATACAAAATGTTATTAATAAATCTTTTGCTTTGTTTAAAACATGATATCCTGTAATTAGAATTAATATTGATGCAAAAAGGCTGCATAATAAATGCATTTTGAAAGAAAAAAAACTTTATCTACCTGCATAATGGCTGTGGGTCATGGTTATTATTTTACAAGTAGTGCTTTTTATGGAATTTAGAATCTGTTGATATCATTTTTATGTTTTGTTTATGATTACTTCAGTGCAATAAAAGTCTTGAATTATCTGAACTTCTTTTTATTATATGTATGTGAACAGAGTTATGATAAGAAAGGTAATTTGTTAACACCTCCAACTGAAAACCTTGTACATGTGTTACAATATATATTATTGGTCAAGGTTCAATGATGACATAATTATATTATATAAATACAGACAAACCTCGTTATCTCGGACGCGAGGGGACAGAGAAAAAAATATGAGATATCCAAGGATTCAAGATATGGAGGTAAAAATACATATATAGAAAAAGTGGTTGGGACTTCGAACTCCGACTTACCCATGGTATTTGGGATATCAGTGTTTGAGATACCTAGGTTTAACTGTATAAAATAACTTTTTGCTATCAATTAATATTATTTACGGTTCAAATTTAAGTGTATTCAAATTAACTTGCAAAATTGGTCTTCTTGTAATACTTGACAATATTCACTTCAAATAACCAAAAAATGAAAAATTAAATAAATGAAGATACCGATTTGGAAAATATTTATGATTATGGCAAAATGATTATGACAAAGAACTGTACCAAAAAAGTAATTCAATTTGTCAGGTTTCAATGTTTGCTTTTATTGGGATTTTTTCCAGTGTCAAAATACAAATATCATAATAACGTATGGTTAATCCGGAAATAAAATGCCCGATCGACCATCACAGTAGATACCTATAACAAGTAAACAAAAACAAGACTATCAATTTATATTCCCCTACTTGTATGTCTTTTCTATCAATCAACCAATTCTTTCCCTCTTATGTATATGTATATTGTATTTCGTGTGTATGATCATAATCATTATATACATTTTAACAATGTACTTTCTTTTTGCCCCATGAGGGCCCTTAATTGGTCAATAAACGAATTGAATTGAATTGAAAATATAGCTGTGACCAGAGACACAAATAACAAGCTTTCATTCTCTGCTGTGACTTGGTAAAGAGACTTGGAAAACCAGATGGAACAAGGAAATTTTTATGAATAGGTAACAACTTCCCTTACTCACACGAAGCAGCCTTTTTATTTATATCGGAAAATTTGTGTTCCTGTTGTGCAACTACAGTACTCAGTGGTCATGTAACGAGACCAATACCAGTACGTACACTTAAAAGTAAATATATATAAACTTTAAATTCTTGTTAATATTCATGTATCTTTACTCGATAAAGGCTGGTCATGAAGCAATGACAACATTTGTTTATGTAAGGGGGGGGGGGATAAACTCTCAAATGCACAGAAATTAAACCACTGGATTTGCATGTATTACCACAAATCTGATAAGTATACAATATTATACAATAAATATCTGGAGTCATGCACAAAACTTACAAAATGTACATTTTTAAAAATAATAAATGATTTTCTTTACCCCCCCCCCCGCAAACAAAGTTTGGGGGTATGTAGGAATCACCTAGTCCGTCTCTCCGTCCGTCTGTCTAGCTGGCCATCTAGCTGTCTTTCTGCAAATGTGTCTGGTCTATATCTTTCTTACGGAGGAACATTAGAATCTACTACTTTACAAAGAGATTGTTCATAACCTGAGGGTGTATTATGATCTTGACATAAGGTCATTTGGGCAAGTTCAAGGTCACTGAAAGATCTAGAAAAGTTCATAATTCGTGTCTGGTCCATACTTGGTGACTTCTCATTTTACACAGAGATTGCTTATGACCTGAGGGTGTGACATGATCTTGACCTAAGGTCATTTGTGCAAGTTCAAGGTCACTGACAGAAAAGTTCGTAATTCGTGCCTGGTCCATATCTTTCTTATGGAGGATTATGTTGGGATGTTTGGAGTTTCCACTTCACACAAAGATTGCTTATGACCTGAGGGTGTGTCGATCATGATCTTGACCTATAGTTACTGTAGAAAAATGGATAAATAATGCATCCACACTTTCCAATAGAGAAATACTTGAAAAATTGTAATTTTTTTTAAATATAATAGAAACAATGTTACTATTAGTATATTCAATTTGATGTTTTTTTAGGCTGCGCCTTAGTTTCCCTCATTAAAAAAATATAATGAGCAATTGCCGACCACTCTAAATGTTTAAACGAATTGTGAACACCTCTTAGTCAGGTCCATCAAATACTAGTATTAGTGACTTGGCACCTCTGAAAAACCCAATGGGGGTATTTGTCCATTTTAAACAGTTCTATAGTTTATTTTTTCCATAATGGTAATTGATGGATATCTTCCAATTTTAAACTTTATAGTCATGTTATATGTATAGGACTCTAAATGATGTCAGGCGCTGAAGAAATTAAGGTACCCTAATGTAGATTTTCCAAAGGATTTGGAAAAGTTTTGGAATTCCATGGAATTCCAAACATTTCCATACAAGAGTCTAAAAGTGTTTTTGGAAGTTTTTGGAATCTTTTGGAATTTGAATAACAAAGAGCTAAATCCACGAAGGGGCTAAATCGGCCTATTTTTTCAGGGAAATTAAACTGAGGGTAAGAAGAAAATTAAAAATAGAAATATTATCCTTGGGTATCAAACTTAAGTATTTTATGCCAATTTTTTTATTTGATGACGTCATATTTGTACAGAAAACGTCTAAACACGTGCACTTTGCTAGTTTTTATCAAAATAAAGCATTTTTTCGTCTTTGGTTCAAATTTTTGCTGTGGCCACACCCTTCGAACAAAATAAAATTTATACCATTGAAAAGAGAATTAAAATATGAATAAATAAAGTATATTTTTATTTTGTTCGAGGGGTGTGGCCACATCGAAATTAATACTTTTCGTTCGATTCAAATATCTTAGCACCGACTCACACAGTGAAAATAGCGGGGATTACCCTACATTAATAGAAAAGAAAAATATTCTATATTGTTTTTGTAAATATTAAAAAGTTTCGAAATGCGATTGATATATATTTATTTTAAGTTATTTTGTGTTGTGGTGCAAAAAAGGACGAAAAACTCTCGCTAAGCATGACTGCATGTAGATGCAATAATGTCGACATTTTGTGTACTACGTGCCTCAGTCCTGACCCAAGACTTGTCCTTCAAGTAGCTGATCTATATTCAACTCATTATTATGCTGAAATGTTTGAAAAAAAAAAATT